CTCATGTCCAAGTAACAGTTATTTAATTCTTATGAATGTATTAACTATTCTACATTATTATGTAAAGTTATTTACATAGACACACACACACACACAGTAAGATACAAGATTTTGTGTATAGCTGCTATTGGTAGGTAATGTTTTCGGAGAAATTAGGCATCAGATTAATATTCGAATGGTACCACGCGTTTAAGATGGTACTATTATCAGCTAGGTACTTGCCTAATACCTATAGTATAAAAGGGTGTGCTTAAATGTAACCCATACAGTACCCATTGAGTGTTAGAGAGCCATGATTGGCACGAATGGGCCGGCTCGACCAAAGTAGTTACCACGGCCTCACACCGGCGTAAAGCTACGGTTGTGTTTCGCCGTGTGAGTGAGGTTACCGGAGGCTCAATACTTCCTCCTCCCTCTCTCCTATTCTCAATCCTGAAATTCCCTATCTTGAAATCCCCAATCACCGGCAACGTACTAGTAGTAACTCTCTGGGCGAGTGATGTGTGTCCATGGGCAGCGCTAATTGGTCACCATCAGGTAATCCATCGGCCTTTTTGTCGACGTATGACATGAAAAAAATAGAAGGGATTGGTATTAAATGAACCTTCTTTTTCTTCATCCTTGTCATCATCAGCTTGTAGATCTCTGTTCTTAGTTTATTTTTTAAAGTAGGTAACAATTATGTAGGTGATATAAATGATTATTTTAATCGGTCTGCGACTTGTGCATGTTATAAGTAAATCGAGTTTTAGTAAATCTCCGTAATAAAGGAGGGACAATAACTAGGTATTATAGACGATAAGGATATCTTTATTGTCTGTCTAATAATATTAAAGGTATATTGTCTGGGTGACTTGGTTTTATAGGTCAATAAAATCAAGTCACCCAGAGAAAATAGCAAGTACTTGACTTGCATTTTATAGATAAGCAGAGAGCAGCTATAAGTAGCTCGTCCGTCTGTTTGTGACATTGTAGTTTACTCCAAAACTGTTATTTTTATTTATTTTTTCTAATGTTACATTTTTGTTTATTTACTTATTTTCAGTTCGCGTATGCATAGACAAATCTATTTTCAAGTCAAGTCAAGTCTAGTCTTTTTTCAAGTGTAATGGGAACATGTATGGAGTAAAAGGAATCTCAGCGATAGCTACTTACTTGGTTAAAAACCACTTATTCTATTTCAGATCCAGACTTGTATGACACATACCTGGCAACCCGACCTGAAATAATGGAGTTGGAAGCAGTCTCATTAATCGCCTCGCAACTTGACAAAACTGAGTAAGATATATTGTATTACAAAATACACACGAATATCCAGTAATCTACAGGTCATTGAATACATTATAGAACAAGAACTGATCGTGCAAGTTTTTTAGAAAAAAGCTGACAGCAACCGGAGTTATTAAATTGTAAGTAAATTATTATTCACGAATAAATTAACAGTAATTTCTTGCAGCGTTCATGTTCACGTGGTCCACGTGTCTGCTGAGGGGGTGATTCCCATCCTTGAAGCTGCCAGGGAGGAGCGGATAAAGGCTGGATACAAGGGCTGGCGTGGTGGTGTGACTGCGGAAACCTGCAACCACTACCTCACTCTAAGTTCAGAGATGATCCCACCCGGTCATTCTGAGTTCAAATGCGCGCCCCCTATTAGAAACATAACAAATAAGGTAACCAGATATCTTATGGTGGTAGAAAGTCATTATATATTATCATTTCTATGAAAGTAACGAATAAGTATCGAGTCAGTTCGATCACCGGAGGTCAAGAACCTGAAAATTGCATAATCACCCACACAAAATGTGAATATTCTTTAGCAAATAGGTAATAATTTATAATAAGTAGGTATACACTTAGATATCTATCTTCAAGAAAATAAAGCACACTTGGTTTAACTTAGCTAACGAATGACGTTAGTAAACAAAATATTTGCCCGTGGCCCGTGTTAATGTACTGCTCAGTAGTATCATCAGGATTTTTGCTACTGATTCTTTGTTTTTCTTAAGATTATTATTTGTTTTTAGCAAAAATTGTGGGAGTACATCAGAGATGAGAGGTTAGATTTAGTCACTTCTGATCATTCACCCAGCGTCCCGGAGCTGAAAGGCGCGAATTTCCTAAAAGCTTGGGGCGGCATCTCATCCGTTCAATTTGGTAAAATTATTGTAACTTCTTTCCTATAAACAAATATATGACTTTTAGAAAATAAAATAAATATCTAACTATGAATGTCCACATTTATTATTTTTAGATTTATCACTCTTCTGGACCGAAGCGAAGGCTCGAGGCTTCCCGCTTACTGCTGTAACTCGTTATTTGTCTGCGGGTCCTGCTCGCCTCGTGGGACTGCAAGAGAGGAAGGGCTCCATCAGGCCAGGCCTTGACGGAGACCTCATTTTCTTTGACCCAGATGCTTCATTCCTCGTTACGCCTGAAATCATAAGATATAAAAACAAGGTAACAAATTGCTTCCATTTACAATAATAGTCCGGGCTCTTGAGATACCTACTTGTACCGACAAAATATCTTTTTAAGTAGGTAGCTATCGAGGTCAGCCTTATTCATTCTTGTATTTTAATGATAAAAACGCTAAGTACGTTCAACCAAATTGAATGTTCAAAGCTGATTAGCGTAACAATTGTTTGTTCAATTGTTTACGATGGTATAACTTATTGTAGCTATTATGAGTTATTTTAAGTTAAAAAGAAAAGAAAAAATACAATCATAAATATAACCTGTATTTGAATTTTGAAATTTTATTCTTTTGTATTTATTTAATTTGTCTTTATTATTGTTACAGATTAGTCCTTACATGTACAGGGTGTTAAATGGGAAGGTTATGCAGACATACGTTCGAGGTCAATTGGTTTTCTCTGATGACGAATTGATTGGTGAACCTAAAGGAAAGTTGTTGTTAAATGAGTTATGACTGTAAAAAAATAACGTCAAATAAAAAAAATGTTTCCATGATTTATTAAATAAATTAGAAATAGTTGTCATGGTTTTAATTCCAAACATTCCTTTGGAAATGCCTTAATACAAATGACGCTCGTAAGTTCGACTCAAATAAAGTTTATCTACTTATAGATACCGTCGAGAAAACATCCAGATTTGGATATTTTCTCGATGATCTATACTTATAAGTACGTGTGATATTATAAAGCCGAAGAGTTTATTTGTTTGAACGCGCTGATATCAGGACCTACTGGTTCAAATTAAATAAATATTTTGGTTTTTAATAGACCATTTATCGAGGAAGGCTTTAGGCTGTACATATAACATCACACTATGATCTGTAGGAGCAGAGCAGCGGGTGAGACCGCGCGAGAGTAGCTAGGATTAATAAAGTGTTCATCTATGTGTACCTCGTCCTCCTCGTCGGTGGGGGTAAACAGGTAACAAGCTAATTTGTGGTACCATTCGCTTTACTGGGAAAAAGTGTGTGTATGTAGGTATATCTGTGCCAAATTTCGTTCAGAATCATTTAGTAGCCTTAAGGTGTGAAAGAGTAATATCAGACGTCCACTCGTTTATCCATACTTACAATAGTTTTGTGTTAGTAGGATAAGAGCAACTGCCGAACAGGGGTTTCAGGTTTTTGGATCCACCCCCTCCCCCACTTTTATTACTTTGAACCCAAAATCAACTGGTACTTTTTTACACACTTTGTTTTTATGAAAAGAAAATGTTCAAATAACTTCTCTTGCCCAGGGTGGCGAGAGTCTTCATAATCGTAATGTCTTGTTTTACGAAGTTATGAGGACTTTTACACAATCTCTTATAAATGACCTAACATCAAATGATTGCCCTGCCTAGTGTCAGACTCTTACTGACTAAAACCCCCTGTTCCTTCTCCTGCTCTGGGCCAAGGTCTCGGTGCCTCATTGCTCTTACCCCGCAATCCCGGCTGAACATCAGCCCTATGGGGCGCCGTCTGTGGTGGTCTATTGGCTCTTTGAGGCGCGCGCGGAACACTACGCGGCGTACGCTCGGGTCCGGTTCTGCTCCGGACACGGCGGTGCTCAGCCCAGGCAGGGCATACCGCCACCGTATGCTCCACCGTATCGTCTAGGTGGTCCTCGCAATGACGACACTCGGGCGTTTCCTCCCGCTGGATCCGAAACAGTCCTTATAGTTTACCTACGACTATTACAAACTCTATTACTTACTGTTTTTTATTCTATGTAATTATAGTTAATTAATATAGGGTTTATATACTTTTTGTCCATGAGGATACCACAACCCCTTCTTGCCTTAATCTTCCTACAAATATTATACTTAGGTACTCATAAAGTCATACATAATAGGTAATTACAAAAATACCTATTCCATGAAAAACATCGATTGACACAATCGTTTTGCTTATTTGGATTTTGGCTGAGCCAAAATAGATTGTATCAAGCTATATTTCTCTGTATATTTAGCTGGAATTCATTAATCAGGATGTTTCGTTGAATTTTATTCCTGACCCAGCGTTGTACATATTCAACAACATTGCACATCTTACAATTGATTGAGTTCCTACTTACTTTTTTCATTGAAAACTGATGGGAGGTTTTCGGAACGTAGTCTTAATATAATTTCTGTATTAAAAACCAGGGAGCCTGAGGAAGATGACTTCGGTCGATGTAAAATGATTTTGTCAAATAACAAAATTTGGGTAAATATCCTACATAATCAGGTATAATTAAGTTTGGTTCAATCCTTAGCAGCTTATTTAGATATACGGTCAGCTTCCTAACTGTGTGCCGGAATCAATTTCACCTTCACCTCTAAGTATGTAATTTCTACAATATGGAATATATTGCTTTACCCATTAATCAAATATGTGATTAAATATGATTTTGTATTTAATATAACAATTATTTTGTTATATAAAAGAATATCGTATTGAATGGAATTTATTTATGTAAATAAATAGTCGATGCAATATTTTTTACCGATTTTAAAAAAATCTCTTCATTTTATTTCTGAACGCCTTTTTTTTTACTAAGTTGGTAGCATTGTTTGTCGTCTAACCGTCGCGCTTCTTTGAATGATTCTTTTATTTGTTATTGTAATAATTGTATACTTTAGATGATATTGATATGTTTAATAAACTTTTTAAAATTGATTTCGTAATTTTAAATATAAGTTGAAATAAATATTTTTGTGAATATATGTGAATTGTTTAAAAGGTAGTATTAGTGTCACTTTTGACAGATGTTATAACCTAAAACAGTGATATGAAAATCATACAAAACTTACTTTAGACCTGTGAATTTGTTTTATAATGCTGCTTTTAGATGCCAACTGTAATCAACAATAGTATTGACACAACGCGCCAGGTAGACGGCACCAAAATGCAACTAGAATCATTGGAATTAGCTGGTTGCACACTAGACCGGTATATAAGTGCGGATAATTCGCGCCCTTCGTTTTTAGAGGTTTGTTGAATCATTCTGATGTTTTATTTACTTTCTTATAGTGTCATAAAATAACTGTGAATAATTCACAAGCCTTTATAACAGCACCCTAAAGCTACAAAACATTTTTACTTTATAGATTACTGGTATAGCCTCTCATAGAAGTCCAACATGCAGTGGTCTGAATGCTGGAGACTACAGGAACCTCGCCGCCCTTGTGAATCACCCCAGCTTGTCGCAATTGAAGATATTAAATAAAGTTCCACTGCCACCTGAAATTATGGAACATTTTGCCCGTATCCTTTGTATAAAATACTATAACATAATTTTATTTATGTGTACAGTATTGATAAACTTATTATAATACACATAAGTAGACGAACAATGTAAGATATTGTAATAAAAATGAGAATCACTATGAATTAAAAATAAATTTTGAATAACAACAAAATAACTTCATAACTAAATGTAACAATACCAAGTCATTATTTCTTATGTCTATTACATAATTATTTCCTTAGTATAACATCAGATATGCAGTGTCACTGTTTAATGGGAGTATTTCCTGAAATCAGCAGAGTCTGGCTAGCCATAGATAGCAATATTTATGTTTGGGCCTTTGAGCATGGTAGTGATGTAGCCTATTTTGATGGACTAGGGGAGACCATAGTTAGTGTGGGCTTAGTGAAACCCAAGTCCGGAGTGTTCCAAAACTTTGTGAAATATTTATTAGTGCTCACAACTACAGTTGAAATAGTAGTATTAGGTAAGAGCCATTTATGACTAATGTTTTGTCAAAATGCTTTAAATATCAAGCATTTAATTCAATTATTCAATGTTTATTTCAGGAGTAACATTCTCATCTAGTAAAAATGATGGTTCTGGAGAATTCCAAGAAATACATTTAGTTCCAGAGCCAGTGTTTGTGTTGCCAACAGATGGTATATCTATGATGTGTGTTAAATCAACGGATAAAGGCCGGATCTTTATGGGTGGTAAAGATGGATGCCTCTATGAAATTACATATCAGGTAAATTATGTGTTAAAATAATAAAAGTTGTCTTAACCAATCTCTTTTACAGATGTCATCTTGAATTTTAGTGTTCTGTTGAATATTAACAAGATGTTTAAAAACAAAATATTCATCTTACAGGCTCAACTAGGTTGGTTTGGCAAGCACTGCAAGAAAGTGAACCACTCAACAAGTACTCTATCATTCCTAGTGCCTACATTCCTCAGTGCAGCCCTGTATGATGAGGATCCTATAGTTAAGATTGAAGTAGACAATTCAAGAAACATTCTTTATACATTAAGTGAAAAGGGATGCATAGAAGTATTTGATTTAGGCCCTGATGGAGAGGGTTTGAGCAGGGTTGTGAGACTGACACAGGGAAAAATTGTTTCATCAGCTTTTGATATTGTCAAGTAAGTCATAAATTAAGTGACAATTAGTTGTTTAATGATTTATGTCTACTATATTGTTTCAAGTTTTTCTATTAATAAGAATGTTTTTATTTTCTTTTTAGGACATTGGAACCTAATAACTTCAAACCTGTAGTAGCCATATCTGCTGTAGAGGAATCAGAATCAGATCACCTTAATTTAGTTGCTGTTACACAGACGGGTGCGCGTTTGTACTTCAGTACTGGAAGTTCAGAGTTAGTAAAATAATAATTATGTTTCTGTTTTTTTTTTTTTTAAGTTTTGCTTTGCACTAGTCTTTTGTCATATGCGTCACACCTAAATGTGGAACAACAATTTGTGGTTAAAATAATGAAATAATTATTTAATGTATTTTTCAACTTTTAGTGCGACTCCTGGTGGGTCTCAAAGACCGCAATACTTGACGTTACTTCATGTGCGACTACCGCCCGGATTCACGCCTAACTCGTCAGTATTGAAGCCGAAACAAGTCCACAGCGCCGTGTATGAGAATGGTGAGAAGTAGTTTTTTGTAGCAAATTCCTTGTTGAATAGTGGATACAAAATGTCTAATTTACCAATTTGTTAACATTAAATAAAGGACTCAAAATAGTAATGTAATCACTTTTTCCTTACTTTATGAAATTCAATATTTTTAAGGTTCACTGGTTATGGTGTGCTCTGCGGGTGGTGGCGGAGAGGCAGAGACGTTGTGGTGTTTGTCCCGCGTGTTAGCCTCTACTTCCACCTTCAGTGAGTCACATACATTGCTGGCTCTTGATGGACCAGCCTGGGCACTCACAGCATTGCCTCACCATCATTCTAAGCATCTGTCTCAAGCTCTGCTCTCCAAAAAAGGTAAGCCTTCAATTAAATGTATTAAAAGAATCAAGATTCTGTATATGTATTTATTGCTTGACACCTTAGCTTAAAAATCCTCTAACTCACGTTGGGTTCACCCAAAATTAATTTTCATTCCTAATTTAACTATAAATTGTTTTATCAGAGGTTTGGAGTGTATCCCGCTGGGCAGTAGTGACAGGGGCGGGCGCTTGCGTGGTGGAGGCGGGCGCCGCGCCCGACTTGCTGAGAGCGCTACTGCGAGACTGCCGAGGACCTGATGCACATCCAGTCAAGGACTTTTTCCAGGTAGCATTGCATTTTCAATCTTGTTGTAATGTTGTCTTTTAATTTGAGTATTATAATATCTAAATAATGACTGTTTTTTGTTTGTAATTCACAGTTATACAGCGTGGAACAAGCGTGTGCGTGCGCTTTATACTTGGCTTGTGAGGATATTACCAGTGGTGACCTCTCAATAAGTGAGTGGGCGACCCGAGCATTCTTCCTCTATGGCAGTCAGTTGGCTCCATCGCCCATGTACCAACAGCCTTCACAAATGCCCACTACTATAGGTAACTAACAATAATAAAGAAGTGAGATAGTGGGTTTTTAATAGCAAGTATCAATAAGCTAATATTGGTTCTATTTTTAGGTTCGCCAAAGTTCTCACCACGTCAAATGTCTACGCCTATGTCTATTCGAGGCCCACAAGGCCAACTGCAGCCAGGAAAATTAAACCAATCATACCAGGGACCTATGAATCAATCTTTCCCTGGTTCACCTAATCAGTCTATGATGCCACAGTCACCATTCCATCAATCCATGATGAGCCCTGGGTTCAATCAGTCATCATTTGTAGGCAATATGACTCAGCAACCAAGAGATCCCAATTTCCCAATGCCCATAGAATACAGTGCAAAGCACAATGGTCTCTATATTTACATTGGTAGAATCTTAGCTCCCATATGGGGTTTGAAATGTGTGACAATGTCACAATCTCCAGATAAAAAGGAATTTGTAAGTATTTGAATTTTGTTTGTGCTAATAAATGACACTAGATACAACAAACAAAGTAATGTAATTTATTTTTGTTAAAACGCAGATGAGTAGCAAAGTGACTGGTGAGGATTGTGCATACATAGTTCAAAAACTGCAGCGTGTGGCTGCCTTCATGCAACGAACTCTTGCACCGCCGCATTCCGACGAGCATGCTTCCCTGCAGGCCCTTAAGTTATTTATTAGTTAGTATTCTATCTTTTGAATAAATAATGTTAACACTTATGTTATGTAATGCAATCAAAAAATCTTTCGAATACCCTACTAGAAACTTTATTTTAATTTGCAGCAATGGCAATAGAAATGCTAAGTTTATGGAAAGTTCTCTGCGAGCACCAGTTCCATGTGATCGCTGCTAGTCTTCCACCTGAACAACAGAACGCGTTGCAAGCTGCTAGTTATAGGTAACTATAGAAAAGTATATATTTATCAAAAAACCTTTTCTTGCTTTCTTTATTGATTTAATGTCATGTGAATATTTTGCAGAGAATTATTGGTTGGTGGTCAGGAAGTAGCATGTCTACTCCTCGGATCTCTAGTCGCCGGATATTTAAGAGACAACGCGTCAGTCGATGGAATCTCTCAGAAATTGAGACAACTCTGTCCAACACTATATCGGCAAGAAGATGCTACTTGTTCCAAGGTAAGGAACCACTTACTCCAATATTAATTTAGTATAAGTTAAAAGTAAGATGGTCCTTATATCTATTGATTTTATATTTCAGGCCAATGAATTGTTGATATTTGCTAAACAACAGAAGAATCCTGCTGAACGAGAAGAAATGCTTCAGCATGCTCTAAAATTATGTAAAGTAAGTTCTGTACAACAAATTAAAATTAAACCATCTTAAATTGTAAGTGTGGGGTAGCCATGCTTTCGGTACGGATGGAACTGGCGTAAAATAACCTAAGCGTTGAGTTTCCTCATCCGAGCAAGAAAGGCAAATCCCTCACCTCCCCCGATCCGTAAATCGCCAAAACCACGCACTTGGTGTTGCAGATATCCAAAAAATAATTAATTGTATCATCTTATCAGGCTATAGATATATATTTTTATTTTATATTTCTTAAAAATAATATGTCCTATTTTAGGATGTAGCCCCAAATGTGAATCTGCCGTTGGTGTGCTCCAAACTGGTGTCGGCTGGTTTTTACTCGGGGGTCGTTGAACTTTGTGTCGCATGTGCTTCTAAATTGGATCCTCAAGACAAAGCCGTGCATTATTACAAGAGCGACCAACCCTCACAGGATAGAGAAGGACACTTTATTTACTACAGAAGGTAAAGTTTATTACTGATCTTTTAATATGAAATCATTTTTTGAATCTTTATTTTGATAATATTGATAATATTATGTTTGTTAAGGATGGAGATATACCGCGAAGTGTGCTCAGCCCTAGAGCGTTTGTACGAACGCAGCGCAGAAGCTTCAAGCAGTGAACCGTCTCCACTGCGATCCCAGCCTAATAACGACAACATCCTCACCATGTCGCCTGCTGACGCCAATTACCAAGTAACGACTTTCGCCTTCGAAATTTTTACATTTTTCTTTATAGAAGGACTTAAATGATTTTAATTTATCTATTCTTTACAGGGAAGGAAGTTGGTATGGGAATGTCTCTCCAGAGATGACGAACTTTTGCACGTCGCTGTTTATGAGTGGCTAGTCTCCAAACATTTGGGATCAGGTAACATACTCCTAGTAATCATAATTCATAATGTATTAACTTTAAAACCTTTTTTTCTATCATTTCTGTTACATTGTACTTTATGTTGTTATAGAGCTGCTATCGCTGGGTACTGCGCCCCCGGCGTCTTTGCGTACGTACCTGCAGGCGGCGGCGCGGTCTGCAGCCCCCAGCGCCGCGCTGCATCTGCTGGACCTGCTTTGGAAGGTGCTGGAGAAAAGTGGAGATCATCTCGCTGCTGCTAATGTATTGGAAGGTCTGGCTACTAGACCTGGGTGAGTAATACACATGTCATGGTAAATTATAGTTAGAATAAAAAATGGCATCTTGACTTAATATGATTCAATCGAGAATCTTTACGTTATCACCTAATTCTAACTAAAATAAACTACTTACACCCGGTTTCCGAAATCCTGATCAATGTTAAAATCAATTTAATCTCTTGTCAAATCATCTGATTGGTTGACTGAATTATCAACAACCAAACGGATGACTTGACAAGGGATTTAACAGAAGATTAGTAAATTTTATCGTTGACAAGCCTTTCAGAAACCGGGTGTTAGTCTTGGGAATCCTAAGTAGATTTCTTGTTTATCAGGTAGGAATTGTTTTTGCTTGTAAAGCAGTGTTGATTGAAATGCAAGTGTTGTGTGTCAGGTCGGGCGCGAGCCTGGCGCAGCGCATGTCGTGGCTGTCGGCGGGCGTGGTGTGCGTGCGGGGCGCGGGCGCGGGCGGCGCGGGCGCGGGCGGCGCCGAGCTGCTGCGGCGCCTGGAGGAGGCGGCCGAGGTGGCGCGTCTGCAGGCCGCCGTCCGCGCCGCCGCCGCCGCGCTGCCGCCCGCGCTGCAGCCCCACCCCCACCACATGCAGCGCCTCGACGACGACCTGCTCGAGATCACGCAGGTACCTACATAGCTTATCACGTTCATAACCTCAGGTATATCATTATGTCGCCCGACCAGAACCAGACCCCAGCGGACGGCGCGTAGCGTTCCACGCGCGCCTCAATGAGCCAATAGACCACCACAGTCGGGGCCCTATAAGGTTGATGTTCAGCCAGGGTTGCAGGATAAGCGCAATAAGTCACCGCGGCCTCGGCCCAGAGCAGGAGAAGGAACAGGGGCTTTTTAGTCAGTAAGAGTCATTCTCGTTTTACCCTGGTCGGTAGACGTCGTTTGATGGTTTTCCCCTAACAAAAAAAGGTACATCATTATGTTCTATCAACTTGAGCCAAAATAACACAAATATGTTTTTGTATTTTCAGCTTTACGAAGAATATGCAGATCGCTACAATCTGTGGGAATGCAAGCTTGCCATCGTGCAATGCTCTGGCCATAATGACGCACTCTTAGTTGAGAATATTTGGAGTAATATCCTCGCCGAGGCAGAGGCTGCTGCTAGGAATCTTCCTACGCCTGACGAGAAACTGGCTTCAGTGCTTAGCAAGCTGACTAGCTTAGGCAGGGAATATGTCAACACTGGACATTGTTTCCCTCTGTGTAAGTAATTGAGTCAACTTTATGCTACAGTATTTAAAACACTTTCATAAAAGAAAATTTTAACTAAACTTCTATTATTTTCAGATTTCATTGTACGTCAATTAGAAATAATGAGCTGTAAGCTTCAAGCCGATCGTGGGATGGTATTTAAAACAATTTTAAATATTGGTGTGTCACTGGAACAAGTGCTGGACATCTACATCAAGTATGTATAACAGTATAGTCACAATAATTTATTCCAACTAAATCATAAATAGGTACTTTTGAAACGTCAAAAAGCTTTTGTTTATTTTCTTTTGTCTTTTAAAATTCTTATCTTCCATTTAAATCTTTTGAAGAATGAATAAGAAAAACTGGTTAAAATTGTATGGTATGTGTGTGCGTAGACTGGTGAGCGTGAACGAGCGCGTGTGGCTGGGCAGTGGCGACGAGAGCCACGTGTGTCGCGCGGCGGCCGCCCTGCTGGACGCGGCGCGCGCCCACCTGCTGCCGCTGGCCGCGCCCGCGCGGCGCCGCGCGCTCGCGCGCTGCAAGGACCTGCACGACGCCGCGCTCTCCGCGCTGCAGGTCACTCATTCCCCTTAACCTTCATTTTTACTAGCTCCGTAGAAAAGTAATGCCACTGGCATTTTTTAAACACTGTTGTCCCGTTCCTGAGGTTATATTGCAATATCCTGTTGCAACTAAGCTTTAAGTTTACTAAGGTACCTGCATGCCAAATTAAAAACGTCTAACTGAATCGGTTTCGATTTTTCATACAAAAGGATTTTCCGCTAATTACCATCCCGTGAGAATTTCGGCGATTCCTTTCTTAGTGCACCTCTACGATACCTAAGCTACATCCCTTCCAAATTTGGAGCGCCTACGTTTAACCGTTGAAGCTGTGCATTGATATGTCAATCAGTTTCTCCTTTTACAGGGGGAGGGGATATAGATTTAACAAATCATCCTCCCAGGTTCTTAATTTATTATTCACAATTTTACTAATTAATTGCTTGTAAGCAGTGATACGATTTAATTTAATAAAATACTTTTTTATATTTTAATCGGCAGAATCGTTAATTTTGGATTAAAGATAATGGCATTATTTGTTGTTTAATTGATATGAAGAATCACCCAGGTATGCGTACCTTTTCATACGGAACATATACCTGACGCAACTTGAAGTTGATGCCACCTGGAGGTATCCTACCTGCTAACTAAAAGGCCAGGGTTGGATAGCTTTTATCTGCGAATCTGTAGGATTATTCCGATCGAGCTAATACATTCGTGACGAAGCATAGTTCTCCCACCTGAACTTACATACACATGCATTCTCATATATAGTATGTTCCTCGTATACTCCAGCAAATTGGTTCCTGTTATTCTGAAGTCTGTTTATAACTCCACATCTGTTATTTTTACAATACTTCGCACTAAACTAGTTGTAATTCAAATTGATTACTATTATGTTTCTGATTTTTTATAAGCATGCAATTTTACACATTACAAAAGTTTGTCGATACTATACTAACTTAAGTTTATTCGTTAGATTAGACTAAATAGGAATGCTACTTTTTGAACGACGATAGATTTTATTGTGTGGGGCCTAATTCTCGTCCCTTTTCCTTCCCTTCTCCATTCCTTAAATCTCCAAAATTCCCCAAAAGGTTGGCAACGTACTTCGTCTATGACAAACTAAAAAGACATTTTTTATTCCTTTCCGTTCATAATGTACTACAATTCAGCTACCAGCTTAGCTAAGCCTGAGCCGAATTATTATTGTTATGATTCATGTCATCCAAATATTAAAGAGTTTTGTCTCATTGCAGGCGCGGCCCAACACTCAACGTCTCATCGAACGGCTGTCAGTTGCGCAGGCGCACTTGGACCGCTTGGATTGAATTTAGTTGTAATTTCTAATTTAAGTTGATAAAACTCGTATTAAGTTTATACAAGTGCAGATTACTTAATACAAATCTAAGAGCTTGTCAAGTCTTCAGTTTAATCTGTTATTCTAGGTATTTTTATGCATGGATCAAATTTAAATGGTTAACTGGTTAAATCTTTGGGAACTAAGTCTGCTTTATATATATAAAAAAAAACCAAATTCATTGACTGATTTTTTATTTAATATTTTCATAAATTACTAAACATACAAAAAGTCATACAGTAATTAATTACTATTAAATAATTTTCTAATATATTATTAAACTATTTTCTGTTAACATAATTATTGCAGTGGCAGTGACATACAAACATTCTCCTCATAAAATTATGTATAATGTACAAATGTGTTGAATCATGTGCATAATTATAAATATATGTGATTATGCATCAAAAGGCACTATGAATATGATTTCTATTTTTGTAAATAAACGATGATAATATAAGAACAAACCGGCTTGTGATTTATGTACCTCGTTGAATGTGATATGCTTAGTGAGATCTAACATTTATATTGATCGTAAATTAATATTATTCTATTAATATTTACAATCCAGATTCCCTAGGGGTGAAATAAGTTTGGAAAACGCCAGTAGTACTCAGCGTGTCCTTTAAATTAACAAAAGTACGAAATTAATGATAAATGGATAATGACTATGAGGAGTCTTCGTCGAAAGGGTTTGTATTTACCTGCTGATGAGATGGATGGTGCTCATCGTCTGGGTAAGAGTACACTCCGCTATGCTGGCCTCCACTGACCGTGGGCAGCCCCACAGTATTCATTGTAGAGACCGCGTTATTATACTGCTGATGTTTAGTGGGATCTCTCCCTGTAGAGTTCTTTCTTATGACTGTTGTGTAAGTTGGCGTTGTCTTAGTCGGAATGTCTTTAATTCTGGTTCCCGCACGATAAGTACCGAATTCGTCCGGTGGAGGTGGCAACGAAAATCCATCAGAATTTTGTGTTATTTCGGAAGCCTCGTCACTAAGTTCTTTGGCGAGTTTGTGTCGCATTTTCCTTGGCATCGTATAGAATGTATTCATCTGAAAATAAACAAACATATCTGTTATATAACTCATCAACAAATTAAACAGTTAGGCAAAAAGCAAATTAGGTAGTTTACCGGTCTCGGAACGTTGTAATTAGTTTCAGGGGGTAGATGCAGTACTAGGTGATCACATAATGCGTCCATTTCTTTCTTTCTGTGAATATTCTGCAAAGAGTGCACCCTGCAGGTGGTGTGTCGAGGTATCTCGTTGCACTTGCTCACCGCCTCTTGGTCGGCCATGTCGTGCATGTAACGCGCTGAGTGGAATGAACTAGTCCGACGCACATCGAAGTTCTTGGAGGAGTGTCGCGATACTGCTCGTCGGAACGAATCCGTCCGTCTGACGTTGCATTCGCTACCTTCATCGCTGTCGTGATATGTTTCACAGTTTGATTCTGAAAATGTAAGTAAGTATATGTACTACCAATGGTGCATTTAATAACGTAAGTAGGTAGGTATATCTATTAGATAGACATCATGCACACATAGACATTTATAAGCTGAATGCTTACACAAATTGGTGTTTTTTTTACGTACCTTCGGTATTATAAGCACAGAGTGGTGGGTCGGAGAGGTCACGTGGCAGGTCAAGGCGTGAGGAGCGCTCGTAGGTGCAGAGGACGAGGCCGCACGCAGCCAGCGCCACCAGCGCCACGCCGCCGCAAAGTGCTAGCGCTAGTGTCGTTATATTCCTTACACTGCTCACTGTTACCGGCGGAGCTGCGCGATTGCAATATAGTATTAAAAATCAGACAAATTCCAAGAGCTAGACTAGGCACACTCTTGGATCCTGATAAGACTTGACAAGTTTCGAATGGCTATTGATGAGTCTAGTACCTAATCTTCCTAAAGAATTGCTCTTTTGGCGAAATCGTACACAAATCTGGCGACGAAACACGAACTTTTTAAACACAATATTTAATGTTCCTACTTACACATCGCTTTACAGATGTACATTAAATAATGGTAATTTTTATTTAAGTAAGCAATATTTTGAAGCGACCTACTGAAAGCTCGCCACAACCGTGATAGAATACTTATGTGTAGTATTTTTAATAAGAATAATTCATAGTACCATGTTGATTTACGTTTTTATCTATATTACTCACCGATTCCTTCACTCACTATGCTGTCCTTATCAACCTCTACAACTTGACTTTCTCCTTTATCGTTGAAAGCTATGATCACGAACTTATAGTTATCGTAACTCGGTTCTTGTATCATAAACTTCGGTTCCAAATTAGTTATTGATACCAACTCTTCTTCAGTATCCACTGCTTGCACGGTGAATTTAAATTTCTGGAATAATTCAAAATTAATATTAGATATTACGGTATTAAGATTAGTCTAATTTATATACTATTATCTAATTGTCATAAACGACAATTTTGTATCAGATATATATAGACTTGTGACGTCATTTTTTAAGGACCTTTCCTAATTTCAGCAAACAGCATGCAAGCAGGCGTGATAGAGATCCAAAGGAAATTGGGAATCATTTTTAGGTTTTTTAAAGATTATTAGTTACTTTACACTACTACATAATAATTATGTAGATATATTAAATACCTGAGGTAATCCTCCATCGTGCCCTTTTTCACACGCGATAATGATGTCATTCATAGAATTCTTCTTAGCTTCACAATTAGTGGGCGGTCGAGGTATCGTTTCTCCGGTCACCAAGAAGGTGCAGGGAGTATGAATTAACCCTTTAGAGGGCACATCGTTTTGTCCCCAACAAAAAATTGTACCTGGACGAAAAATTCTTTAAATAAGACATTTGACTGACTTATTTATGATGTAATAATGATATATTTCATAAGTAGCAGATACCTATAAAAGTAATTATATTTAACTTCATAATTTTCTTAGAAATCATTCAATGAAAACTTCGTAATCATTATGTCTAACCCGTAGTTTTAAATATTATAAGTATCCAGTGCTGTATTATTTATTCTCAACTAAGTATTCGTTACCTTCTTATTAGAAAAATAACTTACTGTAATCAGTTTCGTTGGGTCGTTGGTACAACAGTACTGAATCTTCAGTCTCAACAGATTCGTGCGGACGATTTCTTAGAGTGCTAATATTCACAGCTTCATTGACTAGAATCCAGCGGTATGACTTTGGCGCGGGGTTACTTTTCACATTGCAAGTCAAATTTACCGCTTCGTTTGCTCCAACACCGTATTCCATTATCGCATCATCTTCGCAGTAGGAGGGGTCTATGTAAATAAATAAGACAAGTGAAGATATTGTACCAAATTTATAAGTACCTACCTAACTTATCTTTGCATTCTTAGTAATAAAAGCTAAGTGGACTCGAATTCATAAATTGGACGTACATAAATAACAAAGTCACAACTCGATGCAAGCATTAGCTGAAGAAAAAGGATGATGACTACGGAACTTCTTTGTATACTAGTTGAATGCTCACAAGGGTGAATTTTGTACAAGAGGTTATGGACGGAGTCATAAAAAGTGTAAGTACCTAGTAATTATTTGAGATGGTATAGTTTATGTGAGAAATAAGGTTGAAAATTTAAAAAAAGACAACAATTTTTTTCTTTATTTAATGGCAACAGAGTTCCTCATTGAGACCTCAAAGAGACATTATACCACCGTAGATGAGGCCATACAGGTAAGATTTTCAGCCAGGATTGCGGTTGCAAGTTCAATAATGTACCGTGGCCCCGGCCGGGAGCAGGATAAGGCAAGGGTTGGTTTTTAGTCGGTAAGTCTAACATTTTTTTCTTCTCGTCATGTTATTTGATGATATAGGTTATAATGCAGCTAGTTAGGTAATAAAAAGTCTTACAAATAATATCGATGTTGATCGGTTCGCTGTACGTAGATCCCTCATTATTGTTCGCGACGCATGCGTATTCGCCGCCGTCGGCCTCGGTGACGTTTTTAATTTCTAAAAACTGCTGAATATTTCCTTTACTGTCTTTGTCAGCGTTAACTATCATGTCTTCCTGCAAATTTAAAGAAAAACAGCTATAGTTTATATCTTATAAGTGTCTAAGTATAAACTTGAGTTATGACTGCGCAAAATGAAGAAAATCAGTTATGATGCTGATTTATTCAAAATATTGATGTATGTGAATCCGAGAAACCGAGAAAAGTTGAACACCACAAAAATAGTCATGGTGATATTTTTTGGAAAATTTTTGCTGGTAGGTTACCTTATGAAAGAAGAGAAGTTCGTAAACGTCAGGGTTGGCTTGATAGCTGCACGCTAGTGACAAGTTGGATCCTTTGATTACTGTGACCGTGTTGTTCTCTACATTTGCGTCAGTCACCACGATTTCCAGTATCGGAGGATCTGTAAATGATTTGGTCATTAGGCAACTTGCAAAGAATTTAATATCTATATAATTTATCTAATATAACATTTCTTGACACCGACAGACGCGAAAAATCTTACAAAAATGATAACATGATGGTATAGGTAGGTAATTGAAGTGTTGCATTTAGTATGGGGATCCAGATGAATAAAATAAATACATTGATTGCACATCAATATAATTGGAAGGTATGACTCACATAACACGGTGAGGGGTAGTGGCTGGGCGCATACGAATTGTTCCGAGTTGCGGCGATGCGCGGGCGCACAGCATGTAATGTGCGACTCATCGTACTTCCGGTCTATCGTTAGCTGGATGTCGCTCACCACGAGCCGCTGGGAGGGCTCCATCTGTTTTATGATACAGAGTAATTAATGACAATTATTACGATTAACGTTAGTACCTACCTATGCTTCGTTACCAACTCATTTATCAGAATTGTTTTTACGTCAACTGTAGGTAATATTTACTCAGACCCTAAAACCTACCTATGTGTGGATACGGTCCCTGCTTCAGTGATTTAATGAGAAATACATATTAATATAATAGGTAACGTAAGAAAGTAAATAAACAAAACGGTTTTATCAATAACAAGCGCATCAAAATAGCCAGTAACCAAAACAACTGAATAAATCAAGTTCTGAGAGGCGTAGATAAGCGCATCAAACGGGCATGTCAGTTGTCACTCACAGTAATTTTCTGCTCCAAGTTGAGCAGTTGATTGTCGGCGAGCCGCCACACGATGGGCGGCAGCGGGCGCGCGCCCAGCACGCGGCACTGCAGCGACAGCGCCTCGCCCGCACGCACCCGGCCCGTCGACCCGTCCGAGTCCGGACCCTCGCTCCGCAGGGACACCAAGTCAGGCGGCACTTTAATAACAACCATTTATTATTTGCGTGCGTTTATGTACCGATACAAATACAAACAGAAAAGCGTTTAAACCAACGAACTATTGTACCTACCTACGATTGTCAACAGCACATAATAATATCGTGGCATTGCTTAGCGCATATTTCAGCTAAAGCTTTATAGCAAGATGTAAATGTAGGTAAATCCACGCAAGGCAAGACAAGGCGACCGAAGTTCCATGGAAGCAATGTTTTATCAAAATTCAAAATTGATAGTAAGTAATAATATTGTAGAGAAGTCACCGGGATACTTACAGTACATATCTATGGTGATGTCTATGGACAGCGGTGCGATTATCTCGTTGTTTTTAGCTAAGCACGAGAAGACTCGGCCATGATCCTCTCTTTGAAGGGGTCCGTATATCAGGTCACCGCGCACTCGATGCTCTGACAGCGGCGTTAAAGTGTTCTTCAAAAACCGCTGGTCTGTCCACCATGACAATGAAGCTAGGGGCTTGCCTGTTAAGTATAGAGTAAAATAATGCATAGTCTCAACCTAGGAACAAAATGAAAATTAAATTAAAAACCATTTAAGTGGGGGAGAACCGTGCTTTGGCACGAACTGGAGTGATATCACTGCCTCACATAAAACCGACGTGAAACAACCACAGCGCTGTGTTTCGTCGTGTGAGTGAGATTTCCGGAGGCCCAATCCTTCCCTTTCCCCAATCCTTAAATCCCCAAAACTTTAAGCCCCAGAAGGCAACGCACTCGTAACTCTCCCGTTGTTGCGGGTGTCCATGGGCGGCGCTGATTGCTTACCATAACGAAGTCAAATGCTTGTTTGCCGTCCTATCATATAAAAAAAACATGTTTTTAGATACATAATTAATTTCTTATATGTAGGTAACCTACCTCCATAAGCCACACAAGCGAGGTGGACGGTGTCACCCACGTAGTAAGGTCCCACGTTCTGGCTCGTGTTGGAACCAGCGCTGGCCTTTGCCACTTGAGTGCCGTTTTCATGGACTACCCATAGATGGCGCGGCGGTTCTATAATAACAAAAGAAGTCCTTTACTTCCTTCGGTGGCCGGGCAACCGGCTGCCGAGCGTGTCGTGTGGCGGGTTCAGGTCCCGCACGGCACAACTAAGTATCCACAGATCATTGTTCCGGATCTGTGTGTTTGATGTGTGATTGTATGCGTGTAAACGCACACACCACACGAGACAGAAGAAAACTCTTGTGTGGAGCAACGTTTAAAAAATATATGTATTCTGTCTTAATACTTTTTTAGAAGTTCCAAAATAGTGAGATGGCTGTCGTGGACTATAAAAGAAACATTTTGTTGGTTACATAAATACACAAACACATCACACTGGGCAATTGGACTTTTTAGACTTGTTACGTTATCTACTCTAGAACTTCTAAGTACATTTCAACCCATTGTTCCAAAAAATAAGCAATATTTTTTCATCACAAGAGTTATTTTTAACCGGTATTTCAAATAAATACAGATTAGATGAAGATAAATAAGATGTCTGAATTAACACGTAACTAGACAGTCATTCACTCATCCCTCTTCCAAAAATAGCCTAAGTTAGTAACGCAGCTAATTATTATACTATTAATGATGTAATGTTTACGTCGCGCAATTGTTTAATAAATGGAGCAGTTCCGCTGTCCGCTTCCTCATTAGCCTCGCGGACCAATTAACTGAACCGCCGCTATTCTGCAGGATAGGTAAATTTTAGTTTGCCTCGTTACCACTGCCTTTGTTCGATTCGTGTAAAAAATGAAGATGAGAAAGTAACGATTTTGCACTCGTTTACAGCTGAAATGTTTTATTAGATACGAAAATTTTGGAATTTTCTGTTGGATTTTGTTTTAATTTCGGAAGATAGGATCTAATGTTGTTGTAAGTACTTACTTAAATGGTAAACCTACAGATACGTAAGTACCTAATTGATTGTTACCATATTAAACTGCATAAATAAAGCAATAACACCGCCCAGATATGATGCACAATGAGTCACCTGATACGTGAGTTATCTGCCATAGTTCACACTAATCTTTTAGTCACCTAAATGCATGAGCAAATTGCAGTCACATGTCACGGAGATCAGCGAATAAAGAAGTTAACAGTCTATTCCGTGTGTTACACTAATTTCAGAACCTGCCGTTTTTTAATGTTGTTTACTTGAACAAAGGTTTTCTATCACATTTATAAAATTGGAAATATTAATTAGCTTTTTATCGATGGGTATCTAGTTTAAATATTCCCCGAGTGATGGTAAACCATGGCTACTAAGTAAGTATGGAGTCTTGAGTTAAAGTCCTATTCTTGACAAATATTGACACTGCTAATCTTAATAGGTGGTAATGGCACGGATTAAGAAATAGCGAATGTATAGAATATCATCCATAATATAAAATTCCTTGGAGAGGATATTTATAACTTAACTCTAGTTTTTGGACATACTACATATTTCTCCCCATAGGTAACTTAAGTACAGTGGGGTATACACGCCTAAATAGGAGCTAAACCGTGTCAATGCTCTCCTTGAACTCAGTGTTGACGCACATTTTTGTAGTCACTTTCGATAAGGAAAATGGATTCGTTAATGCACTAGGTACCTACTTACCAATAACAGCTAAATGAACGTGAGTTTTGTAAGCAGGGCTGGCAGCGAAGTCAGCCAGGCAGGTGTACAATCCTGCATCGGAGGCTCGCACGTTGACTATTTGCAACTTATCCTCCCCCTTGGTTTCTCCCGTCACCAGCCGGTACCGACTGCCCGGCGATGTGGTACTCTTGTCTCCGTGGCGCAAGTCGCGACTGCTGAGACAAACGACTTTAATGGTCATCTTTACAAGTAGGCAAATAGGTAGGTATCTACTTAGTTCTCAGTAGAACCTCTAAATGTAAAGTTTGAAAGTGAGAAAAAAGTGGCGACACCATACACCGAGACGCTTAAGGGGCAAATTAAATTAAAATAGCCTACCTATTCGAAAATTAAAACCGAGATTGCTTGCTATAACTAAATATATGTAGGTATAATAAGTACCGTCCGTAACTTACTGCGCTTGCACCACAACTCAGGTTGAACATCAGCCCTGTTGGACCCCATCTGTGGTGGTCTATTGGCTTTTTGAGGCAAATACAGTATTTCAAAACTAAATCAATAAAATTACCTGTAAAATGCTGTAGTCGAACCATTTCTGTACCAGGCAAGTATGTTGAGTTTGTCGTCCTCTTTCTCCGAAGTCACGTTGCATGGTAGTTCCACACTCTGTCCCAATACAGCATCCACTAAAGGAAGGGAATAAAATAAGCTTCGAGATAAATAGGTCCAAAAGCATTTATGTACCTAATAAGGTTCAATAATGTCGATCAATTATGGGTAGGTACATACAGGAATAGGTAGGTAGGTACCTACTTATGCATGCAAGTCTTGGATTTGACCCCTATCATTCCTAGCTTCATCGTCAGTCATGTCTATTGTCGTGTCTATTAATTTTGTAATATTTTATGTTATTGTAATTATTAATGAGCTTCGGTACCTTATTTCTAATTAAAAATCTGTAAATTCGTTCGCCAGGCGGCTCCTAAATCCTAGGGTGGAGCTACGATTTAAAAAAATAAATAAAATTACTCTTAAGTACTGTAACTAGATCTCGAGATCAAGTGCTATTTTATCTTATCCTAAACTAGAATAGGCTTATGGAAATGTCCCCTAACAAGTCCAAACACCACTAGTTTATAATTATTCACTCGCTGTATTTATCCTATTTCCAAAAAAAAATCTAGATTCACACAATATAATATCTATCCTATTTACAAAAAAAAAAATGTATATTCCCTCGATATTTGTTACATTATTTTTTATTTACACTGACTTATTAAACACCCCATTTGTGAACAAATTTAAAATGCGTTGTTCTTTACTTTAATTTGTAGCAATGGTTTTAAATAAATGTCCCTTATATTCTAATAACTAATAACAACTCCTAAAAAATCTAAAGTTAAAGTAGGTACGTAAGGTAAGCAGATACTTACCCTTTTCGTAGATTTCTTGTGCACATAAACTGTTTAGTAATAAAACGATCACCGTTGAATATGTAAAACTATTCATTTTTACACAAATATTAAAATTATGTTAAAATGCACATTACAAAATATTCGTAGTTTGAAATTTCACAAGTCGAAGAGGGCACGGCCTGATTGGGCGCAACGGACACGCGTTTCAATTGGCGCGCTCGGCCGCAATAACGATATCGTCGGTCCAGGGAGTGCGGGACTTCGCTACCGGCCGGCGTGCGCGGTCCCCGAATGCTTCCGGAGCGCCCGCCTGTCCCCGCGTGTGACGTCACGCCCGCCCTGCCTGCCGAATCATCATTTATCTTACACTTTTTAATTGGGGAGGTCAAAACAATTGGGTCACCTCATCTGGATTTATTTACTGAGTAAACTGGAAAGCATTTATTTCTGGCAGTTTATGTTTCCGGTTAGTACTGGCCCTTACGCCTTTATGAGCACCAGTGATCAGTTGGCTGACCATGTAAATATAATAATTTGCTGACAGCTTAATCCAACAGTGATTCAAAATATTATTGAGTGTATTGTGTGTTACATGTACCTAATAAGTCCACAAATAATACAAAACTAGATACAAATGATTAGTGGGACAAGCATAAAAAAAAATATTTTTTTTTTAATAATTTAATATCTAATCAAAATTTTGAATGGTAACACATAGGCAACAAGGTAATAATATAAGTGGGTATTTCTGGATCACATTTTAGAGTTGTTTTAAAGACCGAGTGAATAGAACTGCTAATGTGGCAATCACAGCACTCCCAATGGTTCCGACTAAAATTTTCTTTTTCTTCATGTTTTTTGTCTTTTTTATCTGTAAATGATGATAAAACCAGTGTTATAATGATTCTGAGAGAAGAAAACATATTTGAAGCTGTTATATTACAAGTCAACCTACCTTGAATTTTGAATTTACTGCAATTTCCATAGCATTTATTATGTTACCAATTTCATTCAATGTGGCAAGAGCTACGTTAGATGCATATTTATCTTTATATAGCAAACAGTCTGATACTTTTTTAGTTTTACTCAGTGCTGCATTACTGGCTACCATGCTAAGATGTATTCTATGGAGCAGCAAGGCACATTCTTCGAAAATTTCAACCATTTCCAATGGACCCAAAGTAGCAATCCTGCAAAAAGTGATTACTTTTATTATTCATTTTTTATTATACATAAATTAAGTTACATTCTAATCATGAAATACAAAATTTAAAGAATTTAGTATTTTTACGAATTATAATGTAATTATTTTAAAAGTATTTGTTTATTACCTAGCGGCTTGAGATTCTTCGTATGCAGGAAGCAACTTGGCACGGTCAATAAGTTGTTTCCTTATTTCAGGTTCAACAACTCCCAATTTTTGGAGATCCTCGTCTGATAATTCCGATAATCCATACTGATCAATATCTTGTTTTCTGTGTGTAAACAAATCAATGTTATTAAGACTTACCCGATGCTAGGAAAAATTACTTAAGTTTGATGACTTACTTGAATATCTCGATATATTTTTGTGCGCCTAACCCACATAGTATAGAATTTACAGTATCTTCAAAACTTGCCGAATTAATCTCTTTAGTTTCTACTACAATCTCTGATTTGTCCATAATTTTTTCTTATTTTTAGGTTTTGCTATTTAGCTAATCTAATGTTTGGATTTTGAATGCTAAATGGTAATGTCAAAACAAATGTATGATTGACATAAAATTAAACGTCAATGTCAAATGTAAAACTTACGGCGAAAATATTTAATATAGATCACAGACAAATAAAACAGTTCCTTCATGATCACATTTTTTATTAATTTCACGCATAATTGTAAAAGAAAAGTCTCAGATCGTTATTTAATTGTCAAAACTAAATTATCGGTTCAGAAATATTTTATTTCCTGATAAACTTAGTTTACTAGAGTAAATTTATAAACGAGAGGAATCGATTCAGAAATATTCGATTTTCATATCGAATAATTTCGCAACGTCACTATTTCGTACGTGTCATAACGTTGCAACACTGAAATTGTCAAATCTGGAAGTCCGAGTATAGTAAGTATATTAAATATTTTCGCCTCACACATTTTATATCATCAACTCTATACTCTATGGTTACATACTAATACTACTCTTTGGTAAGTTTTACATTTGACATTGACGTTTATGAGACGAAATACAGACAGACATGGGCAGACCCAATGACGTATTATATATAGACACGTCATGAACCAACATCGCGGCGCTTAAAAACGGCGAAAATACTAGATAACTACTTCTACGAGTAAAGAAAGGGAAAGAAAATATGACATCGTATAGTGGAATGCCTTTGCTAGAGGGAGATAAATATACATCTTCAGTTATGCCGACGTCACGTGACTATACCTTCATGCGCCAGCCGCCATAAGATGGCGGGCGCCGGCGTCGAAAAAAATAAAATAAAAATAGGTTGTTTGGTGAACTTACGCATGAAATGACACATTTTTGTCTTTAACTTTTGGAGTATAATTTGTACATCGTCTGAACACACACAACGACATGCTTTCTTTATGTTTCGCACAGGTTTACACACGATATAAATTAAAAACAAACGTAGCGTCACGCGGCAGGTTGGTGCGTAACTAAGCGCGATGTTGTCAATTGCCTTCATTTCATGTTGTCATTTTAGAGCGCGGACAACGTATCTATAGTTTTATACATCATTGGGCAGACCACGAATTAATGACGACGACGAACAGGACAATGAGATAGTGCAGCGCTTTCGAGCGGATCCGACTACTTCTACTAATATTGTTGCCCGTGATCTGGGACTTTCGCAATGGAGAGTATGGTTTACAGTGCATACTGCTGGCCTATAGGCCAGCAGTATGCACTGTAATGTGTAATGTAATGGTACGGGTATACCCGTACCATTACACGCCGGTACACACTATTGAAGAAGGAGACCCCGCGAGAAGGTTGGACTTCTGCAGATTTATGCTAAATGCTGACGTAGAAGACCCAGATTTTTTAAGAAATATCTTGTGGACAGATGAATCCAAATTTGATAAAGATGGCATAAGTAATTATCACAACGCGCATTACTGGGCTCCAAAAGAACTTAGGAATCCCAATAAGAAAAGAGTGAAGGGTTCCCAACGAAGATTTAGCGTAAATGTGTGGATGGGTATTATCTCCAATCATTTGATTGGACCTTACTTTCTCCCGGACAATCTAAATGGGGAAAGTTACGAAAATTTTTTGAGAGGAGACTTGAGTGATTTGCTTGATGATCTGCCACTCAACTAAATCAGGGACATGTGGTTCCAACATGATGGCTGCCCTGCACATTTTAGGAGAAGTGTCAGAGACTGGCTGGACACAAATTATCCAAACTAGACTAGGATAGGACGAGGTGGGCCGTTGCCATGGCCAGCTAGAAGTCCGGACCTAACCCCCATGGATTTTCATGTGTGGGGGCGCATGAAAAGCCTTGTCTACAGCGAGTCAAATCCAGTTTCGTCTGTGGAAGAATTAAAAGAAAGGATTGTGGATGCAGCCAATCAAATGAGGACAACATTGACCACTGGAGTAGTGAAGACTGGTCTCCGTCGAAGAATGCGACAGTGTATTAGAAACAGAGGCGGCCATGTTGAACACGAATTGTAACAAAAAGTTGTGTAAAAACCTTATTTAATAAATACTTTGCATTAATTTTAATTTTCTTGTTTTTTGCTAAGTATTAATTTTTTCCTCCACTATCGCCTATGAAACTAAGTTTTTTCAATGCATTTAAATGAAACCCTAGATTGTTATACCTTGTTGGATAGCTGATGAAACGTAGATATTTTATAACTTATCTGCCGATCAAGTGCCATAAAATTTTTTTTAGATATCCCTCAGAGAAAAATAAACTTTCTATTTTTTTTTTATTTCTTAACTTTCTCTTTTTTACTACGGCGTATTGAATTAACTTATTCACTATTTTTATGATTGAGGTCCTAAAGCATCTTATTACACATGTAGAAATGGGATAATAATAATAATAAGTCACACAAAATAAACAAAATTAAATTTAGTAGCCTAAAAATCGTCAATTTTCAATAAAAAGATTAAAAGTCGAATATCTCGAAAAGGGTTAAGTTTAGGGTAGGGTGTTTCATGGTGAAATAAGTCAGAAATGATGAGTACTCTACGCCCTTAACGGATCTAGCACTTTTCCTGTAACCCTGTATACCTACACACTCACAAAGCCAAGCTAAACTGTCTTTCCTTGTATTTTTTATGAAAATCGGTTACGAATATCCACCTATTTTGTTTTACCTAGATAGGCACAATGCGCTATATTAACCTTTGACCCTCGGCCTTTAGCAGGAGAAAGAATAGGGTGGTTTTAAGTCAGTTAGAGTCTCACACTCATGCCTCACCCTAGGCGAGAAGACTATTAGATGATTTTCCTCTTTCAAAAAAAGCTTAAGATTTCTAGTAGACTTTCCCACTTTCCATGAAGTAGTGTTATAAAAAAAAACAAATGAAAAAATGTATAATAGATAGATGAAGTGTAATAAAAAGAAAACAAATAAAAAAATACAGTCGTAAGTAGGTATCACATAATGTACAGCAACGGAAGAAAATAAATATTGTTCTGACCCCAGTAAATGAAGTCTGAAATATTTGCTACAACAACATTGAATCTACTTAAGTACTAAATAAATGCATCATCGATCATTCCGTTTTGTGCCTTACCATATAAGTTCACAAGTACTTATGTATGTATAAAAATCTTTCAAAATGGACTACGTGTCAGATAAACTTTTTAAAGATATTTTTTCTCAATAATTTTCAATCTAAGTGCCCCTAGAAAGGCAGATACTTAATAATTAAAATAAAAAAGTAGAACAAAAAATAAAGTCTTACTTTGAGCAAATAAATTTTTGTAACATCCTTTTTTTGACATGCTCGTTATGGCAATAAAAATAAATACTTAATAAATTTAAGAAAATAAATAATTTTGTATATCTAATATCTAAACTACTTATATCTAATTGAGCAACTGGCGAGGCGTATAAAATTTCAATTTATCTAAATTTAATTGTGATTAAGATCTAAGCTACAGATAGGTTGTCGACGATTGCTTTGACAGCTTGCCAGGTCTCGCGGGCTGTGGATACTATTTGGGAGCCTGGCAGCAAGAAACCGTAAGGTCCGAAGGAATCCCGCAAGTCCACGTGATACGAAAATTTGATTCCAGCTCGAGCTTTAGCCCAATCATGCGACATTCCAGAAGCAGGCTGTCGTATTTCAGCTGCAGTGCCGACCTGGAACATAAAAAAATATTTCAGTGAAATGAAAAGGTTTTAGTTTAACTATGATTAAGAAAGAAGTGGTTAGCCAATATTTTACTGTTACCTTATTTAATATACGTAACAGAACGCGGTCATCACGCTATACATGTATTTATCTATAATTTTATATATGTTGCAGGTTGGCAAACGAGCAGGCAGATCATTCGATCGTGAGCCATTCACCACTACACATGGAAACTCTCAACCTCAGAGGAGTTGCAAGTGCGATGACGGCATTTTTGGGGGATTATATATATTTATTTATTGAGGATGGTTACCACCCACCACATCGTTTTTGTAATTTTGTAAATAAAATAACAAATATGACACCATTCTTACTTGATATTTGGTTCCATATAAGTCTGCAAGTGCAACGGTTGCCAATTTACCCATCTCGGTGAGGACACCATCGTCCGAGAATGACTCGCGAGAGTGCGAGCTGGGCACCAACCAGGCTTGTGAGTACGCGTGCAGCGACAGGTACAACTGAGAAACGATGATTCATTACTTACACACGACACTTAATTAGCAGTATGAGACAATTACGCTAAGTAACTACCCACTTTAATGTTGACGTGTTAATACCAACAAGATTTATCTGTTTGTGCACATACTAACAGATTTTAATCAGTTATCATCGTCACTGGCAAAAATGCAGAGTTTGCACCAGATGACAAATGGTGCAGTCACCTATACTTTGCACCTCTCGATTGCCATAACAAAAATTGACATGCGGAGATTAAGGAATATATTCGTTCAAATCTTTTGTATTTGAATGTAGGTAAGTATGTATATATATTTTTTACTAAGTGCGCTATTAAAAGAAAAGACGCTTAACTAGTTTTTAACGAAACGAAACACAGCGCCAGTCAATTGATAGATATTCTTGATCTTAGCGTACGTACTCATACCCATATAGGTATGTATGTACACATATATATATGTATAGCGCAAACGCAACTATACTTACATACAAATCTTATTACACTTAAATCGAGATACAGACCGCATTTTACAACGTATTACAATCTTGAATATCAGTACTTTTAAGGTGTTCATTTTGAAAGTGTTGTAGAAAATGTTTTGAAAGTAACGATGTGGGTACACCGTCACAATTTCCCGCGATAGACGTGCGGTCTACCTTTACGGTTTTGAACGAATGATAAATTGCTATACTTAAAGGCGGTGCAAAACCATTTCTGATTTCTATTCAGTGACTAAAAGTAAGACTAAAGTGTCTATGACTACTCACAGTCATAATGTGACCCCAAGTAGGCAATTTTACTTTCAAATAAGTAGATATTGTGAAAAGCAATGTTACTTCGAGTCTTTCGTCAACATATGGGTTTGCTAACGTAAACAAGTCAACTTATGAAGAGCGTACTTATTCGATTATCTTTCTATTAGCATTAACTTTATCGGGAGTTTAGGAAAACATTTGCAGATTATGGCGCAGTGATAGATTGGAGCGGTTAGCATTCAGACAAACACTTTCTGAGGATGAAAATAAAACGAAAGTGCGCACTAATTAGTGGAAAGTTCGATACCATTCCAAAAGTTGATAAAAGCTAGATCCTTTATTACCATTTATCTAAATAAAAGTCCTTAGAAATGGCATAATACTTAGTTACGATACTTTAGTTTCGCATATGGGTTTTGCTATGTACGAATTTACTTACTTTTCAACCTTGCATTGATATCTACTGTTTTAAATCGTGAATTAACTTGGAAGTCGACATTGATCTCTGGTTTAGGTGTTTAAAAATTGCGTGGCCTATTAAACCCTATAACTAATATAGTTTTAATGGCAATGTATAAGATAAATTTCGTTGGGTAAATGTAAAAATGAGACGGTAAACACAATTTACAAGATATTAGAAGAACGTGATGTGGTTTTTGGTCGAATATTTGCAGGAATGTGATGGTGCATGGTTGCAATAAAAAATAATTTTAAAAATAAGACTCGGTGCCGTATCGAGATAGATTGAGACACGTACAATGTGGCCGACGTATCATGGCGAGTCTGAAGTTAGCCGATTAGCTGCGCAGTACACAATTTTGTTCCTAAAAGATCCATTGCGCAGACAAACGGCTAACTTCAGACTCGCCAAGATACGTCAGCCGCACTGGAGATATTACTGTCTTCCCAGTCGGGGCTTGTTAGACATATTGGAGTCGTATTAGCCAGTAATATAAACTAGTGCCTTTTTATTTGTTGAGATGTTCTATGAACGTTTTTCTTAAGTTAAGAAGGATAGTGTTAGGTAATATGAACATACCTACTTAAAGTTTGTAAACTAATAAGATCCGAAGTGAAAACGAATACTAAGAAAACATTACCCTCAGTTATTATAAGTACTAATTATCCATTTACATGAACACTGTAAATGGTTAATAAGTATCTATAATGACTTATATCGTTGTGTGCATCCGTCACGCGATAAACACACGTAGATAGAAAACAAGATAACAAGTTTGAATTTGAATTCAGATCGAGCTTTGGGAACATGAACTTTTATGGTTTTAATAATTAGCAATCCAATACCTAATTCTAATCTATACTATAATACTATAAAGAGGTAAGTTTGTGTGTAGGGGGTAATCTTTGGAACCACTCGTCGGATTCCCAAAATTCTTTCACTTATTGATAGCTACAATGTTCCCGAGTGCTATTAGTAGGCTATAAAACGTCACGCTACAATCAAATGGATCCGAGCAGCAAGTGAAACCGCGGGGGCTAGCTAGTGCCTAAATAAGTTTCAACATAAATTATTAATATTGGAACGATAAAGCGGCATCGCCCTTTGAGGTTATAAGCTGTTCTGTGGAAATTGATCAATAATGTTAATGCCGCATAATAAACGTGAGAGGAAAATAAGGCCTGTTTATCTACACGCACTTAATTAATTCAAACACATAATTTATTTTAATGTGGTGGTAAGTAATCAGCCCCGCCCATGCACACTGGTAACACCCAAGGAGTTAAGGTGACTAGTGCGTTGCCACCTTAACTCCTCTGGTATCGTGGACTTAAGGATAGGAGATTTGGGGATTGACGACAGAGGGAGGCAGAGGAGGATTGCGCCATAGTATCTACTGAAAAGGAGCTAAACATATAGATTAGTATATTTGATATATGAATGTAACTGGATATTGTACCTTTATTTGTCCTCTATGTTCGGATAAAAACTCTGAAACGGCTCGGGTCTCAGGTTCGCTGAAGGGATGTGGTCCGGCGTAGTTTTCTGAGCACGGATCGAGAGATGAGTCTTTTTCGCTCCAATGGTAGTCCCAGTTGCGGTCTGCATCGACGCCCACGCACTCTGTTTGACCCCAGTTCCACGGAAACCTTTGCATGAAAATCTCGCATTTAGTTTTATTAAAATTAAAATGAAACTAAAATATTAATGGTGATCAAGTGCCCACAAGGTATATTTACATAGTACTTTTCACACATTCACATTTTGTTAAGCCTAGGATTTTCTCCTATGTTGTGAGTTTTTTCATCAATCATCAAATGATCCGTCTAGGGTAGGGCGGGAGAGAGTGTCAGATTCTTACTGGCTAAAAACCCCCTTGTTCCTTCTGCTCCGAGGTCGCGGTGCCTCATTGCGCTTACCCCGCAACCCCGGCTGAACATCAGCCCTTTAGGGCCCCGTCTGTGGTGGTCTATTGGCTTTTTGAGGCACGCGCGGAACGCTACACGCCGTACGCTCGGGTCCTGTGTTGTGGGTGCGTTTACAAAAATACTATGTCACATACACATGACACCCAGACCCGAAACAACAATTTGTGGATCACACAAAGTGTTGTTCGGTGCGGGAATCGAACCCGCGACACGTTGAACGGCAGCCAGTTGCCCAGCCACCGCACCAACCGTGCATTCACAACATATAGTCAACATATAGGCTATACGTGGTTGTGGCACGGAGGTTAAGGCATGAGGTTGCGGGTTCAAAACTTAGCAAGTACCAAAGTGACTTATACCGAGTATTCTGTACATTCTACCATTATTTAGAAACCACTGGGATATGGTGAATAAAAATATTGTGACACGGGTTTAAAATCGCCAATCCACCTTAAGCGAGCATGGTGATTGCTAAAACCTTCTCCAAGAGGCCTTTGCTCAGCTGTGGGCACTAATAGGCTGATGATGTGATGTTATGTACATATATGTATTGAAAAAAGATAATATTAGAAGTCATCCACGTGGACGGTGAAACTCCGCGTGCGTCACCGTACCTAACTGAGCATAGCTTTTCGAAAAGCGTAACGCAAAATATTTTTGGAATTTGCCATTGTTTAATGTAAATTATTATATTGTCATTAGTCATATATACTTAATACTGCCTGTGCGTATTTATAGCTTATGGATCGATTTCACTTTCGAATTAACTGAAACGGTAACACTATCGTTAATAAACGCAAGAAACTATTAATTGAGCCAATTTCCACTTTTCTAACTCGACGGACGACGTTTCCAGATTATTACAAAAAATATTTCTTCTATGCGAGCTGGAATCGTAGTACTTAGTTGACCCTATTTCGTTCCTGGATATTTCTCTTATACCAAACTTTGTTTCGTGTGTATGTATGTTTATCTTGTTCTGCGCGCGCCTCAAAGAGCCAATGGACCACCACAGACGGGGCCCTATAGGGTTGCGGGTTAAGCGCAATGAGTCACCTCGGCTCAGAGCAGGAGAATGAACAGGGGGGTTTTTGGTCAGTAAGAACCTGACACTCTCTCTCGCCTAACCCTGGGCGGGAGAAGAAATTTGATGATTTTTCCCTGACAAAAAAAAATGTATGTGTGAACCTGTATTTTTTATATTTTTCCCAAACATTTCGTAAGATTTCCACTCTCCATCTCAGGAGTATGAAAGAGATATTATTACGTAGTAACTCCTATACCTGGTGTGATGACGTGGTTTATGAAATCATTCCAGTTAAAAGCAAGCTTTCACTATAAACTTTTCTTATTGCTGTACAATAAAAACTAAAATATATGACATAAACATCTGGTACCGCTACATATGGCGTACACCAATAAGAATAAAATATTTAACGTGACGCTGATGCATGGCTTAAGCTCGCTACTACATACAGGATGTTTCTCATTTTAATTAACAGGTCACCAAATTTTTGCAAAACCTTATGTCCTTTTTGTCCACTATAGGGTAAGCCCTTGTACTCTTTGGTCAGAAGTACATACTTAGGTACATGATGTACCATCTACTTTTCGCAAGTTAAGAGTTATGTTTATTAGAGAGTCAACCTATGTTTTGCCGACCGACCTCTTTGCTACCAATGGGGCTTATGATGATTAATAAAAAAAAAATTGGGTACTTGACAACTAGTTTAATTCAATACTTTTTTGACGAATTGTCAAAAATTTTTTAGTCTATATTTTTTTTTTAAATTTTGTAGGATCAGGCTTTATGACGTCGCGTTTTTATTTGCGTTGAGTAGCGTAAGTACCAGCGCAGATTGCAAATATTAATTATCTATGTCGTTAAATCATGGATGAAAGTGTAACTGTTTTTATTTAATGTTTTATTGCACTGAAAAGTTTAAATTATTTTTGACTAAGTCACTTGCGGCCACTCGTCCAATGAGGCATCCTTTGTAACTCGGATGTACAACTTTTTACAAAGGCAAAAATATTCCAAAATTAATACCTTTCAAAGCAGTTCGTTACTAATGATTTCATTACATTTTTTCTTTTACAAAAAAGTGGACCATACGTGAGATGTGCTAGCTAATGGTAATCGTAAGTGGTCAATGTGCCGTCGCCAATAGACGGATACTTTCAAAAGAGGTTTACCCTGTCAAGTTTTTGTACTATACTTTTTGTTACAAATCTACCGTAAAAACTTAACTGGATTTACTTCTGGGGCCACATACGTATTCAACAAATGCAAGTAGGTAAGAGTGTTTCGGTATTAGTCTGAATCCTACTAACGTTATACTATACGCGAAAGTTTGTAAGCAGGTATGTAAGTGGATGGATGAATGTTTGTCACTCTTTCATGTAAAAACTACTGAACATATTTAGATGAAATTTGCACAGACAAAGATTGTAGTGTGGCCATTCAAAAGATATGTTCTTTTTACCGTTAGGCGGCGATGCCATTGGCAGAAACGTGTACCTATAATATATAAGACAAAAACGGCTTTAACTACTTAAAAAACGAACGGTTAGAGTGGTTGCAGTACTAATACATTATTGACAAAATAGCTACATAGTAGTCATCGGAGTGGTCGGGTTGTCGTGAACGTGTTTTCCTCCAGAGCCGGTCGTGAGTGTGTGAGTGCTCGTAACCATCCGGGTTCAACACCGGCATTATGTAGAAGTCAGCTTGTTTGAGTAAGTCGTACTCGGCTCCTATTAATAGAACAAACAAGTTTACTAACAAAAATTCGCTCGAGAAAGTTGCTCTCCGATTGCATAACAAATGTTAATTTATTAATTGTGTTATAATTCATAATACTTTTTATTATTGATTATGTAAGGTTTGGTGAAATTTTAGAAAAATATTGCTGTCATACCTAGATCTTTCTCTCCTTCGACGAGCGCGTGTATCATCCATGTAGCGACGGCTGGCGCTATCCACTCTCGCGCATGAGCGCCCCCGTCCACCCACACCGCAGGTTTCATACGCGAACGCAATTTCCACTTCTTTTTCTCTTTTCCTTTTATCACAGTATCGTTGACAGATAATGAAACCTGTAAAAATCACGAGCGTAACCAAAGATGTTTTATTGATAACTTAACATGTTCTACAGATTGAAAATTACCTTCACTGCAACTAATGGTAATCCCTCTGACGATCGACCAAGTGGTATGAGCTCCACTAAGTCTGAATGCGAGTGCTGTAAATATTCCAAGTACCGGAGGATGTCTGCGTAACGATGATATCGTCGCCAAGTCATCGGATGTCCACGCAATTGCTCTAACTCAAGTCTTTGTTTCTTAGAGAGCCGAGGATTTTCGTAGGTAATCGCTTTCTAAGAAATATATGGATATAATTAAATAAGCTATAAAAAAAACTTATCAACAAAAACTTTGTTTCACTTCATTTATACCTGTAAATCCCAAATTATAATATCATAGTCGATTTTGTTTGATTTTAGATGATCTTTCACATCGGAGAGCAAATCAGGTGGAACAAGCAAGTCTGTCGAGCCATTAAGTGAAGGTGGTGTCCACCACATGAGTCCAGAACCCTGGGCTTCTTCCTGCAAGTCCAGCATTTCGTGCACCTTCCACTGAACGTCGGGATATGTTCTTAAAAGCTGAAATCCTTTGTAGGTCTTCTTGAGCGACTTCTTTGCAGATTTTTCTAGAGACCGAAATAAATGCCAATTATAATTTTTTGGCAAGTCAGAGCCACATAAAAATGTGAGAAAGCAGCTGGTGGGTGCTGTCGTCAGGGGCCGAACAGTCGTCGTAGTTATCGGCCTCTTAGACGAAACTTCCTCAGAAAACCAGCTTCCATCGAACCACGACGATTTGGATTCCACTATCCAATTGTATATTGATGAAAAAATACCTGCACAGAAAAAACATTTAACATTACCTATTCAATTTATAATTTATAGCTTCTATAAAACTCTGGCATGATACATAATTTTTTGTAAACATTATTTGTTAAAAAAATCTGAATCTATAGTCAATAAAGACTTGATTATCTGAAGGTTTTTATTTATATATTTCCAGAAAATTTTGCAAGGAACAGTTGAACTTTCTACGATCGAAATTCAAATTCAAATATCATTCCATTACTTTTTGGTAGGAATAGTACAGAAATAGAATAAAGAAACAAAATAAAATAATTATTAACTAATGTTGCTAATGTCGATGGAACAGAATAAACAACATATAGTTGAGATATAAAAAGCGATCCCTCGAGCTACAACAACGTACCTAGACGTATATAATTACGGCTGGTTCACAGCATGAACCGCTCAATAATTCAATAGGTATTCATTCTTGTTATCGGAAGCTTAGTCCAGTAGTTACTACATTTAAGGAGAAACTTTTTTATGTTAGTGGGGCAAGAGTACCGAGCGAGAGCTGGAGGCCGGGTGCGCGGGCGCAACGCACAGTGCCAGCCTGCGCGCCTCGTGGACAACTTCCTCTAGCGTTTTCCGCATTACTCGCTGATTACAGCGCATGATTGCTACTCATTATCTTAATTACTCAGATTTGTTTAACATTATTCTCATGTTCGTTCATAATATTTGATTGCCATCACTCAGAATTACACCATTACAAGTCATTATAACTTTGAGAGAGTCAAAGAGAAACCTTTGATCGTATTACAGTTTTATTATTTTAAGATGGATGGTAATCGTAACGATCGGCCAGCTGATTGCCTGCTATAAGAAATAGTATAAAACTTCGTAATGCTTCTGAATGATATAGTGGAGTTTATTGACACGAGAAATCACTATTACGTATGCATTTGTAATCATTAACAACTTTCCCGATTATGACTTCCACTTGATATGAATGTAAAAACGTGTAGCTACGTGCTATCGATCGGAAGATCATCTTTGGAATAATCATCAAGTTTAGAACATGATTTTGTTACAATAGTGGAATAGGTATTATGCTGCAAATATCGATTTTAGTGTTCACCTATTTTAAATTGGCAAATGAGGGAAAAGGAACCTGTTGGAATATATATGTAAATAATAAGGCGTATATTACGTTTGCGCAATAAAGAGGTCTCTTACTAACATGATGTAGGGACGCATTCAACATATTAATGTGACTAATCCTCTATCTGCAGTCGTTAGCTATCCATAATTATTATAATTATTAGTGGTGCTATAAGTACGGGTGCTATTATACTTCGTATTTAGCTTTTAACCTGTTTTAAGTAAATATTATACGTGTTGAAGTTAATATACGCTTATTAACTATCTTTAAGCACTTTAGCATGACTCAAACATCCGTGCCTCACAACAAGAATAATATACAATTAAAATAAACATTTATATGCGGAACTCGTTACAACCGATTTCTTTTCTATTCTCCCCTTAAAATTGTAGGTTTTTTAAAGATACCTATATCGTAAAGTCGTTTTCGACATTAAGGTATCTTTTTTAACGTAGACGTAGTATATAAGTGAAAAAGTAGATTTAAACAATTTTGGCTACATTATGTCATTAACTATTCTTATTTTTATTTGGTGAAATTTGAAATAAATCTATGAACTAGTATAAAAATGGTTACATGACTTAGTCGGTTAGTACTTATTTTTCCTACGAGATTTCTTATAACCGCAACGAGACAAAGTTCATATGCATTAATTTGTTTGATGCTGTGATAGCTTATTTTCCTTATTTTTTTGTGTTGTATTTATGAGATACTACATATACATATTTATATATACTACCCACATTAATTTTCTTGCAATTGAAGTGAATTCTTTAAATTGCAAGAAAATGAATGTGGGTAGTTTTTGGAGTTAAATTGGGATGTCAATTATTAGTTCTAAAAACTTAACCGAGTCTAGTGGCGGACGTGTATCGACATATATTACATCAAAAAGTTTACCAAGTTTTTTTATGAAGTAGATATAGGCTCTGTCTTTAAAATGTTTTTTTAACGAGTACCTACACGATCTCCTTTATGTTTTTACTGCAATTTTTTATGCATTTTAAATTAAATTGAGCGCCTAAAATGATAATATTTCCGACTCATCACGTCCAGTGAATGTCAAAATATCAACCCGGTCATTTTACACCGAACTTCAGTACAGTTCTCGTCAACACAAATTTATAAAAGACTGTTCTCAAGGAGTTTGTGTTGATTGATGACTTATTTCCTATGTTCAAACTCCATCATCAGATGCAGGGTAACATCTAGCAGCAAAGCATTTGTTAAAATTATAAATTGGGTATGGGTTCATAGCATATCATAAGACTTTTATTTTGTTTTATGGTACAGGTCGGCAAACGAGCTGATAGATTACCTGATGGTAAGCAATCGGCGCCGCCCATGGACACCCGCAACACCAAAGGAGTTACGAGTGCGTTGCAGGCCTTTTAGGGATAAGGGTTTCGGATATTAAGAATTGGGAAGGGATAAAGGAGTGGGAGGCATGGGCCTCCGGTAACCTCCCTCATACGGCGAAACACAGCGCTGTTGTAACACGTTGGTTGTCTGTAAGGCTGTGGTATCACTCCGGTCGAGCCGACCCATCCGTGCTGAAGCATGGCTCTCCCATTCCCGCACTTACACACAACCTGGCAAATGTACCCCACAATCCTAAATGGCTGAGTAGTGTACTGGTTATGGTAAGGCCGATTATCGAGATGTCAAATATTGATGATATTGTAGTGTAGAACTAAGGTTAATTTTGGGTTTCTTATTCATTTTTCGCTAAGTATTTATTACTAGTATATGCAACATATTTATAATAAGAAAATAATTTTTATTTCAAGTTTAAGTGAAGTACACACTAATAATATATTTAGAAATAACCACAAGAAGTCGTTTCAATACCTTTGCACACTTCTTATATTTAATTTACTAGGCAATGTTATGTATACCTAAGGAGTCCTAGGTAATTAGGTATACATGTACCTATACCCATACGTATAATGAGTACTTAGTAATTAGGCATATGTTTATGTATCTATACCCATTACCCATATTGTACCCAGTCAAACGTGATCTTAATTTCTCTCTCCAACTATTCTGAACAAATATAGGACCTGGCTGACGTGATTGTGTACTTAGTAGGCAAAGATAGGTACGTAATTAAAATTGATTGACCCCACGACTTGCTTAATTAACCTTAGGAATTAGCACACTTCTTGGTATTTTATCTACATAGCCATCATAATAAAATCTTGGTGCTAACGAATGCACGAAATGCACGTAAAAAAATGTATTATAAACTTTTTTTAGGCATTGCCCTACACTAGTATTTTCTCGTCTCCTCTCTTCCTGTGTCACATGGGTGCGCTTCCAAACATACAAATTCACATACACACCCGAAACAACAATTTGTGGATCATACAAAGAGTAGTTCCGAGCGGAAATCGAATTTGCGACACGTTACACAGCAGCCAGTTTTCCAGCCACTGCGTAATTATTTTGTTTATTATATTACTATATTATATTTCAAAATTTCGGGTTACATACTTTGATGTTCTACGGGATTTAACGCGCACGTTCCATTTATTTGTTTTTTGATTGACGTTTTTTTAAGCAGACTGAAAATTATATTAGGTACTGGCAGGTTAATAAGGAAAATCTATGGATTATAGTTTTTTCTTTTTTATCAATAAAAAGTTATAATATTTATAGTGAACCAATAATAACAGAAGGCTGAAGTGTCAAAAATTTCTTATCTACACCAACATTGCCTGAAAGGCTTAGGATGGTGTGATGACGGCGATAGACCTTACTTACAAATGTGGCCCGAGTCAATCTAACAACTTTCATTATGCTGCTTAGTTCAGCTAAGTTTTGTTCGTGCGTAGCTAGTACTTTAAAATAATGATCCTAACAAAAGGTCATTAACAAACTTGAGACAGTTATTGTGATTTGTGTTGTATTGTTAAGCTTATTTATTTGAACCAACAATTTTACTGAGATACAGTATTGTTGACGAATAAACAAAGGCTTGTCTATTAGGCTCTAGACAGACGGACTGCATTTCAATTGCAATTTAACTGCAAACTTGCAGTCCGATTGCAGATCAATTGTTGGTTGGTTGGTTAGTTGTTTTGCAGTTCTAGTGTAGTCGTGTCAACTGCATTCAAACTGTATCTGAACTGCAAATTTGCTGTTGGATTGCAATTGAAATGCACTTCGTCTGTTTAGAGTTTGACTGCACGGTTATCGCGGTAGCTGGGCAACTGTGTAGCGCGTCCGATTCCCGCACAGAACAACACTTTGTGTAATCTACAAATTGATTTTCCGGGTCTGGGTGTGATGTGTATATGAAATTGTATGTTTGTAAATGTACCCACGGCACAGGAGAAAATCCTAGTGTTTTTTTTTAAAACAGTGTGACTTGCTACTAATATATCATTCGTATATACGCAGCTAGGTCAGGAGGGCGTTTAATTCGTTATTTTAATTTCCCGTCACTTAGATCCGCTTTTTATGCGACTGCATGTTTCTAAGTTATAGATGCCTCATTAAAGTGAAAGTAATTAACTAATCTGACTTTGGTTTTGATCTTTTAAATTTATATAATTGTAATTTTAATATTTACAAATGCCGGCGATGTATTTTATGAATATCTGCCTAGTAGGTATAAAAATAAAGTCACTTTCTCGTCACTTTGTATGCTTCGACCTTTAAAACTACGCAACGGATTTTGATGCGGTTTATTTTAATAGATAGAGCGATTGAAGATGAAGGTTTATATGTATATGTATATATATATACATTGATTAAATAGTGGAGAAATTCAGTATTAGCATATGGCGCAGATCGCTATAGAAATGTGGTATTACCTGTGGTAGGTTTTGCAGAGTATCTTTCGAGTATCTTTCAAAGAGATTTTGCTCTATGTAAACTACTGCCTTTTTTAAATTAAATAATTAATATTAGATATTTTTAGCGGCTAAATCCCGTAGCTGTAAATACGATCGTTAAACATTATAATTAATTTAATATCTAAGTATACCAATATTGTTGTATGTTTGTTTGTTTGTTTGTTTGAGCGCGCTAATCTTCGGAACTACTGGTACGAATTGAACAGGTATTTTTCGTATTTGTTACTTAGTCAATTTATCGAGGAAGGCTGTATATAGGCTATAAAAGATCTCGCTGCGATGTAAGACAGGAGCCGAGCAGCGGGTAAAACCGCGGGACAGTAGCTAGTATTTTATAAGATAGATTACAACATGTCCAATATTCAAGCTTTTGTTATACATTACTATACTATTTAATAATTAAATAAATATCTGCTTAACTTGTACTTAGGTAAGTAGTCTGATTCTATTTGAGTGGTGCCGAAATTTTAGATTAAATACAACTATAAAATTTTGTTTGACAGTAAATTATTTAGTACCAGTGCGGTATGTAGGTTACTGAAAGTTTTACAGATTAGTCTGGCCTTAGATTCAAGATTAAACTTAAAATTGATTGATACTAAGATGCGTTTTAATTCAAAAATTTCAAATTAAAAATTTTATTTTATGGTAAAAACATTCAAATGGCCCCGACGTCAAACTCGTAAATAAATCTTTTGAATGCGTAAGAAACCGGTTACTATTCAATTTTGAAAAGTTTAATGAAAACGGAATGGAATAATGGATTTTACACGGATTTGTTGACGTGTTGGCGCGATGATTTTTTCTTATGTTAATACCTAGTTGTATTTAATTTGAAATAAATAGACGAGGTAATATAAATCAAGAATGCCACACACCTTTTCTTACCTAATTTCTGATTATTTGGTTAGTTTAGTTATAATTAGTTTGGTTATAACTTTAATCTGATTAGTAATTTCTATGCGTAATTTTGAATTAAAATAGTTAAAAATTTAATTAGTACAATGTTTTATTTGCAAGATTTGATAGGTACTTATGTATGTACCTACTTTGGCATTTAAATTATTTTATCTGATACAATATCAATATTTTTTACCGATGCAAAACTAGATTATCATACAAAAAATACTCAATGGTTCTGGTTAGGGTATTCTTAACAGAACTAGAGTTGTTAAATCCAATACCTAATTGATTTTTCTATCCATAGGTACCAACATCTTCTCGTGATTGAGTACCTAGTCGAGTAAAATAAAGCAGTAAGCAGTTACAGTATGTAGGTTTTTGAGTAATTAAGTTATAAAAAAAACAAAAACCACATGAATGTGGTGAATCGGGAACCGGTTGTGTTCACTCAAAAACTATATGAAACAAGAAACTAAGTGCTCTAAGTTCAACTCATGGAAAATTACGCTAGTACTAGTAGAGATGTTTTTTGGTTAAATTCGCATGATGACGTCGTGTCTGACGTTTTGGATCCATATACTTGCTTATATACAACGTATGGATTTTTTAACATTATGCTAAAACTAATTATGCCCGGTAACGTTATGCGAATTAAATGTATGCAAATTGGTCTAAAACCAACATTTTAACCTATTGGAACTTACAAAAAATTGCTTTTGTTATAAAAAATAAAAGTGGCATAGGGTTATTCCTACACCCCCATGCCTGGTCTCGTATCAGCAAATAACATTAGTTCATCGTTTTAACTGTTTTTGACGTGTTAAAAAACCATAAATTAGATCTTGTTCGAACCAATTTTCGGTGGATCTCGTATCATATAAATACTTATATCTTTTAGTTTAGAAGTGTCAGAGGGGCAAAAATTATACAAGTACTTACTTTAGAAATGACTCTTGTGCATAGGTACTCATTTGTGTGAAAATCTCATCATTGCGGTTTACAGAATACACCTACTTACCAAGTTGCAACAGTATAATTAGTTCTTATAGCTTTGAAAAATGTGGTTGTTCCATACGGACGGATAGACAGAGAAACATGTGGAGTCTTGAAGGTTACGTTCGCTACGTAAGCCTTTCTTATGACTATGTCTCGGTATATACGAGTCACAGTATATAACTACATAAAATTATGCTTATAAAAAATTAAAAGAAAGTGAAAGTAAAGTTTTTTTTTATTTTACTTAAAATATCTAAGTACTAAATGTGCACTGCAAGTCCTGTAGACTTGTAATGTTACTTACGAGGTACCGATTGCCAAAAATAAAGCTCAATTATAGTCTCGGGGTTGGGTATTTAAAAATAAAACTTTATCATCAGTCAACTTAAGTAGTAAGTAAAAGTAGAATGTTAAAAAAAGTTGAAAATTATTAAATAAATTAACTTTGATACGCATAAATGCTGCTGCGATGCCAGTGTCTCTTCTTAAAATTAAGTAGTTAATAAAGTTTCTAAACCACAGTAGTCTGTTACCAAATGGTGGCCACGATTTTACTTTTCGATTTGCAATTTGTTAATCGTCTTGGACAGGATCGTTGACAAAGAAAAACCTTCAGGTCAAGCTTAATAAGGTACCGTGCTGGTGAGCTGGTGAAGGATCGGGGAGGGGTTCCTCAGGGGAGGTTCCAGTCAGTAAGAGTCCGATACTCCCTCTTGTTTCACCCTGGAGATAACTCATTGGATGATTTTGCCCACAAAAAAGGCATGTTAGCCTTTTATGAAAAATTGCTTTACGACGTGTCTCGGTGATTGAAACTAATCAAATGGATATCCAATGTCTTCTATACTAATATTATAAAGAGGTAAAATTTGTATGTTTGTAAGTTTGTATGTAGGGTGTAATCTTTGGAATCGCTGGTCGGATTTACAAAATTCTTTCACTGATAGATAGCTACAATATTCCTGAGTGCCACAGGCTATAAAACATCACGCTACGATCTGTAGGAGCTGAGCAGTGGGTGAAAGTAGCTAGTGGGTTATAATTTGGAAGATGAAAATGTCATTAATATAGGATGTGGCCAATCTTGCTTCACGCCCTCTTCTCATCTTTCAGTAACGGCAGTTTGTGCTAATGCGGTAGCTTATACAGAAAACGCAAGTCAAATGCAAATATTAATATTAATTGGACTCAAAGGTAATTAGAGCGGATAGGGTCACTCGGACTCGGACTTCTAGATATAATTTTAGAAATATTTCAATACAATCTGAGTGGTAATTTTTATGGTTGGAGTGGAGAGTGAGCCGGTTTTTGAAATAGAAGTTAAGCATCGGCACCCGACATCGCTATGCTGCCAGCGTATGGGGAATTTCCACGTTCACGCTCTTTAGCTATGTGTTATTATAAAGTTCATGACATATTTGGAATTTCTATTTCCCGCGGGATTTCTAGAATATGCGTATGATTTGCTTATACCATTTTTGTGTCATTATCACGAGCATGTGGGGTAGGTACTTATTTTCCTAATCTCTTCAATTTTAATTGATTTACTAAATAGCTAGTGGTTTGAACCAACAAAAAAATCATGACTACAACTGATATTTGTCTAATGCAGTTTGTAAAACGAACGACAGACTATAAGCCTATGAAAACAAGATAGGGATCCCATAAGCAAAATATTGATGAGCAGATTCCATACAAGCTACAATATTACGAGATTAATTTCTTTATCACAAGAGAGTGCCACGAAAGAAAGTTGTACATAAACTATGTATTGGGGAAAGTCATGTAACGATGTAATGTAAATAATATTATGAAGACTCAATTTAAGAGGTTTATACATACATAAAGGTTTAAATTTTCCGTGGTGACATTTCTAGCTTCTACGCAATTATAACGCGAGGGTAAATTTATCCGTTCACGTCTATTGTGTACTGGTGTTCACTAAATAATCGGATTCAGCGTACAACGTAAGCTTTATGTATGTAAATCTTATTATAAGGTTAATTTAAAAAAATAGTTTCCGCAGATGCTTTATACACATTACGCAGCTACATTTAAAACCGTGAAACGACGCATTAGAAAGCACAAGTAAAAATATTAAACCTCTTTTTTCTGTCATAACGAACCCACTACGATTCCGTTCCTCGTCGTCGCGCCTGCGATTTTATAATGATGATTTCGGATAAAGTTCAACATTTTAGAAACTCCTTTTCATCTGGTTATGGTCATGGTTAGTGCTTTGAATAACATTAGGTATCATTACGTACACAGAAGTTTCCTTCTTGGTACATCCGGTCGAAATACAACCAATTATGCACACTTGTATGGTTACTTTCAATAGAATCCAGTCATGTCTAACTATCAATCTAATCTTTTAGAATTTTAGTTTTAATGTTATATTAAGACACAAAAGTAGACCTACCTAACAACCAACCTGCTTTTCCTGGTCTCTCGGGCACCTTTTTTAATTTGTTTTCTTCAAAAAACGATGACAACCATCCTGAATTTTTAGGAGGACAAGTTGTTTTTTTAGACTGAGGTGATTTTGTTGTCTTCGGCGTGCGCCTCATGGGACGTGTAGTAGGTCGCCTTGGCGTGGTTGGTGGTCGTCGAGTAGTGCTGGGTCGTCGACCAGGTCGGCGAGTGGTCGACGGACGTCTTGTGGTCGTCCGAGGCACTTGTTGCAAGTCAGGAGATTCCACCAACACATACTGGTCTCCTATTTGAAGAACCGGTAGGCCTGTTGCTGAATCAGGCTTCAGTTGCGGTGGTTTAGTAACTATAAAATTAGTATGACTTTCTATATTAATATTAGTGGTTTTGATTACTTTTTTTTCTTCACCTTTAGTGTTTTTCATAGTCACGTTCACTTTGGGGATTTTCCCCTTTAGCAACACTTTAGCACTAAGTGTGGTGGTGCGCGTTCGCGGCACAGGGGTGGTTTCGTACGAGTCTTCGTATTCGTCCCACACTGAAAAGGGGTCGAGGGATTCGGAGTCGGAGATGTCTGCGGAGTGTCTCGGCGGGCGGCGGACGGCCGCCGCGCACGCCAGCAGCGTCAGCAGCGCCAGGCGACGCGCCATGTGTCGAGCGTGTGCGCATGGCGAGGTGCGCGCGCACTGTACGTCCTGCGGCCGCCGCCGTAGTCGGCCGGACCACCTTCCCTGCCACTGTTATTATGCCTCGATGTCGCTTTCAATGCGCCCGCGACCACTAGGTCACTACGGCCGTCCCCGATTGACTTATTTTATTCAGCTACGTGCGCGTGTGCGTCTTTGGGGGATTCATTCATCAGATACCAATTTTTTTTCATGCAATTTTTTTTTTAGAAATTTAAACAGTTAAAAACACCTATAAATATAGCTACTTGTACTTTATTTTTAAATTTAAAATATGTAACTAACTAAAAAACCCAAAAAAAAATCCATGAAAGTTAAATCTAGGTAAAATTTTAGAAATTTTCTCTTAATTTTAGAATGTAAAGAAATTCTTAAAATCTTGTGGAAACGTATTAAAGTAACTAAGGATTACGTATATTCCCAAATATATTTTATGTTCGTTCCTCATTTTATTAATTATAATCCACAGTTTCACCTTAAATATGTACTTAGATACATTATAAAATACTTACTATCATAGCTTTTCTTATGGTTATGATCTAATGATAAACACTGTAGAAATCGATCGGATTACTATCGGGTTCAATGAAAGTCGCATGCGCAGTAGGCGTAACAAAATGGTGGACAAAGCAAACATGAAATTATATTGTTTGTACTGTATTAAAACATATAATTTAATTTCTATAGTTTATCATCACATATGAATAGACAACGCGTGAAATGTAGTTCAACCTGCATGGTTCGTTAAGCGCCGCCGTGACGCGTGCGCACCTTAGGGGTGTCCACTGCGTGGTAATCGCATTTCACTTGGATATGTTCCATAATTCCATTGTACTATTTGAAATCTACTACTAGATGTTAAGCTTTCCTTTTAAATTATTATGTAGATATATGCTTTCTAGAGTAGAGGATGTTATAAAATTACATTTCCGTTTCTCTTTCCAAAAATATTCTTTTGAGACCATTGATATGAAAATTTGTAATAAATAGGAAACCATTGCAGCCTTTATCGCCCTTCAACTGGAAATGGGAAAAGCCATTAACATAGCAGTTATTCGAATATACTGACGCGTATAGTCTTTATAAAATGATACTTAATATTACCGACTTTTCATAAGTAAGAACAATGAAACGGAAGGCAGTATTTCTCGACCTAATTTCCAAAACAAAAAGTGCATCGATCGATAGTTATTGTGAGAACAGTGTGATGCACTATGATGTATGTAATGCGCCTTGTCAAGTATTATAATATCAGTGTAAGAGAGAAAGCCGTAAAAGATGTTTCACTTGCGTTTAGCGAATCGAGTTTTTCCAGTTTGCCGAAAATGCGCGGCTACGTATTGCGTCCAGTGAGAGTGAAAAGTGTGTAGTGTGAGTAAGCAATAAATAACGATTTTTAATTCAAATATTTTTGTATTTCGTAATCGAATGCATGTGTATCTATTGCGCCATAAAATAGAACGTTAAAGTAATATGTAAGGTAAGGCTTATTTCAGGGTCCTGTAGGCAACAAATGCAACTGTGTGGAAATGTATCTGTCAGTCAGTGTACTGTTTTAAGATTTAGGCTATTAAGATTAGCCGTTTAGATACACAACCAATACTCTGTCTGCGTTATCGGTGGATAGGTTTTAAAAAATGATGTCCAGGTTGTTAAGGGTGTCAAGTATTAATTTGTTTCCTGAAACTTCTAAAATAAGATAATGATATTGTAATCACTATATAGTATAGATTATTTTTTAATTTATTATTTTGCTCTGAAAAGGATACAAAGAAAATCTGAAAATATATAAAGCATGAAACGAGATAATTAATGCAGTCAGATGGATATCCACCTCGCAATTCTAGTTTGTGATGTATATCATCATAAATCATTTAATTTATGCACTTTTTTTAATCCTAGACAGTTCAAAAATTTCGTCTACGTCTATACAGATAAAATTTCAATGCATTTAAAATGCGGATACGGATGAAAAAGTTACTTGTTTCGCTGACTCATTTTGAAAGCCGTTCATCATTAGGATTATGAATACTATAGACTATAGACAGCTTTATTCAGCGCTACAGTCTACTTTTTTAAGCATGTAGGTTAGTTTGTCTGACAACTTCCTGAAATCAAATTGGTCTAGATATTTTGTCTGTGCTGCGGATGCAGATTTGATCGACAAGACATCAGACTGGTTTTTAGGCAGCAAGCAGGCTCCATGAAGATTTTAAGTTGAGCTAAAAGGAGGTATTGTTTATTATATTTTTGTCTATGGTCTTTATGTCAGATTATGTTTTAATGCAAGTTATTAAATGTAATCAAAGTAACGTAACTTTCGATTCGAACCTGTCTTATAATTAACGCTCTAATTTTTATGTTAATTATTGGGTATTAACATTTAAATTAAAATAACTTATATTTGTTTTAACAAAAACTAGGTAGTAAATAGATTTATAGTCGAAATATTCATTTTTGAAAATGTTTTCTTTCTTAACAAAGAGTCGTAGAAACTCTTTTGTCTATTTAAAATTAAGGCCATGAATTAATAATAGCTGTTTTCGTAATCTACATAAATTATTTACATTAATCTTTTTCAGTGAAAAAATATAGTCTAATAATATAGTCTAGTATTTTTGTTTAACTTTCTTAATAATTTACCGTCAAAATCATAGTCGATACCACTTTAAATGACTTATCATAGGTATATAAAATTTAAGATCTAATACAAATATTGTCATAACCAAGTAGACGGAACAGACTGATGATGAAATATATCAATAATAATATAATAAAAAATTTATTAATATACCTGCGTAGGTACTTTTTGTAAGTTTAAAATGAAGAATGTGCTTACTTACTAGTCAAGTTAATCGTTTATTGCTAGAAGAATATTACATTCTTGGTTGGGACTTACATTAAAATTCCCTGAATACAGCAGGATTGTTAAGTGCAAAGTCACTTTGGTCTCGTGTTTTTTTTTTAATATTTACTTACGGTTTTTGGGAGGAGGGGGATCATTAAATGACTTTCCTAGCCCAGAACGAGGCGAGAGGGAGTGTCAGACTCTTATTGACTTAAAAACAACTTCCTTCCTGCTTTCGTTGTTTTCTTTTGTCAATATTGTAGATCTCTCTGGCCGCTAGCACCAACCCTGTTGAACAATCTCTGAACGAAATCGTGACAAAGTTTAAGTAACTACAAAGGCTACGGAGAAACCTATGCCTAGTTCGATCCACAGTGCCTACCTGCCTTACTCAACATACAATGGTGTCAGCTAAAACTTCTAACAACTTGTAAGTTTTATTTTCTGTCCTTATACCTTTCAACTGAGAAACTGTGTATACAAGAATACGTGTCTTTTTGTTACAAATTCAAATACGTGTACACAATGTATGTTAACAACATTAGAATCATTTGGAAGGCGTAGGTACTGTTTGGGGTCGGATGGGGCCCAACAGGTCTGATATTTTGCCAGGGTTGCCTCGCCATCAACCATGATGGCCTCGACCTGGAGCAGGAGAAGGAACGCGGGGGTTTAGTCAGTGTGAGTCTGATACTCTCTCTCTTTTTTACGTCATAGGCCGGCAAGCGAAAAGACGGATTACCTGATGGTAAGCAATCAGCGCCGCCCATGGACACCCGCAACAACAGAGGAGTTGCGAGTGCGTTGCCGACCTCTTGGGAACTAGGTATTTGGATATTTAGGGATTGGGAAAGGGGAAGGATTCGGCCTCCGGTAACCTCACTCACACGGCGAAACACAACAATGTGGTTGTTTCAACGCTGGTTTTCTGTGAGGCCGTGGTATCACTCCGGTCGAGCCGACCCATTCGTGCCGAAGCATGGCTTTCTAACACTCGGCATGGCTCTCCCACACTGACACTCTCTGACAGAAGCAATTTGATGATTTTCCCTCCTCAAAGGAAAAAAAAGTATTATTGAAATTAATATATTAAATGCAATCTACTGTCCAATAACTGGCAGACAGAAAAATAAATATTCAGGAATTTAAAAAAGATATTGTTATCTCACGAACTATCCTGTATCCACTATGCAATAGAACAAGGCGATATTAATTACCCATAATGATGATTAACAACTACTCACCTGCCTAAGAGTATTGCATACATGTTCTGTCCTTATTTACTTAAAATGTAGCATAAATATGGTACTTATAAACCCAAAAAACAACTAATATGTGTTTTCAGTACCTATCAATATTTATTATTGTGTTATGTTGATAAACTAACTACTCCCGCACGGTTTTACCGGCTTCTACAGCTCGTAGCGTGATGTTATATAAACTACTAGCTTTCGCCCGTGACTTTGTTCGCGTGGAATAGTGACTTCCTGCAGATTTTTGGTTTAAAAACTGTCCTTTCTCGAGTTCCAAACTATGTCTGTACCAAATATCCCACATATAATTTCAGTAGTTTAGGCGTGAATAAAAGACAGACAGAGTTACTTTCGCATTTATATTATTAGTTTGGATTTGGATAGTTTGGATATCGTCTGCCTTGATAAAAGGACTATCAAACACAAAAAAATGTTTTATTCGGATAACTATAGATTTCATTATAACTATAGATTCGATTTAATTAAAGTTTGAAAAGGATAATTCTTTTTTTTTTCATAACTGAGATGTGATGACGAGTCGTTCTCAAAATTCTCTTTCCACATTATCTACGCTTGACCGGCAAGATTTAGTATTATTGAAGAACGCTATTGATCGATCTTTGTCAAATGTGTACTTAGAGTCTTATAGTGTTATCAAATGAGCGTAGCTTCTCTTCCCGCGGGTGTCAAATCGAATTGTAAAAATGCTATCGACATTGCCATCATCACACGGCTTTATCGGCGGATGGTACGTAGTTTTACAATGGTAGCTTTACAATTAATTTTCTTATTCTATAATTCTTCATAGCTAGTACCTTTTTGTGCTAATTCTTGCTGTGAAAATCTCCTACAATATTTCCCGCACTTGATATAATATACATAAGATAATTAAGAGCTACGATAATAATTGCTTAATGTCAATAACGCCGGCATTACCTAGTCCCGTAGTCAAGTAGAAATTGTGAACAGTGCGCAAACTCAGGTCATTTAATACCTAGCGAAGACACTTTTACTCTAATAAATCACCTAGTTTCTATTATGTATTCTAACAAAGAGAAAATATAGCGAGATAATCACCAGGTGCTTAATCTTTGTGAAGTCGAAAACTGAAAATAAATAAGGGGCCATCCTCCGATTAGCAAGTTTCAAGCAACTCTGTGTGTTTCACAAATTGTTGTTTCGGGTTTAGGTGGTTTGTGTATGTGAATTTCATGTTTGTAAACGCACCCACGACACAAAGAATATCCATGTGTGGGATTTTCCTAAAAAACCTTTGTACTTACCTAAAGACATATACTTAAATGTCTCTTTTTAAGAGTTGGTAATTAAAAAAATATTTGTATAACTATATATTTTACTTTAATACATTGAACGTTATAAGCCGACGAGAAAAAAACTCTGCCTAAATTGTGTAAAGTCGCGAGCAGAAGCTAGCTATTAATGAATTATAGCAATAATAAAATGTATATTTTTATTAAGTGTCTGCTTGTAAAACAATATTGCAAATCCATGATGAGGAGTTAAAAGGTGGCTTTTAAAAATTCCGTGAAGAAACGACAGAACTAGGAAGAAATTTCGTTCAGGAATATCAGTACCTTTTGCACCTGTGTTACTGCAATTATGTTTCCCTATGTACTGTATGTTTTTTTTTTGTGAGGGGAAAATCATCAAATGACTTCTCCCGCCCAGGGCCGGGCGGGAGGGAATGTCAGACACTTACTGACTAAAAACCCGAGGTCGCTTACCCCGCAACCCCTGCTGAACATCAGCCCTTTAGGGCCCCGTCTGTATGTACTGTATGTGTGTTGGACATTAATAATAAATAAATAAAAAGTAACAAAAAGCTTTTTAGCAACAAATTTTTATTTTTATCTCTTATGTATAATTCTCTCTCGTATGTATAATTTTTATCCTGGTTCTGCGAGCAAACTACAGGTAGGAGAAGGTAGTGCCCTAACATCCTTATAAAATATACACCTGTTTTTACAATTTCTACCTGAGACTTACGCTTTGGATTACATTTGATTAATAGCTTAATGTATTTTTTTATTTTATGACATTCATTTTATAAATATTTAAAATTGTACCTAATTAATAATGTTTTTACATATTTCCTTTCCTAATAAATAATGCCTATAACTTCAGCTGAGCCAACATTTAGTAAAATAAAAACGTCATCGAGAGCGGCTAAAACCGAAAGAGAATTACAGATTCGGGTAGACTTAATTCGATCCAATTTAACCACACAGCCACAGGTCAACGTGTTAACCACAAAAAATGTTGTTGGACGAATCTCCCCAGTTCTGATGCCCTCTCTTACGGCCTTAGACGGTACCTATTGCAATACTTGGTTTCGACATATAGAAAGAATTCGGTTCCATATATATGTAATATTGCGCTCATCTTTGGGCTCTATTATCAACTTCTGCATTTGGATCGCATCCAATGACCCAATGACCATATCATATACTAGCTGGATTCTATGGGATTGTGGATCCTCGCTGTTCGCTTATATCACGGGGTGCTCCGAGAAATTGTTCGGTTTCTAACCCCTTCTTTACGTCATCTACCCACGCAATAACACTTCCATCCCCATCATATACATGATTAGCAGTCAACGACTTTCACGATTCTTACTGCCCACAGCTCAACTTTAGAATGATCTTACGGTGGCAGTGTTTGCGAACTGATAAGACCTTCAAACCTTCAAGAGATGTGCGTATTCCTTTTTAAAAGGCAGGCAATGCGCCTGTGTCTCCTCTGTGTTGTGTATCCACGGGCGGCGCTGATCATTTACCATCAGGACATCCACCAATTCGTTTGCTTCCTAATATACAAACAAAACATAAAATAAAACAAGTTTTAAATTAGTGTCTTTGATTCTTTTATTTTATATTTGAAATGTGTTGAAGTCGAATTAGAGAAAAATAATAAAAAGTTAACGGTGTACCATTTTCCTGGCAACCTCTAATTAGCATCAACGTCATTGAATGTAAGCTGAGTGAGATGAGACGTCGGCATCATTATAATAGTAACGTGACCTTACTCTTTCACTATAAAATATTAAACCAACCTCCATTCTAGACGTTTTCTTCATTTTGCGTGTAATTATTTATGAAAGACGGTATGCGAATGTGAACGTGCAGGCTATGATGAGCTCGAGTTGTATGAATTCAATGTTTTTAACTGTAAATACAGAGATACACCGTGGTTCAAGATTACCGTTTTCTGAGCCCTGTGGTTATTATTAGTAATAGCTTTGTTTATCGTTTTTTGTTTTTTCCACATTCGTTTACCTACTTGGTTAATACATTTTAGTAATAAATACTAAGAACTTGTTGATAATGAACATTACTAAGAACTATGTACCTACTTCACTATATAATATTTAACACAATAAAGACAAGCGTTGTGTTAAATACTGGATAAGTTAACTGGAATAGTTTGAACGTTAGTAGATCAATAAATTATCGCGGCTATTTACTTATTTATAGATAAAGACAACATAAACAATACTAAACTATCGGCTTATCGGCACATTTCGTACGAATTCATACCAGTACAAATATTTTAAATTATTACGAACAGATACAAGGAATTTTACAAATCAGTTTTATAATCTGCATTCGAAACACACGTGCCTGTGTGGTCACAGGTTCAAAATCAGCGAGTATCTGAGGGAGCGCCGAGGCGAGCGGTCGTGCTGTGGCGAGCGCTCGAGTCCACAGTATAAATAAAACACGCCATCCACAGGTACTTGTGCGCTCTAATAACCTACCTAGTAACTATACCACTGGCGAACGATTGTGCCTCGCTCTTCGGGGTCAAGACAGTTCACTGCCAGCACAGCTAAGCCCACGAGGGTCATTGCCGCTACATCCAGCACACATCAGGTACACGTATATTTATTTGCATGCCGGCTGTGTCCGGATCATCCCACAAGAACTTTATGATTGATTGACAATGCACTCACGTCCGCGCTCGTCCGTCCCGTAGTCTTGCATACTAGTCTAGACCACAGTGATCAGTAATGAGGACAATCGTCACGATTAATGTATACAACTGGCAAATCATCAAAAAAGTATTTATACATATGTATGCATACAACCACTATAATTTAAATGCTACCAAACTTTTTGCTAACATCAAATAGTCTAAGGTCGAATCTTGATTATTGTATATGTTGACCTTAAAACAAAAACAAAAAAAATACAATGACGAAAATTAAATCTAAAGTATAATAATTAGCTATGGCTACTAAGTAATAGTGACATTTTTCCTAATAAAAGTAAGTTTAAAATAAGTATTTAGTTTCGTTATTTTGATGAACATAGATTATTTGATTTCGTGGAGAACAAAATGAAACTATTCGTTGCATCTTAGGTAAAATTACATTCAACTGTAGCACATTTATATATGTATGTATACTTTGAATGCGTTCCACTGAATAGATATGTGTTACAAAAACTTTATATTAATATTATTATAATGACAACAAAATGGATTTTAACAGATATATTTAAAACACTCAAACAGTTTGAGTTATAAAAATTCTGGCAAAGCAGGTTTTAATATTTTTTGTTATTTTTGGGCAACAAGTATAAAGCAAATATTAAATACTTATTAAGTAAATATTCATGAACAATTAATGGTAGATTATAACAAACAGTATCTAAAAATAAAGAGTCTATAAAATTATTATTTGATAGCGTGTTTTTCTTAAACAATGGACAATCAGCTTGAATTTTAGTTAGTAGATACGTTTTTAAATTCGATGCTAAAATGATGAAGAACTACGCAATTCAAGATTGTTATCATTCAAAGCCTAAACAGGCAGTTAACCGTTTACTTATGGGAGGTCATCTGGCTTAGTAATTTTGCCCAACAAGTAATTTCACCTTTGATCTTGAATGAAACAATGAATTTATTTTTGCAAATAGGCCATAAACTAGCACTTTTATGCACTAAAACATATATAAAAATCTAAATGAAACTGGAATGAAAAGGTATTCAAACAATAAATAATTATGAAAGAAAGAACACGGAACACAGTCTATTACTACGAATTGTGACGTCATATACTTGTATAAATAATAAAACAAGTGTTCTGCAGTCTAAACTATTATTAACAACTAAACACTGGAGGGTCAGTTACCGCAAAAAGAAAAATTACTGAAATTTTTTATCTAGAAACAAAGGTATTTTCATAATGTTTGTCTTTATAAAAATGATAAGGTGGCTGTACTTTACAAAACTGTTTATAAATGGAACTACCTATTTCTTTTTTAAAAGTCATAGACAGTATTTTTATAGTGTTTAGCCAGTCATCATTTCAGCCGGGGTTATGGATCAAGGCCTCGGCCTGAAGCAGGAGAAGGAATGGGATGTTTTTTTAGTCAGTAAGAGTCTGACACTCAGGGCGAAAAAGGTGATGTAATTCCCTCCCCCCCGCCCCCCACAAATTTAGGCATAATTTCATAAACGAAGTCATATTCCGTGAGCAGACTTTTGTCGATTTTATTTTATTTCTAAACTCCAGTCTACCCGATCAGATTCTTATTTAATTCCTACAAAGCTGAGATGACTTTTTTTTCGTAATCATCCTAAAGTTTTGTATCGTCCTTAATATTTCTGAGTTCGATCTGAGGTGTTGTCTCAGTAGTAAAGCAATTAATCCAACTAGGAATGAGAAAGTAACTTTCATCACAGCTGGAACTGATATCTGGTTAAGACACATTCTATCTTTTTTGTTGTAATTGATTTGAACTGCAGACGCAGACAGGAAATTATTTTAAAGTACATACATGAACGAGTATGGACATCACTTATCGGTATTTAAATCCAATAGACTGCTTACTTAGCGAATTCAAATTGTATTATTTTAAATTTCGTCCGATTTGCTCATAAGTACCTACAGATACGTTAACATTTTATGTAATAGGTATTCTCTTTAACATTTTAAGTAATAGGTATTCTCTTCGGACGATTTGCTCACAAGTACCTACAGATACGTTAACATTTTAAGTAATAGGTATTGTCTTCGGACGAACCGAGGAGGATTTTATTGTTATATATGTACTATTAGAATTATTATGAGACGCATATATCTCCAGCGAGGGTTGACTAACCAATTAAAATAGTTGCGTAAGAAATGCTGATTGATTTTTGTTATTTCAACAGGCCTTAGTGTTTAAACCGCAAATTATTTACATAATATATTTTTCTAGATAACAGTTTCTATTGGGTTTTTTACACTTTCATCTATTTTATAGCCATAATTTAGGTAGGTATTACTGATCGAATAGTAGCCATTTTTTTTATGTAGTCATTCAGTCATCATTTATTTAAAAATAGGTTTAAAGTGATGCCTATGTAAACTTCTTTCACACGACCTTCTTTAACATACATAGATCCGTCAATTGATAATGTCATACCTCTTTGTATAGACAAATAGCCATCTGCTTGTTTGGTTGATATGTAAAACTATCAACAAAGTATCAGCGTCCATTCAGGATACAAATTATTATAATAAAAAGTATCATGTGTGTGAGCGAACTGATTGTTCGAGAAGTCGATAACATTAGAAAACAATGATGAAAGTTATAAGTTTCACAAGATTTTTGATGGTAAGAAGACTCTTAGCAGGTTGGTTCAAGGGGGCGTTTGTTATTATACAATAAATTATACTTTCTTTTCAGAATCGTCATCATGCGATGGGCTTTATTGATAGCAGTATCGCTATGCATCATTGTAAACAGCCATTTCAACGCAGAAGCTTCCGATTTGTTTGACCCAAGTGTCATTCAGGTAGAAGGAACACGAAATGAACATCTCTCGGAACCCGCTTCGAAGGTGAGCTAATTAAAATATTTTATCTCAACATATAAAAAAAATATATATGAAAATCAATAAGTACCACTTTTCGTTGTAATGTTATAACACTTATAACTCAACAATGCCTTTACCGATTTGGCTAACTTTGGTCTTATTGAATTATTCGTGGAAGTCCAGAAAAAGTTTATACCTACGTAGAAGAAATAAAAAAAATATATATATTGAAAAAGTATAAAATATACATCAACGCGGGCCGAGCCGCGGGCGACCGCTAGTGTAATTTAAATACGTAGGGTATTTATACTAACAAAAAGTAATAAATCTTCTTCTTCTTTATATACTTATAAAAAAATAAAAATTTCGTGTCACGTGTAGGTCCGCGATGGAGTCCTAAACTATTAAACCGATTTGAACTGAACCGTGTGCATTTTGACCCAACTTGAAAGTTGAAAGATAGGATAGCTTACATCTCAATTTGTAGTCACAATATTATTTTATTGCAAATGATTTGTCCATATGTAATATGACAAGGACCTTAGCCACAGCAACGCGTGGCTGGGTCTGCTAGTATTTTATACAACTGTATTAATTTATTGGAAAAAAATATTAACTCATGTCATTAATTTACTGGGAAAGGCTGCTTCAAGTTTCAAGTCTCAAATGGACTTATTCTTATTCATGAGCAGCGTGCGCGTCGCGGCGACGTACCGCACTCGACCGAACCTAGGTTAGCTTGAATAATTCGTTATTTTCCATTGTGTACCTCACGATAGTAACTCTTAAAAAAATTAAAATATTTTTTGTATGTCCGCCCGTCTGTCCGCCCGTCCGTCCGTCCGTCCGTCAGTCCGTCAGTCCATCCATCCATTCGTTCAGACCCTTTTTGTCAGGTACACGCGTAGGCATCAAGTTGAAATTTATATTAAATACTCAAGTATAGTGTCACATTGTGAATAAAATGTGTTTCGCCGTGTGAGTAAGGTTACCGAAGGCCTAATCCTTCCCCTTCCCCAACCCAATCTCTAAATCTCCAAATCCCTAATCCCTAAAAGGTCGGTAACCCACTCGTAACTCCTCCGTTGCGGGTGTCCATAGGCGGCGTAAAAATCATCGTATTATTAATGATATTCATATTCAAAACAATGTCCAAATGCATTGAAATTTGATCTACAAGCAATTAATATAACAGCGTTATAATGACCAATGATAATGGAAACATGTTTTGTTTGCTATATTAAATATCTGAAATACGGAGAAATTAATTAGGTAAATAGCACCTACCTACACTACAGCCTACATTAAATATGAACAATCTTTAATTAGGAAACGCTATGCTAGAACTTCTGGTACTTTAAAGTGAGCAACTCAAATTACGCTAGAACTGTGCCAATGAATGTATGTACCTGAACGTTAGAAATACTTATTCAAATGCTTCATCCATGTCGACATTACACAAAGATTAGATTAGAGAAGATTTTAAAATATATGTTCAATTTGAAATTTTGGTGACGAATGTAGGTGTTTATGCGCAATGTTTTTTTTTATTTTGTATCAAATCTTCACTTCAAGTAACATTTATTTCAGCCGGGCTTGCGGGTCAAGCGCTGTAAGGCCTCGTTTACGTTTAAGCGGCGCGTTGTACGGTGCGATGTGCGGTTCGTCATACATTGCTCGTGATGTTCATATGTTTGTGTTAGCACGACCGTTGACACGATTTGATGCTGTAATGTACGACAAACGAAATCACCGCGGCCTCGGCCTAAAGCAGGAGAAGGATCAGGGGGGTTATTTAGTCAATTAGGGTCTGACACTCCGCCCTGGCCCTGGGTGGCACAAGTCATTTGATGATTTTCCCGTCACAAAAAAAGTAACATTTATTTCCGTGTACGGAAGTCTGTAATAAAAAAAACATATTTTATTTAAGTGAAACTTGTTGTTGCGTATGACCATGATGTAGATACGTCTAGATATCTACGTAGATTTTATCAAAAGTACCGAAAGTGTTTTTCTTAATAGTGACAAGAATAAAAGATTAGATAGATATAAATGCATTATAGTATGTATGTCACAAACCAGAACTTTGGTAGATTAACTTTAGCTAGTAGTTTCTCATACCACAGCTAGGCTTGCGGGTCAAGCGGGATGATGTACCGCGGGCGCGGCCCCAGCCTGGAAGGAACTTGGTGGTTTTTAGTCAGAATGAGTCTGACGCTGACACTCGCCCACAAAGGGTGGGAGAACTAAGCTAGTAATTGGGTATTTTCCTCGGTCTACCTAAACTAAATTCTTTGAATATTTCAATACAATTACACATCCAAAAATAATCGTACTTAATTGATGACTCTGAAAATAAAATTAATTATAGATTTCTATTGGTTATATTTTAAGAAAAAAGTATGCTGTTTGACCCAAAAATAGAATGTCAAATTTCAGTTTTCCATACAAAATATTCATAGAATAGTTTCGTTTTTAACATTTCGATAAAAGTGTTAAATTTGACTAGTTGTCAAATACCGAATTTACCAAGAAAAGGCTGGTCAGTATGCTTAAATAATGTAAATACGATCTGAAATCCATCCATCATCCTGTTAATAATCAACAAAGATATTCCACAATAGAACTTACACGGCGAGTGACCACGATAATTATGTGTTACTACTTGAATAAAATTGTTTTTATTGACGTGTTATATTTAGAACAAAAGAATATAATCACAAGTAACACACTACACAAGTAATTAATATGATGCTTCACTAATTAGAGGCCAGACCTCTGATTAGCCAAGCATCGAATTAATTTCCCACTCACCTAAAAAGACCTTCAGACCAATTATAACAACAATGTAAGCGTCGAATAATTAAACGTAGGGGTAGCTAGACGTGGAGATGTAGTTAGATATTGAAACGCGTTTATCAGGAAGTATTAACAAATGTTTGACCTTATTTTAGCTGATTTAAGTACTATTAATATATACATACAAATATATGTATTATTAAATAAATATAACTGCTTATCTACTCCTGCGGTTTTACGAGCTGCTCGGCATGAGGCTCCTATTGGTCATATCGTTAAGTTTTAAAAGGCTTAAGTATAACCATTCCTTGAAAACTGAACTATCCAACAAAAAATCTGGAGACAAAACAAACTCACAATTAAACTCTTTTACTGTATAGTATTGGTATACGTTTATCTATGTGTAGTTCTCACGATGTATTTTTCAAATCACAGGCACAGGCTGCACAAACAGGGCGCAGCATTGTTATAATTAATAATGACTTCGTGCTGGATGGGAAGCCGACGCGGATAATATCAGGATCACTCCACTACTTCAGGTTGCCTGCAGAGTACTGGCGGGACCGTCTGCGGAAACTGAAAGCTGCTGGACTCAACTCAGTAGCAACGTAAATAACCCCTAATCTTACTTCCTAATAATATTATCAATGCGATAGTACGATGTTTGAACGTTTGTTAATCAATCACGCCAAAACTGCTGGACGGATCTGGATGAATTTGGCACAGGCATAGGATACACTCCGGAATAGGACATAGGCAACTTTTTATGCGGGCGAAGCCGCGGGCGGAAGCTAGTTCTTTGTAGAATCTCAGAAAAATATTATCTTGGTTACTTATATTTCTGCCAAAACACTTGTACACATGTACATATTATGTCCAAGGTCAAACGTTTCAAACCACAGTACGTACCGCTTAGCAGCAAAACAACATTGGCGATAATGACTTAAAACTCAAGATGAAGTGGTTAATAGATTCTCATTGTGATATGAAAAGGGTCATCATTTAAATTAATTATTACTTCAGAACAAATTATTATACATTTTCTGTTTTTTATTTTGCAGATATGTGGAGTGGAGTTACCATGAGCCCGAAGAAGGGCAGTATTTGTTTGAGGGCGACAGAGATGTCGCCAAATTCATTCGTACGGCAGCCGAAGAAGGCCTATATGTTCTTCTACGAGTTGGCCCATACATCTGCGCTGAACGAGACCTCGTAAGTGAATAGAAACTTTTTTATTTACAACTTTAGCTTATGCGAAAGGTTTTACCAGTTCTACTTGGGTTAAAATTACCTTATTAGTTATTAAGAAGTAAGATTCGCCAAGTTTCATTCGGATCCGCCCTGTTGGTCTAACGTGGAAGAATAACTAAAAACCCCATAAGGATACACATCATAAACGTACACAACCTTTTTATTAATATTATTACCCCTACCCCTGCTTCGCACAGGTGTCTAAGTAGGTAACTCGCTGACGACAAATGAGTTGCTATTTAGAAAATTTCCCCTCCACTTTTCTAAAATTTTCTTTCGTAAGGATTTTCTCCTGACAGCAACAAACCAAATTTGTCTAGGCGTTGTAAATTTTTTAGGTAATAAAACATTATTATATATGAATTAGCACATGAATAAGTATGTTTAGAAAATTAATAGCGTATTTAACGTATGTTATTTTCCTTGCCATTTGCATTTAATTTTTGTTAAATTTTCCTTATTTTTATTAATAACTTATATCTAAACTTACCTTATAACTACACTAAATAAGTATTTACGTTAATATTAATAATATTGTGTTATTTTAACTTACCACAAATACGTACAAGGATGTTTTCAATTCTTTTATACATATATTTTTAACTAAAGCTTCCAAGTTATTCTTTATAATCTGATAAGTATTATTTCCTATGGCAAAGTATTTTTTATATTTTGTTCGATTCATGAATATCCTAGCCAGGCCTCTGCTTCTCCTTCCGAGTATTTATTTTGACTTAATGCCACATGAATGTACAAAGGCGGGCTTACCTTTTAATCGTGGTAATTCGAGACACAAAATAAGAACAATAGGTGCACGAGTCATCATCATTGTCAGCCTTTAAGTGCCCACTGCTGAGCAAAGGCCTCTTCTCACACGGAGTAGGTTTAAGCATTAATCACCACGCTTGCTCGATACGGGTTGGCGATTTCAAACTTACAATTAGAAATTATAAGTCCAGGTTTCCTCACGATGTTTGCCTTCACCATTTGTCAGTGGTGTCTAAATAATCATAGAAAGCACACATAACTCGGAAAAAGTCACAAGTGGTGCGCGAGTGCCAGAAGAAAATAATAATTATTCTAATTGTTATGTGTTTATTTTCAGGGTGGTTTTCCGTATTGGCTGCTCGGTAAATACCCAAACATTAGGCTGAGATCTACGGATAAAGGTAGATAAAAATTATCAATTTTAACGTTACCTATATACCTAGCCATATTTGCGGCCTTTGGCCAACGAAGTAGGAACCAAGGAACCGGGTCGTTTTTAGTCAGTGACAATCTGACACAGTGACTCGTTCCACCACAAGAAGTCGTAAAATGAGATTAAGTACACTCACCCTCAAAAAAGTAACGTCGATATTTACTAACAAGTGACTCAACGACTTGATGACTCATAAGTAAGTATTGGTTATTTATCATCAAGTATGTATATTGTAGCGTAAAGCAACGTAAGGATAACGTTATATCAAAGGCACATTACAATGTAACATATAAAGATATGCGAATGATTACTGCGTTTTAAATAAAAAACTAAAATTACGTACGTACGTAGGTACGCAGTATAGACTGTCTTATACGTCTTTTGGTCTCAATATCAATTTACTTATGTATGTGTGTATCTAAAATTGTGACACTGGGCTTTCAATGGTTGTGAGTGTAAGCTCAATAATGTAGTGCGGCTCCAGCCTTAAGCAGGAGCAGGAACGGATTGGTTTTTAGTCAGTAAGAATCTGACACTCCCTTTCGCCCCACCCTGGGCGGGAAAAGTCATTGGATGATTTTCCCCTCACCAAAAAAAACCCAGGGTGTTAGAAGTCATTTGATGACTTTCCCCCTCGAAAAAGCGGTAAAGCATGTAAATATTGGCTTTCCATGCTATTGATATCCTAGATTAAGAGGGGGTTTCGGGGAACCTAGCCAGATTATCATCAGCATCATCGTTATAATCATCAGCTGCTATGTAATCCTCTGAGAAACGTAAGACTGCAGACTATGTTTCGCAGTGGATGTATTCCAACTGATTATAATATAAATCTGGAAATCGGTTAATATTTACGAATAAATAAAAAAAAATCTCAAAGTTCATTAATCCGCTGTAACAGGAACAATAATTAATATTCACAGAATATATTACCAGCATTAAAAGTGTGAAAGTTTTTAATTCCAATCGCGTAACCATTACTTTCCAATTCATTTTAATATTTTATTTGCAATATTAATAATAGAGTTCTTAATTTATTCATTTCAGATTATATAGCAGAATCTGGAAAATGGTTGGACAAATTCTTCGAACAAACATCTTCCTTGCTGTACGGGAAAGGAGGTCCAATAATTTTAGTTCAGGTAAAATGGCTCCTAGCATTTTTGAAAAATAAAGGTTTACTAGTGTGGTACTCTACTACTACGGCAACTCCGAATAAAATATTCTCATAGGTAGGTACTTATTTATACGTTCTGCTAAGAATTCAATGACGAAAGCTCATAACCACGAAAAATTGATTGGCAAAAAATCCACAACAAATCTCTTAAATCGCTAATGAATACGAACCGTCAATGAAGCATTGAACAAGTTATATGTAGGTATATTCGTGATATATTTGTATGATATATAGAACCGGTATTTGCAATTTGAAGTAAGTACGATGGCGAGTCTAAAGTCTTATAATGTTAAGCCATACAAAGAGCCTATACCACACTGGAGGATGGGCAATTATAAGCTTTTTTTATTAGACTATGTATGCCGTATAACAATTGATTTCTTATTTATTTATTTTAAATACAAAACAAAAAAGGTCTATAGTTTTGATCGTGATATTAACGGTTCACTGACCAAAGGTCAACTATGTAAACCTCTTATACTAACGTCCCTGCTGAGAAAGCTTTGAACTCTGACCTCCTTTGTTATTAAATTCAGGTTATCTACATTTTAATCAGTCTACCTGAGGGTAAAACCGAAACTAGGAACTTGATTCCTTATTCCATAAGTGAGTTATTTATACGTTTATGTTTATTATTTAAGCATGATAACTTAGTTTTTGTTTAATTAATGATATTGGTGTAAGTTTAGTGTACCTAAGTATTCTATTGTGGGAGATTGGCATCAGTTCTCTCAACTACTCTCAACCCTACTTGACTGTGCAGTCAAGTAGGGTTGAGAGTAGATTGGTTGGCGTAGTGGCTGGGCAACTGGCTGCTGTGCAACGTATTGCGGGTTCAATTTCCGCACGGAACAACATTGTGGGTGATTTACAAATTGTTGTTTCGGGTACGGGTGGTTTGTGTATGTAAATTTTGATGTTTGTAAGCGTACCCACGATATAGAAGAAAATACTATAGTAGGGCAACGTTTTTAAACAAAAATCTAATAAAAAAAATTCAGTATGTCGAGACTGTCAAATCTCGCTTATGTTTATATATGGTACGTTTGTTTGCTATCCAGGTAGAGAACGAGTATGGTAGCTATGGCAACAACATGAATTATCGAGTCCAAGTCCGCAACATGCTCAAGAGCCACGTCGGGACCAACGCTCTCCTCTACACAACAGACGGAAATGCAGGGTCATTCTTCAGAAATGGCGCCGTTCCTGAAACTCTCACCACCATCGATTTTGGTCCCCGCTCAAGTCAGTATAGTTTTTAATTGTAGCATTCTAATTTAAGTGCACAACCAGAGGCCTAAGTCTGCTATTTCAATAGGATGCCATTGTAATGGTCGATCACTCGACGGTCAATGGTCCCTTAAAGAGTAAAGATACCCATGTCAAGATTAAATAAATAAAATAATAAATAAATTAAAATAATTTTATAGAAGAAAACAAAGCAAATAAGTGTCTAATAAAGTAATTAGTTTTTAAATTAGCATTAATTAAATATACCGCGCCTGCTTCTTTTCGCTTTTTTAGAGAACCACAAACCACCACGACATCGTAAGCAAAATAAACTAAAAAAAAATGATTTCAATTGGTCAGTTTTAGTAGTGACGCCAAGACGGAGTAAAATTTATTACAATAGATTAATTTGCATATTTATAGATAACATTAATTTATTATTCGTTTTTAGTAAGTCTATTTTATTTCTTTTTATAATGGGCGTTTGAACCTGTGGTTTGGACTATCTCGTCGTACACACATATAAATTTATTTATTTATTAAATTGCACATGGGCAATTGGGCACGCAATTTATACACTCGGGCAGTAGCAATAGACAGTCGTGTGTATATGTTTAGTACGATCATTCCGTGCAATGTCTTCCTGTAGATGTAGTGTAATATTGACGAGTTAATTAAATTGTTCTTTGATAACGATTTTGTTCTGAAACAAAATGACATAAGAAGTAAAACGATAAGTGACTAGGTAAAGTTAAGTACCCATTAAAAGACTCTGAGAAGTGATAGAGAACATGTTTTTTAATTTGATGACGATCACCTTATTTTATAGATGTACAACAATCATTCAATGAATTGCGACAGTTTATGCCCACGGGTCCTTTGATGAATTCTGAGTACTACACGGGGTGGCTAACACACTGGGGCGAGCGTCTCGCCGTCACCAAAGCAGAGGACGTGGCCAAGACCCTTGGCGACATCATTAGTTACGGCGCCAACGTCAACTTTTATATGTTCTTCGGGGGCACCAACTTCGAATACACTGCCGGCAAGTTGCACTTTTATTTAATTATATTAAGCACCATTTGTGTGTTCAATATTCGCGCCTTGAAAACAAAAGTGGCGTTATACAAAATTTTTCATTTTTCGGTATGGCAATTTCAATATCTCAGCTAATATCTGGAATAAAAATGGCATTTAACAGTTTGACTATCTTATTTAAGTTATGTATTGAAAACAAGCCAGTACATTATGAAGTTATTTAGAAAACATTGTTTTAAATAAAATAAGTTTCCGCATTGTGCCACTTTTCATTGTAAACAATAAAATTGTATTGTACTACTAAGTGACTGAATGTATTATACATTTTACAGGGGCAAACTTCTTTGGTACGTTCCAACCAGACATCACATCGTATGACTACGATTCACCGATAACGGAGGCCGGAGATCTTACTCCCAAATACCATCTTATAAGGGAGAAATTAAAGGAGGTATATATGTATAACCATCTTTTCGTTGGTATATTTTTTCAGTATAATTACTATAGATTTATTTCTTGAAATAAATACTTTTTTATTCTTACAGCACAACTTTGTTAATGACAGCATTGAAATACCGCTAAATAGCCCTAAAGGTAATTATGGGCCCGTGAATGTTACTGCCACACTGAGCTTACTAAGTCCTGAGAGTCGCTCGCAACTAGGCAAAAAGTATCCTGATGTAACTGGCCCAAAACTACCAACCTTCGAGGGTCTTCGTCAACGAGCAGGCCTCATGCTATATGAAACAACACTTACCGAAGCTGATGACCTGTTACACATAAAATCCCCAAGAGATATGATTTTCGTGTTTGTAGATGGCGTAAGTATTCTTTATGAAATACATTTTCTTTACCACACCAATTAAAAATGTTTCCTTTGTTAAGGAATTGTAACTTTTAAGTGTGGGAGAGCCATGCTTCGGCACGAATGGGTCGGCTCGACCGGAGTGATACTACGGCCTCATAAAAAACCGGCGTGAAGCAACCACAGCGTTGTTTCGTTGTGTGAGTGAGGTTATCGGGGGCCCAATCCTTTTCCTCTCCCGATCCTTCCCCAATCCCAAAATCTCCAAATCCCTAATCCCTAAAAGGTCGGCAACGCACTCGTAACTCCTCCGTTGCGGGTGTCCATGGGCGGTGCTGATTGCTTACCATCACGTAATCCGTCTGCTCGTTTGCCGACTAATTACATAAAAAAACTCGATATACACCAAACATTTAATTTTACTGCGGTCACTGGTAAGGGATGTCTACGCCACGGCTACGAAACTTCAACGCAACGGCTACGCGATGTCGACATCACAGCTACGACACATCAATGTAGCGCTACGCAACATCTACAACGCCAAGTCAACGTGACGGCTAACTCAGTAAACTGTCACCGTTTTAAAAGTATTTTTGCGTATTTGCGACACCTTTTTTTAGCAAGTAATGTCTTGTTTCTTACTTCATTAAAAAACAACATATTTTTATTTCTAATTAAAAAAACCCGGATTTTTTCCTATGTTTGTAGGTGCGTTTACAAACATACAATTTCACATATACAGCACACCCAGACCCGGATCAACACATTGTGGATCGCACAAAGAGTTGTTCCGTGCAGGAATCGAAACCGCGACATGTTACGCGGCAGCCAGTTGCCTAGCTACTCCGTCAACCACGCAGATTTGACTCTGCACAAATTGGGAAAAAGATTAATTAAATTAATTGTATTGGTTGTAGGAATTCAAAGGTCGCATCAGCAGAATTCACAAGATCTACAGCATACCGTTGTCAGCAAAGAATGGTTCAGTATTATCGTTGCTAGTAGAACCCCTTGGACGCATTAACTTTGGCAGATATATACATGATTTCAAGGTAATGTAAAATGTTTATGTACAAAATACATCCCCGTCATCCTATAATCAGCAGCTCATGGAGTTCGCTGCTAAAATAATAGGACTATGACATATTGCACGATATTACAAATTTGTTTATGGTCATATGAGGTATATATATACCTATATAATATATATATATATATATATATATATATATACCTAAATATTGTTTCATACCGGGCATGGTTTCGAACTCCCTGCTACTTACTAAGTCTAATAAGTTTTACTAAAATCTCAAACTGTCGCGTTCGCCCTAACCGGGAATCGAGCGCAACAGCCCTTGCTGTCGCACTTTCCAACCACTTGACCAATAAGGCAATTAAGTATTACCATATAACCAAAATATTTAAATGTTGAGTCATTATAAAAATGGTAACTTTAGGGCCGTGAGACGTTTAACTTTTTTCTATATGCTTTAATTTTAATCTAATATTGAAATATCTATGGTTACTGACTTTCAACGAAATCAATACTTACCCTTGGCGATAAATAAATACTACTAAAGTAGTATCGCCAAAAGCGCCTTTCATATGATATTAGCAACCACTATCATATTGGTAACATCTTAAGTATGTATAAAAACAAAAAAGTATGTAAGTATATATATATGTACATATGCATCCACTAAGCTTTAAATACCTCCATATTTCTTAACCTTTCAATCATGTTAATTCGAGACACGGTAGAAGAACAATAGATGCGCGAACGCGGCGTTCGTTTGGGGTTTGATGAATTAATAGGGGATTGCCATGATCTACAAAATATGGCCGATGGCGAATCGGATCGCATTTAGGTTTCCGGTATAACGGTAACTTCAAGAAGTTTTTACTTCTATATTCATGTTTAAGTAAAATATAATAGCAAAGTTCGATGTTGTACTTTATTTACAGCGACAACCGGCAGGAGTGTTTTTTATCAATGAATAAACTGTGCATACAATGTTAAAGTAAAGTGTAGACGTCACGTTTAAAAGGAGTTTTCCATGTCTATCATTATCACTAAGTAAATAAAGTAATTTACTTTCATTTATGTGAAAATGACTAATATATTTTAGATAATGTTTCATATTTATTGAACATTAAATATAAATCTGGTACCGTACTAAATTTAAGAAAGAATTACGTGAGAAATAAAATAATTTTTACACACAAATATTTTAAATTTTTCCTAACTATATTTTTTGTGCGGTTTCAAAGCGTCCGGTTGAAAGCTAATATTAGAACCAAAGAAATCTATGAACCGGACATCAAAGCCATACACTATCATTGTTTCCTGAAGTAATATTTATCATAAACACAATGTGGTCAACTTATCATGTCATAGCAACGTCATAAGTCAGACATTGACCAAGCAAGATATACCTACGTGTCTGTCTGTGTGTGTGTGCTAAAGATTAATATCGATAAACCTAATTGTAGTTCAGTACACTCTTAAGTTTTGTCGTCTAGACTTTATACTCGATTTCCAAAGAACAGCTGTCTTACCTAATAGCTAAATGAGTACTGACAATCAAACAATTTTTACTTATGTTCAAAGTACCTGTGTTTTTAAATAGCGTAATGATGTTTAACGTGTAAAATAAAATTACTTAAGCAAAACTATGATCAAAATTAATCAAAATGGAAGAATACGAAAGCAGTTATTACAAAACTATAGAAGTTATATAGATCATATATTAACTTAATTGAGAATTGTACATTTCATAGATTCATAATATAAATAAGTAATCCATGTTTGCTTTGGACCTCGTGCTATCTGTGATATGATTAAAATAATTATAAATATCCGTAGTAGGAACAAAGAAATTGTTTTGTCTATATATTTGGTACCTACACAATTAATATAATCATAACAGTTTGTGTTCACAGCCGCTTATAACCTACCTATATTTGTGGATTTGTTTAATATACAAATCAAAACTAATATTATAAATGCGAAGCAAAAGTAACTCTGTCTGACTGTCTTTTCTTCACGCCTGAACTACTGAACCTATTTGTGTGAAATTTGGTACAAACATAGTTTTGAACTCGAGAAAGGATATAAGATAGTTTTTAAACCAAAAAATCGGCAGTAGGTCACTATTCCACCCGAACAAATTCGCGAGCAAAAGCTAGTTCTTGTATATAGAAGTTTGAGACATTTTGTGTAAGGCTTATGACATATTAATAGCTTTATCTTTATGGCCTATATTTATCCAGCCATGGTTGTAGATGCAAGCGTAATAATGAACCATGGCCCCGGCCCGGGTAGTGTTTAGTCAGTTAAAGTCTTGCCCAGCCTAGAGCAAGTGAATTGATTTGATGGTTTCCCTTTATGAAAGAATTGCTAAGAAAACAATTTTGTTGCAGGGTATATTAAGTGAAGTGGAATTCAAAAGCAAGACTTTAGATGGAAAATGGACAGTGACAGGATTTCCATTGGAGACGTTCAATACATCTCCAGTGAATAATCCTAATTTGAAAACGCCTACATTCTATGAGGGCTACTTCACGCTTCCAGAAGGCAAGGATCCACTGGACACATTTGTCGATACGACTGGATGGGGCAAGGTACTTCAATTTTTTATGATATTGCTTTCTTCTGTAGTTACACATTTTTTGCGCAGTGTTGTGTCGTTAATACCTGTTCTGCTTCTGTGTCCCCGGAAGGGCATAACCTGGGTGTCTTCATGGCCCGTTTGAATAGGTTTGCTTATGGGTTCATAGTAGCATCGTGCAACATGCTTTATCGTAGATCCGATTATCGCTCACCACCAGGCAGCTGCTAAATGCCACACCATTGTCAATATTTACTCGATTAAGTTTTTAAATTCATTAAAAACTCAAGCAGAGCCTGAGACTTCAGGCAAAACTAAACTATTTATGTTACAGGGCTACATCTGGGTGAACGGTCACAACCTCGGCAGGTACTGGCCAACAGCGGGACCACAGATCACGCTGTACTTGCCAGGAGTCTGGCTTAAACCAGCACCAGAAAAGAACCATCTTCGAATCTTGGAACTGAACAGGCCTCCACCTGTACTCTCCATGGACTTTATAGACTATCCGATCCTTAACAGAACTGGAAATATCAACTGGTGGAGGGATTATCTAGATTAGTGTACAATTACGATTACCAATAACAATAAAGTTCATTCATACAGTTGTAATATTTATTTCCAAAATAAATTCGTTAATGTTTGTTAACCACCCTTTTACATACGAGTATAAATGAACAAAATAATAGTGTTTCAACACGTTAATGTTTTCTGTGGATATTAAGATTATCGGGAAACTAGCAAACGGATTACCTGATGGTAAGCAATCAGCGCCGCCTATGGACACCTCCAACACCAAAAGAATTACGAGTGCGTTGCCGGTCTGTTAGGGATAAGGGTGTTAGATATTTAAGATGTGAAGAGGGAGGGTGAGGTATTAGGCCTCCGGTAGTCTCACTCACACGCCAAAACAACGCTGTGATTGTTTCACGCCGGTTTTCTGTGAGGCCGTGGTATCACTCCGGTAGAGTTGACCCATTCGTGCCGAAGATTGGCGCTCCCACACTTTTCTTCATATAAGTGCCATTGAAAGCAGTCGCAAATATCATATTATAATTAAGTGCCCTAGCCACTATCCACCAAATGAAAGTAGTGCTGTTTATCACACAATGGACAGGACAGTAATGATACCATGGCACAGAAATCCAGTATGAAAGAATTCTTATGTTGTTTTTCGTGTTATTGAGATTGCCTTGAGGTTCAATCTTTAACCGCTAAAGTCCGTTAAAGTAATTTCGTTCATCGCCCTATCTCAGAAGAAAAACTAGCAATATGTTCAAACCTAAAACGTATTACAATTCGAACTATATTAGCATTAAATTGATTATAATAGGAAAGGTCAGTATGCTAAATTTGTAATTAGGTCCTCGAGTGTCGAAAAGACTTACTGGATGTTGCGACTTACTGGATGTTGCGAGCGCAAGCACAATAAGGAACAACGGCCTCAGCCCAAGAGTCTGACCTAACTTTCGCCACATCTATGACGGGAAAAGTCGTTTGATTCTTGTCCTACTTCAAAAAAGGCCGAACTAAATTTTGAAGATTTGGTGAAAGAAAGAAAAATCTGGTACAAGAAATGAAAACTCCTTTTTCTATGGAATAGGTGGCAAACGATCAGACGGATCACTTGATGGTAAGCGATCGGCGCTGCCCATGTTGCCGGAGTTTTAAGAAGGAGTACGCTCGTTTCTTGAAGGTTTGAAGGTCGTATCGGTTCGGGTATACCGCCGCCGGAAGATCATTCCAAAGTTTTGCTGTGCGGGGCAGAAAGTTTCGGGTGAATCGCACAGTTATTCACTGAATAATGCCCAATCTGCAATAATGAAAGGATGTTAGTCTATTGATTTGCATAGTGGGTGGTACAGAAACTCTAGTGAACCCTTTGAAAACCCTCCCATTGTCGTAAACTACGCTGAAGTTGTTAGCTTTTTAATACACTTCCTCTGATAATCTGACACACACATAATCTGACAAACTGACTGTGTTAAGTATCTAATATTTTTACTGTCGATAGTTTCATCCGCTCTCTATTTACTTTCAGTATTATGGTAGGTATATTTAACAGAATACCAGGTAATTTCCATAGATAAATCTGAATGATGTCTTACCCAGTTTCTTGAGAATTGAGCACTGTACATTAAGCCGTACTCATTTTTGATTGCAAATTAACTGAAACAAAAATGAGCCGATTTTTTAAGTTAATATTTTATTAAAATCTCTCGTTTTTAGTGACCAACAAAAAAGTAACACTTTAGTAATTGTAATCGCCTAATTGTAAATTAAGTTCTAATGTCTTAGAAGTTTGTTAAACGGTACGCGTCTGTACCAAGATTGTTATGTCTTCAAAGAACGAAATACTAGGACTGAATGCAATTTGTCTGCCCACTATAAGTTTGAGCGAAGATCGCTGAACGCAAACAGGTTTGAATTTGAAGCCCTCCATTATGTGCGACCATTGACAACATAATACGCAAATCTCAACCCAAATCCTTATGGAATAAGATTGAAAATAAAAGAATACGTATAACTTATTATTTGTGGTAGTATGTGTACTTTATAAGGTATGACAATTTAACTCTTTAACTCCATGAAACGAACTTCTAAGCCATTAAAATATAAACCAATCACAATTGCAATTGTACTAAAAGTACCATAAGTGGCATAACAACCGTCGTCTTCGAATCCCGTTTAAATTATAATATGGAAGCATATAGAACACAAACAGAACAATTCACACTATAAACCCATAACAAGTGGTATGAAAGAGACGGGTATAGCAAAGTTATTGAGGAGTGAAAGAGTCAGAAGCAGGTAGAGCTCATTGTGTGTGTGACGGAGTATGATAAGGAGTAGGTAATGGGTGAAGCGAGCCTGTCGTCGTGCAGACCGCGACAGCGCCGGACCGTTCTTCACCGGCAACACAATAAAACACGTGGCCGGCACATCGAACCTACAAAAAGTGAGTTTAACTATAGTTTATTGACCGATACACAGGTTCATGCCTATAACTTTGGACTTCTTTTAATTCGTTGCGTATAATGTAATAAAACTAAATTATTTCGCACTTAATTTTGAGCTATACATAGTTAATCGTAATGTGCGAAGCGGAAATTTTAGTTTCATAGTTAAAAGAATTAATTAGTCAATAATTATATATGTATCACCCCTGAAAGTAATTTAAGTAGTTTAAAATGTAACTTTTTGAATACAAAATAATTTGAATAGTTCGTTAGTATTTAATACTGCGTATATGTACAGATAAAGTAAATATCTCGAATTAATTTTCGTGAAATATTATTTTTATTTCTACTAATACTCATTTAGGAGGGAATGTATAACTTGATATAAGTTTAAAAAAAGTTATTATATTTTTCATACCTTAATAACTAGGGACTAGGAGGTAGATTTTCTTTAAAACTAGCCAGAAAGTTATATTAATAGCATTTTTTATGAAAAACAAAGTAAAAGTTCGTATAGCAACTAAAGCCGGCGAGTTTTTACACTGTGCCTATAATAATATTATTATATCACCGTTAGAATAGTTGAACATCCTTCATTGATTTTAGATAACACTGTGTCAGTTCGCTGGCGAATACTTTAAGATATTGTTACCATTTTTAAGAAGAAGAATGAGGGTGCTCGTATTACATTCGAATAACTTAATATACTATGTATGTTTGTACTCAATTACTATTTGGCATCACATTCCCCTTCGTATAATTAAGATTAAAGAATGTGATTGACAATCATGTATTTACAGCTACCAACGAAACACACTGGTACGTAAAACGAATGTGTTAAGTAATATGCCGTGAAAAATACAGCAAACGTTATTTTAGTTAATAGGTTCCAATTGAATATAGTTAAGTCTTTGATAGGATCTTTGTATGTACGTCAGTCTATCTATACTAATATTATAAAGAGGTAAAATTTGTAAGTTTGTATGTAGAGGTTATTCTTTGGAACCGCTGGCCGGATTGCCAAAATTCTTTCAGTGATAGATAGCTACAAGGTTCCTGAGTGCTATAGGCTATAAAATCATGCTACGATTAAATGGAGCTGAGCAACGGGAATATTATATTATACAAGTTTTGTGTTGTCCAGATGGTGTCTGGTGATTTAACTTGTGAGGTAGGCCCGCCATGCAGCCTCGTGTTGGCTGATGGGTCCGTCTTTCAAGGTCGAAGTTTTGGAGCACAGGTGCCAGTAGATGGAGAAGTTGGTAAGTACTACATAAATATTCACGTTCAGAATTTAACTCTTGTCCAAATCCTTGTGGAATTTAGACCAATACTAAACCAGTTAGGGGATCATGTTTTTATGCGACTCGGTGGACTTAAAGGAGCATAAACAGCTGTTCCATTATATCGCCATTATTAAACATTCACAGCTGACATATCGATCAGTGTCGAGTGACGGATATTTGTTTTCATAACAAATAAATTTAAATGCTTACTCCGACGTTGTTAATTACTTCGTTGCTTAGTAGTCAGGTATTTATGATTTGGCATATTTTTCCATTAATAGTTAAATGAATTTAATCCGAAACCGTGGAATTTTAAACTTTCTTATTTGTTAAAAAATATATAGGTAGGTGTGTACATTTGTTTTATGTGATAGGACAGCAAACAAGCAAGCAGATTACCTGATGGTAAGCAATCAGCGCCGTCCATGGACGACAACGAATGAGGTACGAGTGCGTTGCCGACCTTTTAGAGATTGGGATTTTGGGGGATTAGGGATAGGGGAGCGGAAATATTGGGCCTCCGGTAACCTCACTCACACGGCGAAACATAACGCTGTGTTGGTGTCACTCCTGTCGAGCCGACCCATTCGTACCTAAGCATGGGTCTCTCACACTTAAACAACATTACAAAAGCGTGTCTTAACAGTGTTTCAGACTGGTATGGTCGGATACCCGGAGTCACTGACCGACCCATCTTATCACGCGCAATTGTTGGTGCTCACGTACCCACTGGTCGGCAACTATGGCGTTCCTGACGAAGAAGAACGAGACGAACATGGAATACCTAAGTAAGAATCCCTCTTTTAAACATTTTATCATTTGTAAAATATTTTGAGGTGCGTTAAACTATTTGTTTTTTAATCTGCAACACAATTTGTCTTTAAAAATCCAGTTATACATACAAAGTTTTTTATATTAATAACCGATTAAGAAAACTCAGACGTAATAAAAGTGTAATAAGCTATAAAATAATAAACTATAATATAATAAGCTGTAATAGTACCTGATCACTACTGGGCGAATCTCCTAAATCAATAGATCAAAAAAAGACACCAATTCATCATGTGTAAGACGGGGCTTGGGTTAGTATTCTACCGGTCTTTAATGTAACTCGCAGCTGATAAGCAGCCGAAAAGAAAAAACAACAGTAATTAAATACGTACAAGAATAGAGCATGCAAATAGCAAAAAAGAACAAGATAATTATTAAATGAGAAAAAAAATAAATGAAGGAAAACAAAAAAGAACTAACATCTAATTACAGAGTACAACAAAACATTAAAGCAAAGCGAGATAGCCTTCCTCTTTTAAAAAACCTTTTCAGTTAAGCTTTGTCTGTTCCTATGCGTTGGATATTAAATGAATATAATACGAATTTAATTAATTGGATAGTACTCATTAACTTTTCAGGTGGTTTGAATCCAACCGCATTTGGGCAGCTGGGTTGATTGTTGGTGAGGTTAGCACACATGCGTGCCACTGGCGTGCTAAACGCTCCTTGGGCGCCTGGTTAGCGGCGCGAGGAATCCCAGGCGTCTGTGACGTGGACACCAGAGCTCTAACGTTCCGACTCAGAGCTGGTGTCACTTTAGGACGTATCGTTCAAGGCGTTCCACCGTTTGGCCCATTACCGGCTTTATCAGATCCAAATAACAGAAACTTGGTTGCCGAAGTCTCTGTAAAGGTAAGATCATAAATCGATTTATTTTTATTGACTGTATATATTATTTAAATACTTAAAAGACGACTCAATTAACGTGAATTCAATTTTTTTTTAATCAAAACAATTTCTACAACTCCTTGCCCATTTATTTACAGGAACCTAAAATATATAATCCTAGTGGACAAGTAACGATAATGGCGGTCGACTGTGGGTTAAAGTACAATCAAATTAGATGTTTGATCAAAAGAAACGCAAAGGTAATACTGGTACCTTGGGACCACAAGCTAGACCCTAGCCAGTACGATGGTTTGTTCATCAGCAATGGTCCAGGCGACCCTGTCAAATGTAAGAAATTGGTGGACAATATGCGAGCTATTATTGCAGATAAAAACCATGTCAAACCTTTGTTTGGTATCTGTCTCGGACATCAGTTGCTGTCCACTGCAGCTGGCTGCAAGACTTATAAAACCAGGTATCTAAAATATTTCTTTAAAATATTATTTTTTATTGATGAGTAAATACTCCTAGCATGATGGTAACTGGCCTTATAGAAAATTGACGGCACAGTACTAAACAAAAACAGTCGTCACCAAGCCTCTATATAGGTATATATTAATTAACTTAGCTTATTCTGCTTAGCTGTGAGACTAAGCGGACGTAATTATTGTTGTGATTATAATGAGTCATTATTAATTATAAATATTAATTACTAAAAATTTTTTGCACACTTGCAAAAATAAAGTGTGTCGCGTGAAGTAAAGTGTGTTTGCGAGTAACTTACGTTGCATCTTTGTATACTATGCAAGATGAACTAAGTACTTTCAAAAGTAATAAATAGTGTTAGTATGTCTAACCCGTCTACCTCAGGACTAAGCCCTTTTGGGCGTAGCCAATTACTACGGCGTAGTCCACCGCCGACGCCATCGTCGTCTGAACAGCACCACCAAAAAGACCCAGAGCCGCCAGCGTCCACTGAGCCTGAAGTAGAATTGGTTTCTACGCCGGAGATCCAGAAATGGTTGTCTTCCATTGACGGAATTATGTCGGAAGTTTGTGGCATTGTAGCGGAAGGAAAAATGAACAACGACCAGAAACTCCGCGTCACCAACCTATGCCGTAAGGTTTCTCATGGGACATCGCAGATGGCAGTACTATACCAGTCCCTGAAGCAGAAAACAATCCAGGCCCATTTTACCATCCAACAATTACAAGGACAACAGGAAATTGCAAACTCCCTCCAAGAACTAAAAAAAGTTGTAGAAGCTGAACGTAAGTCAGAGTGCACTTCCTATGCCAATATGGTAAAAAAAGGAGAGGACAAATTCATTCGGCCAGCCAATCTCAGCTCTCTTGCTATCTACCCGAATGATAAGACGCAGACCAGTGACGCAACCAAGAGCCTAGTTCAGCAAATTATCTCCCCTGAAGAGCTGAAACTTCGAGTCCGCGGGTTGAAGAAAATTAGAAACGGAGGCGTTATTATCAGTGCGGATAGCAAAAGCGATATAGAGAAGCTGAAAGCATCCGAAAAACTAGTTTCCTCAGGCCTCAAAGTCGAAGAACCTTCTAAACGTCGACCACGTATTGCTGTCATTGGTATCCCTGTAGCCCTCACTGAATCAGAAGTCATGGAGTGCATCTATGAACAGAATCTCTCAGACAAATTGCCGAATACTACGCGTGCGTCCTTTTTAAATGATATAAGACTAAGCCACAAGTCCGGTAAGAAAGATCGTCCGACTTGTAATTATATTATAGAAGTTCCAGCTACCATTAGGAAAATGCTGATCAATCAAGGCCGTATTTTTATAAATTGGACGTCTTGCCCCGTAAGAGACTTTACAATAGTGACCAGATGTTTCAACTGCCAACAGTTTGGTCATGCAGCCAAGTTTTGCCGCGAAACAAGCCCTACATGCAACCACTGTGGAGAGACGGGACATTCTTTCAAAGAATGTAACAAAAAATCTTCTCCTGCCACATGTGCAACCTGCAAGCGGTTCAAGCGGAAGTGTGACCATGAGACTGGTGATGTGAACTGCCCGGCACGTAAATATGCAGAAGACAGTTACATTCACACAATAGACTATGAAGGCGCCTAAGAGCGCCACCTATTTTATTTGTAAGTAGCACATAAACACTAGTCTTAACTTCTATTTTTATCTTTACTTATTACATCTTAACAATATGACCAATAATCTCATTAGCGATATTGATAATTTTTCCGTATCTGAATCCATCGTTTGCAACGTTGAAAACTGCAAAAATTTTATTCCTACTGGTGATAAGATACTAACCTTCCTAACTCAGAATATTCGTAGTATAAGTCGGAATTTTAATGGGTTTGAAGTACTTTTACAGAACCTTGATATAAGCTGTGATGTCATTGTACTTACAGAATGTTGGTTATCTAAACAAACAGATAATTTGCCAATGTTGGATGGTTATACTTTGTACAAAACAGTGACAAATATCAATCAGAATGATGGTCTGGTTGTATATATTAAAAATATCCTTAAAGTATCTGTGGAAGAACCCTTATTTCAAGGCTGTAATAGTCTCTTAATTAAAATTAACCTAGATACAATAGCTTTGGCTGTATATAGGCCACCATCGCAAAATGTAGATATATTTATAGAATCGCTTAGTACTATTTTAGAACAACTTTCGTGTTATAATAATATTATACTTTTAGGTGACATTAACATAAACATTGCTTCTGGGAAAACTAACACTGATGCACATAACTACCTGAATATCTGTACATTCCATGGACTATTGCCAGCCCATGATCACCCTACACATCAGAGTGGTTCATGCTTAGATCACATAATTATAAAATCTAAATTACCTTCTAAAACTTACATTACTAATTCATCGCTTACAGATCACCAAGCAATATTGCTAACTTTACAAATGTCGTTACCTAGAAAAAACTGCATGCGTACCATAACAAAACTCAATATGACTACACTTGAAAACGACATGCGTGACTTAAATCTTGACCCCGTTTACAGTTCTAGTGATCCAAATATTAGTTTGCAGTATTTTATTAACTCATTACAAACAATGATTAGTAATAATACTACTAATAAAATTGTACCTAGAAAATACTGCAATATTAAGCCGTGGATTACGCCCGGCCTTGTCCGTTGTATTAGACATAGGGATAGACTACACCAAAAACTGAAACTCGCACCTGATAACGAGATACTTTCTGTTACTTATAAACGCTACAGGAATTTCTGCAATAATCTATTGAAAAAATTAAAAACCCAATACGACAAAGTTGAAATACAAAAAGCCGGTAAGAACAGTAAGCTCATTTGGAAAGTTGTTAAAAACAATACTTTTAGATCAAAAAATCAGACTCTGCTCTAGAACTTTTAGCAACGGATACAACCCCAATTCAAGCGGCAAATAAAGTAAACAAATACTTTGTTAACATGGGTAAAAATCTAGCTGAAAAAGCTTTATCCAGAAATTCCTTTCTGCAAAGTACAACTATGTCACTCAATACCTTAGGTTCGTTTGTGTTACTCGACACCGACGTCAAAGAAATAGTTAGTATTATAGAAGGATTAAAGGACTCTTGTGCTGTTGGGTGGGATAACATCCCTAATAACGTACTTAAAAGATTCAAGCACATAATTGCACCTCCACTAACATATATATTTAACTTATGCTTAACGAACGGTATATTTCCCGATCTGCTTAAAAAGGCCTTAGTTACTCCCGTTTTTAAAGCCGGTGACAAAACTAATATTACCAATTATAGACCGATTGCAGTACTATCAGGCCTTTCTAAGATTTTGGAGAAAATTATTAACGTTAGACTAACTAAATATCTTGAGAACAAAAATTTGCTCTCCGATCGTCAATTTGGATTTAGATCTAAAAGATCAACTAACCAAGCGGTTCATCAACTCACTAATTATATATGTACAAGTCTGGATAAAAGTTTATACACAATTGGGATCTTCTTAGACCTTGCGAAGGCATTTGACACCATTTCTTGCTCCCTGTTATTCCATAAACTTGAAAAAATTGGTATAAGAGGAGTACAGTTAAAATTATTCACGGAGTATCTTAAAAATCGTCAGCAGTGTATAAAAATTGGTCAATATAGAAGTTCGGAACTAAAAAACAGTAGTTACGGAATTCCTCAGGGCAGTATATTGGGTCCTACTCTATTCCTAATATATATCAATGACCTATGCAGCTTGACCCTCCAAAATGGTGTTATTATGTCATATGCTGATGACACAGCTCTTGTGTTCACAGGTAAATCAAAAGATGAGGTCTATGAATTTGCCCAAAATGGTTTTAATGTAGTGTCTAATTGGCTCCGTAATAATCTCCTAACATTGAATTCAGATAAAACAAATTACATGTTATTTTCAATGAGAAATGCCCACATATCCACTACTAACCTAAACATTTTTGCACATAATTGTCATACGAGTACGACCGCTGACACAGCATGCGCTTGCCCTACATTAGTAAAGACTGACTATATAAAATATCTAGGTGTTACTATTGATGCTAACCTCAATTTCCGAAAACATATTGATTTATTATGCACTAGAGTACGAAAATTAATCTATGTCTTTAAATACTTGCGCAACATTGCAGACTTTACCTTGATACGCCAGGTGTATATGGCTTTGTGTCAATCCATTCTTACTTACTGTATTAACTCATGGGGTGGTGCTCCAAAAACTATTCTCTTGCCCCTAGAACGTGCTCAAAGAGCGATCCTGAAGGTCGCCACCTTTCGTCCTTTCAGATTTCCTACTCACCAGCTATACAGGGAATGCAAACTACTGACAGTACGCCAGTTATTCATCCTTAACATAGTACTACTGCAGCATACTGAAATTGGTTTTAGCCCGGTACTTTCCGGCAAAAGAAAGGATTTAGTTTGCACTAACCCTCAGACGAAACATGCTTTTACTAACAGATTTTATTTATTTCTAGGACCTTATTTATATAACAAACTCAATAGGCTGCTAAAAATGTATAGTGTAAGTTTAAATAAGTGTAAACTAATGCTAACAGAATATTTACAGTCCCTCAATTACTCAGATACGGAAAAATTGCTAGAAGTATTAAAATAAAGTACTTATTTTTAGTAAATTACTTACATATTAACTAGTATGATGTTATTTTTGTTTAATAATTTAGGCCAGGTTGTCCTTGCTTAGTCTTACATTATGAAATACGATAATTATTTATTATTATATCCATTGAATTATTTTTTTTTTGCATTGATAGCCTGAAACACAGGTTTAAATAAACCTAGTTCGGGTAGTCCCTAATATTTAGACTAAGAACGTTATTTCCTCACATATGTATTGTATTAGACTAGATTAAGTTAACTATTACGATTGTTATTATTAAGACTTTTTATTACTATAAAATCTGAGCCATCTGTAATTGTAAACGTGTTCAATGTTTTTAATAAAAAATTTATTATTATTTATTATTTATTATTATAACTATCCCGACAGTGTAGAACCGATAGATAGCGGGCCCACGGAGCGGGCCAATGTCTTAAATACCAAATTTCATTACCGTTCTTGATATTATCGCGTAAACTAAACATCTCTTAAAGTTTCTTTAAGATTTTTATAAATAATTATATTTGTTACAGCTATGGAAATCGAGGACACAATTTGCCCTGCACACACAATGGAACTGGTCGCTGTTTCATGACATCACAGAATCATGGGTTCGCCGTCGACGCAGACTCTCTACCAGAAGGTTGGAAAATATTATTTACAAACGAAAATGACAAAACCAATGAAGGCGTTATTCATGAAACTTTGCCATACTTTAGTGTTCAATTCCATCCCGAACACACAGCTGGGCCCACCGACTTAGAATGTCTTTTTGATGTATTTATTGATGCAGTAAAAAGTTACAAAAATAAGCAGGAATGCAATATAGACAACTCTATTACAGAAAAAATAAAATTTGTGCCAACTATTCACGAAAGGCCAAAAAAAGTACTCATTCTTGGATCCGGTGGTTTATCGATCGGTCAAGCTGGAGAATTTGATTACTCTGGATCGCAGGCAGTGAAAGCCTTACAAGAAGAAAAAATACAAACGGTATTAATTAATCCTAACATTGCCACTGTACAAACATCAAAGGGCCTAGCTGACAAAGTATATTTTCTTCCTATTACGCCGGAATATGTAGAACAAGTTATTAAAGCAGAACGACCTACGGGCGTACTCCTGACATTCGGCGGTCAGACTGCTTTAAACTGTGGTGTAGAATTAGAAAAATCCAAGATTTTAGAAAAATACAATGTAAGTGTCCTCGGAACTCCCATCCAATCGATAGTAGATACAGAAGATCGAAAGATATTCGCTGAAAAAATTCATGCCATTGGAGAAAAAGTTGCTCCAAGTGCAGCTGTAACAACAATCGAAGAAGCTCTGAAAGCTGCAAAACAAATTGGTTATCCAGTCATGGCTCGATCTGCATTCTCGTTGGGTGGTTTAGGATCCGGCTTCGCTAACAATGAAGATGAACTCCGTACACTTGCACATCACGGTCTATCCCATTCCGATCAACTCATAATTGACAAATCTCTCAAAGGCTGGAAAGAAGTGGAGTATGAAGTGGTTAGAGACGCGTTCAATAATTGTATCACAGTATGCAATATGGAAAACGTTGATCCCTTAGGTATACACACAGGAGAATCGATTGTAGTTGCACCCAGTCAAACCTTATCTAACAGAGAGTATTACATGTTGAGAAATACTGCAATCAAAGTAATTCAGCACTTTGGAATAGTAGGTGAATGCAATATTCAGTATGCATTAAACCCGAATTCCGAAGAATTCTACATTATTGAAGTTAATGCAAGATTATCCAGAAGTTCAGCATTAGCCAGTAAAGCAACTGGTTACCCTCTAGCTTATGTAGCTGCAAAATTGGCTCTAGGTATTCCGTTACCAGTTATAAAAAATTCAGTGACCGGGGTAACTACTGCTTGTTTTGAACCGAGTCTCGATTACTGTGTTGTTAAAATTCCAAGATGGGATTTGGCTAAATTTAACAGAGTAAGTACAAAAATTGGGAGTTCTATGAAAAGTGTTGGAGAGGTTATGTCTATAGGTAGAAGTTTTGAAGAAGCATTCCAAAAAGCGTTAAGAATGGTAGATGAAAATGTCAATGGATTTGATCCAAACATTAAAAAAGTAAATGAAGACGAACTGAGAGAACCAACAGATAAAAGAATGTTTGTACTTGCCGCTGCTTTGAGAAATGGTTATACAGTGGATAAATTATACGAATTAACAAAAATTGATCCTTGGTTTCTCCAGAAGTTTAAAAATATAATAGATTATTATAAAATTTTGGAAGCCGATCATCATGGTTCCATTCCTTTTGACGTCTTGAAAAAGGCAAAGAAAATTGGATTTTCCGATAAACAAATTGCTGCAGCAATAAAAAGCACTGAAGTCGCGGTTAGAAAGTTAAGAGAAGAATATAAAATCACTCCTTTTGTAAAACAAATTGATACAGTTGCAGCAGAGTGGCCGGCTTCAACAAATTATTTATATTTAACTTATAATGGCAATACCCACGACCTAGACTTTCCAGGGGGATTTACTATGGTTCTGGGATCAGGTGTATATCGTATAGGAAGTTCTGTTGAATTCGATTGGTGCGCTGTCGGCTGTCTCAGAGAACTAAGAAATCAAGGTAAAAAGACAATCATGATAAATTATAATCCCGAAACCGTCAGCACTGACTATGATATGAGTGACAGGTTGTATTTTGAAGAAATATCCTTTGAAGTTGTTATGGATATTTATAATATCGAACATCCGAATGGAGTCATATTATCTATGGGAGGACAGTTACCAAATAATATTGCAATGGATTTACACAGACAGCAAGCAACTATTCTTGGTACTTCGCCCGACATGATTGATAATGCTGAAAACAGATTTAAGTTTTCGAGAATGTTAGATCGTAAAGGTATAATGCAACCTAGGTGGAAGGAACTTACAGATTTAGAATCAGCTATTAGTTTTTGTGAAGAAGTTGGTTATCCTTGCCTGGTACGCCCATCGTATGTTTTGAGTGGTGCCGCCATGAATGTCGCAAATTCAAATCAAGAGTTGGAAACTTACTTAAAATCGGCAAGTTTAGTTAGCAAAGATCACCCAGTGGTCATTTCTAAATTTATTATGGATGCTAAAGAAATTGATGTCGATGTAGTTGCTGCAGATGGTGTTATTTTTTGTATGGCTGTTTCTGAACACGTTGAAAATGCAGGTGTTCACTCAGGAGATGCTACATTGGTTACCCCACCGCAAGATATCAATAATGAAACTTTGGATAAGATTAAAGAAATAGCCAGTATCATAGCTGAAACTCTAGATGTTAATGGGCCATTCAACATGCAATTAATTGCAAAAGATAATGAACTCAAAGTAATTGAATGCAATGTAAGAGTTTCACGATCGTTTCCTTTTGTTTCTAAAACACTAGATCACGACTTTGTTGCAATGGCTACTAAGATTATCTTGGGCTTACCGGTGGAACCGGTTAATGTAATGGCTGGCTGTGGAAAAGTAGGGGTCAAGGTACCACAATTCTCATTCTCCAGATTGGCTGGAGCAGACGTTACTTTGGGAGTGGAAATGGCATCTACGGGTGAAGTAGCATGTTTTGGAGAAAATCGTTACGAAGCTTATTTGAAGTCACTAATGAGCACAGGTTTTCGAATTCCTAAGAAAGCAATTTTGCTTTCTGTGGGTACATTCAAGGTAAGAAATGAAAACTAAGTCGTATTATCTATTTTTGGTTATACGACTCTAAACTGATACAAAACTTACTGATAAAATAATGACGTACATTTAATATTGTTTTTATCATTTTAGCACAAAATGGAGTTACTTCCCAGTGTGAGAATTTTACATAAAATGGGATACAAACTATATGCAAGTATGGGTACAGGAGACTTTTATACTGAGCATGGAGTTGATGTAAGTGGTTTTCACATTGATATATAGTTGTACATAAGAAATACAGCTTTGTCGTTATTCTGAGTAATGATAGTTTTTAATAGACTTGACTCCTATTTTCTTATAGGTTGAAAGCGTTCAATGGACATTTGACCACATAGGTGACCCTGAGGACGTGAGGTCAGATGGAGAATTGATGCATTTAGCTGACTTCATGGCTAGACGAGAACTGGATCTAGTTATCAATTTGCCTATGCGTGGAGGATCTCGTCGTGTATCATCGTTCACTACACATGGTTATCGTACTCGTCGTCTAGCCGTTGATTACGCAGTTCCCTTGGTTACTGATGTAAAATGTGCAAAATTACTTGTTCAGGTTGGTGAAGCTCGTTATTTTTTTATAGATTCGTATATCATTTATTCGAGTAATACTTGAGTAAGATGTGTGCGTTAATATTATTTAAAAAAAAAAGCATTTACGTAATAGAGTATTTTTATGTGTTACAGGCTATGCATTTATGTGGTGGTGTTCCTGTAATGAAAACTCATACAGATTGTATGACATCACGCAATATTATAAAGTTACCTGGCTTTATAGATGTACACGTACATGTACGTGAGCCTGGAGCTACGTATAAAGAAGATTTTGCCAGTTGTACTGCAGCCGCTCTTGCAGGAGGTATCACAATGATATGTGCAATGCCGAACACCAATCCTCCAGTAATTGACCGCGCTTCCTACGATTATGCATCAGCTTTGGCTCGAGTTAGTGCTCGGTGTGATTATGCGCTCTATATGGGAGCTTCATCCACTAACTGTGAAACAGTTTCTGAAATGGCTCCTCAAGCAGCTGCCTTAAAAATGTATCTGAATCAAACATTCACAACTCTTACTTTAGATGATATGACAATCTGGCAAAAACATCTTCAAAATTGGCCCAAGAAAATGCCAGTTTGCTCCCACGCAGAGAAAGAAAAGACAGGAGCTGTTATTTTAATGGCCTCTTTGCTTGACAGACCTATCCATATATGCCACGTAGCAAGAAAAGAAGAAATTCTAATCATTAAATCGGCAAAAGAAAGAGGTCTAAAAGTAACATGTGAGGTATGTCCACATCATCTATTCTTAAGCACAGCTGATATTAATGATATTGGAGAAGGCAGGGCCGAAGTGCGGCCAGTATTATGCAGTCCAGAAGACCAAGCCGAACTTTGGAGAAATATAGACATCATTGACGTCTTTGCTACAGATCATGCTCCACACAGTGTGGAAGAAAAAAATTCTGCTAAACCGCCTCCAGGTTTTCCTGGTCTAGAAACAATTTTGCCACTACTTCTGAATGCAGTTCATGAAGGCCGTTTAACCATGGAAGACCTTATAAATAAATTCCATCGCAATCCTCGAAAAATATTCAACTTACCTGAACAACCGAATACTTATGTAGAAGTGGATATGGATTATGAATGGACAATTCCAAAAGCTATGGAATTTTCTAAATCTAAATGGACACCCTTCGCAGGAATGCAAGTTTGTGGAGCAGTACATCGTGTAACATTACGAGGGGAGATTGCGTATGTTGAAGGACAAGTTTTAGTACCTCCTGGCTTTGGACAGAACGTCAGAGACTGGCCTACACCAAAAAAACAAACTTTACTTACAGTTGAAAAACCGGAGAAAGAGTTTAGTCGACCCAATTCTGCACTTGATGTACATACGTCTGCAGAATTGAGCAGAATAAGTGACATTGACTTTGATCAAATTGACAACAGGCCTGAAGGACCGTCCAAGCCTAATGTCCATTTCAGTGAAATTGCAGCTGCACGGTGTCTATCTCCACTACCTCCACAGACTACTAGACAAAGATGTGACAGTACGTCTAACTATAATCCCCCTACAACTGCGGTGTCTCAGCGACAACGTAGTGACCTCTTCGGCAAGAATATACTAACTGTAGACTCTTTCAGTAAAGAAACTCTTAATGATGTATTCAATCTCGCACAGTTCATGAAAACAAGTGTAAATAAAGGCCGTTTCCTAGATGACATATTACGAGGAAAAGTGATGTCCTCTATATTTTATGAAGTCAGTACACGCACTAGTTGTAGTTTTGCAGCAGCGATGCAAAGATTAGGTGGCTCTGTTATTCACACCGATGCGACGAGTTCATCAGCAAAGAAAGGAGAAACATTAGAAGATAGTGTTGCAGTAATGGCCAGTTACTCTGATGTGGTGGTACTTCGCCACCCTGAACCCGGTGCAGTTGCGGTAAGCTTAATAGATGTATGATAAACAAGTCTATCTGTACATTACAAATACATTGTAGATTTAATAACTTGCTATTATATTTTCAGCGTGCTGCCCGAAAATGTCGTAAACCTATAATCAATGCGGGGGATGGTATTGGAGAACACCCTACACAGGCTTTACTTGATGTCTTTACAATTCGTGAAGAAATCGGAACAGTTAATGGATTAACTATCACTATGGTGGGAGATCTGAAGAATGGACGTACTGTTCATTCTCTAGCACGCCTTTTAACCTTGTATCAAGTGCAACTACAATATGTTAGCCCTAAGGGATTGGGCATGCCAAAACACATCACAGACTATGTGGCCTCTAAAGGAATACCTCAAAGAGTTTACGAAAGGTTGGAAGACGTACTGGCTGACACTCATGTCTTGTACATGACTCGGATTCAACGCGAAAGGTTCCAGAGTCAAGAGGAATATGAAAAGGTAGGTTCAAATGGCACTGTTATGCAGACTATATTGCCAATTTGCAAGTAAAGTCTGTTGCATTTACGAGTATTACATTTTCGTGCTTTAATTTCAGACTCGCGGATTGTTGGTGGTGACTCCACAATTGATGACTCGTGCTCGCAGGCGCATGGTGGTGATGCATCCACTTCCACGGGTCGACGAGATCTCGCCAGAATTCGACTCAGACCCTCGAGCCGCCTACTTCAGGCAAGCTGAGTACGGCATGTACGTTCGGATGGCTCTACTGTCCATGGTCGCCGGTGTCAATCCTCTTACGTAGTAAAAAAAATACTTTTAATGCATGATATCATAATTATATTCTATCCTAATCAGAGGTAATTAATCTCTGAGTCAGTTCTATTTTTTAGGAAAATGGATTTTCATTCGATACTTAATCAAAAGCTGGAGATTATCTTAAATCAGAAGCTTTATGTTTGCCGACATTTTATGTTAAGAATCGTATCGGCGATTACGCTTCTATATCAAGTACCTATACGTCATGTGATATGAAGCTACCTGATTTAACTTTATGATTACATTTGCGAAGTATATAGTTGATCTATGACAAAATCTTGGTTTTATATTATTATATAAAAATATAAAGCTACCAACGTCAATATCATTCGGATATTAATGAAACAAAAAATAAGTGATAATCAGATACTTTATTTTTTTTTATGTTACAATACTTTAGCTAAGCAAATGAAATACATATTTAATAATAAAGTATACAGTAAAACTGGCATTTTTACATTATTTTCCTTGCAACACATACTTATTAAATATTACAATCAGTTACAACACAAACAGTAAACACGAGATTCCATTTATAAACAAAACATAACTTGCCACCTTTTATTCCTTTAATGGACAGATATAGGTGCATAGAATGAACTATGTGCGTATCATTAATATAGTATAACTAATTCCGATAGTCATATAACAGATCAACCGCCACGATCGGCTACAGACAACGATAAAAACTGGGCTAAACTACCATTGCCGAAAATAACCGCCGCTAACTGTAGCGGTCAAAGGTTGAAATCTTTGTCCACAAATATTTTATTTCAGTTTTACAAGTACTTCACGATTTTCTTTTCTTATGGTTTTTAATAAGAAAATAATCCAATATGCATAATATCGATGATTACAAAAAAAAGCGTCACAGAGATAAAAATATGCAATTTCTTTAAAATATAGTTTACAACTTAGATTCCTCGCCATTCACAAATTCATTTAATTTCATGTGATCGCGCATTGAGTTTTCAGTGTGCACATCAACGAAAGTAAATGCTGGTATACCAGGGCTTTCAACAGGAGAATCCTGGATGTCTTCAAATTTTGGCCGTTGTTTGTGTCGTGGTTGTGGTTTACGTTTACGATTGATATCAGACCTCTGAGGTAAAAAGCTTTGCTGTACTAGTTTTCTTTGACAATCAATCAATTTTTCTTTAATTATTTTTAGATATTCCTTGGCTGTGAAATCACCTCCTGTTTCTTCCGACAGCAGTATGCTGAGTCTTTGAGCCTGTTCCAAATATATGAGCGCCTGCCTTATTGCTTCGAATTTTTCACTAGATCGAGCCATTGCGATGAAGTGAGGAATGAAGAATTCGAGAACAAGACGTCGTCGTATCTGGTCCATTTTCAGTGGTATTGTGTACTGGAAAATAAAGAGGTTCATGAGTATTTTTTGCTGAGCGAGTGGGAGTTGGCAAAGCATTACTGGGAGTTTTTGATAGGGTTAGTTCTAGAATAGTGCTCGATGTGAGCCTATGTCATATTTGTGCATGATGTACCCATCCCATGGGACTCATAACATAACCTGTGAAGAATGTAACAAAAGGTATTAAATTGAATCATGCACTGCACTTCTTTGTCTACCCCTTCGTGGATTAAGATACATGATATTGTGTTAATTGATGTGATCATCGACGTCTTATATGATAAGACGAATCTCATAATATGAATGTGATTAAAGTAATTAAGGAAAAATTAAAAGAGTTGGATAAACTATAATTACAATTTTCAAATCAAAGCAGCTTACCTGTTTCCAAGCCTCTTTTTGTTGTTTTGTTGTCGTCTTAGATTTTTTCTTTTCTTCAGTCTTTCTATGCGCCGCTTTACGCCATCTATAATCTCTGTCGTAAGCCTTGTTTGTCTCCCAAAAGCCAGATTCAGTTTCGCTCTCTGAACTATCTTCATATTTAGAGGGAGTTACAACTTTAGGTATATTTGGATTGATCAGACGTAAAGGATCCTTGCAAGTTAATATTTGAAAGAGTCTTCGGCTTTGAAATTTAGGGTAGAAATCTCTCTTGGTGTATTTTATTTTATTTAGTGCGCTGAGCATGTGCAACACAGGAGCCTCAATGATCTTCGCTAATCTACTTTGTTGCTCACGTAACAAGGGATGCGGTATATTTTTAATTTCATTACAATTGTCTATAAAATAATTTGGCATTCTTGATTTTGATAAATTGCCGTATAAACTTTCCAGGAATTCAAGCAAAACTGTACCAAGTTGATCTTCTGGCCACCTTGCATAATTATCTTCACATCGCCAAAACAGATGATTCTTAATATGACTCGCATCCAAACCAATTTTAGCGGTTTCGTTTTCAATAAAGGTCTTATGCAACGCCAAAGCAAACAAATAGCATCGGATCTGAGCGTGTGCCAAATAACTTTCTAGGTAACGTTCTACTGCTGGGAATATTAATTTCCATTGCAAAGGTTGATTAGGATTAAGACCTCTTTTAATTCTAAATCCTATTGGTACCAATAAACATCCAAATCCTATAGCTTTGCTGACCATATTTTGATTAGGCCATTGGTAAAGATTATTATTTCTCGGATTTCGTATGACTTTTCTCTCTCTTATAATCCACGGGTTAGCTGCATTCGGCCAGGCGGCAAAAAGAGCAGGAAATATTTCATAGCCAAACCTGGTGCCATTTCTAGTAGTATCACAATAAATGCAAGCCCCTTGTGTTAACGCAGAATGGATTTCACTGGAAGTAAGCCCTAATCCAGATCCCAGATTCATTATAAAATTATCAACAAAAATTTTCATAAATCTCAAAGAGTTGAGGTAATACACACTTTCGAATAAATTAGCGGGATCGAGGGCTTTTTCATCATCGTCGTTATCATCTTCCTCGGTCTCTTCCCCCAAAACCTTAACATCAACGGTTGTCCAAGCTTCTTCTGGTAAAGCTCCAGACGTAAGCGAGTAGTTAGATCTTAAACTGAGTTCTATTTTCCTAGGCGTTGCCGCCTCAGTTATAGTAGCATATCCATAGTCTGATTCGTTTTCACTTAATTCAACCTGCCTACTACTAGAGTTTGACCTGTAACCTGAAGTTTCAGTGTTATCAGTAAGATTACCCTCTGAAACAGCTGAACGCATTTCAGATTTTGGGCGTTTTTTTCTGTACATCGTTGGTCCACTCAACCTTCTTTCACTCATTAAGCTTGTAGTTTTGGATAACATTGGAAAGTAATTATCCATTTCGAAATTTGTATTTGATTCGTACGTATCATCTTCCTCGGGTACACAATCTTCTATGTTTCGGTGTCGCATGTTTGAAATATCACTCTTAGCTACTTGAAGGCTATACTGCTTTATCGGCCCACTGTATCTCCTACCACCGCCTCCATTGTTTTGTATGTGTGACATTTTGGGCTCAATAGATGAAGGCATCATTTTAATGTCCATCCCAGGTCTAACTTTTTGAAATGACTCCTCGTCCTTTCTAGAACTATACGGAAATTCATCGGAAGCATTAGATTCTTTTGCGGAATCGGTATAAATGCTATCATCGGATTCAGCTTTACTTATATTTATAACTTCATTTTCTTTATGTAGAGTACTTTCGAGGACTTCTATTTTCTTCAATTTAATGTATCCTATAAAAAGACATTTATATTACTAACACTATATAAGTACTTATATAATTAATTTTGAATTACCATAAAAATCAAAATATCTAAAGCGTGACCGGTGAAAAAACATCTAAGCGAAGTGAAAGCTTAAAAACATTAAAAATTAAAATCTTTGCATTTCAAAATTTTTACTTTGACTTTGTTTATACTATTTTAGGTATTACTTCTTCCCTTAAGGGGTCAGTAATATTATAGATAGAATTAACACACCTGGGTCTACTCCGTCCTCAATCTGTAACTTGTAGAACGGTGCATCAAGAACCGCGCTGTAATCGGACGTATCTCCTGGTTCACTAGCCTCCACGTTGTCATGTATGACAAAAAGTCGAGGAGCAAGTAACGGCTGTTGTTTATCTTTGCCCTTATATATAACGTGTTCATGAACGCACTCTTGCAATCGGTCAGCGAAAAACACGTGTTTATTTTGTCGCACCATCGCTTCGTTAATCATATGTTCACGTTCACTAATCGGGTTATTTTTGATTTGATGCATTTCCCTGAAAACAAATTCGAAATTAGTATTTTCCTTATCTTTAAGTTCAAGTTACCTACGATCACTAATATTAGGTAAAATTAAGAAGGGTGTTAATTTTTCTTTTGAAATTATAACTTGTGTTTTCATAATAACGCTGTAAAAGTGACAAAAATGTTTAACAAATCGACACAGGTAGATACCATTATTTAATTCACATCTGATTTTGTTATCAGTTTTGTAATACCAGTCTGTATTATTAAATCTTAAAGGCATTTTTTAATATTTTTGTATTTATTGTTCGGATTATACGACACGTTTTATTATTGTTGACATATTATAATCATAATAACTAGGAAGTTAAAAGATTTTTAACCTTGTAGATAGATTATGAAATATTTTATTGAAGTAGGCAAATCTAACAAATGAGCACTATCTGAAAGATAGGCAAAGTTAGGGACTTTCCTCTTTAGCTGATAAAGATATTCATGACACAAATTAGCATTGAACAGATAACTCTAAAAATAAAGGACAGACCCAAGTAATACAATACATTATATAGAAAATAATAATTAAGGTATATGTAAAGGGAACGTTAGCAGGATCGTATCAAGTACAAGCAATAATGCACCTCTGTTTTAAATCATTAAGAATCTCGACCCATCGAGGCCGAGAGGAGTCATTCGATAATATTCCACCTTCAAAAAAAATCCTACATCTCCTCGTTTTGCAAGACGTAACAAACTTTACTTTGTATTTATTAGAGTGAATAGTATTTTGTCTTATAGGTTCCTACGTCACTTAAACACTTTCATATCCTACTGCAAGCTTAATAACATAAATATTTGTAATTTAAAATTACCTACACAATAGAAACAATGTAAATGTTATATTAATCGTCCTAAATCGGTGACCCTAGCTTTGCTTCAAATTGTAAAATTTAAAAAGTCATCAACCATTATTTTTATGTTACTAGGGTTCCGTAGGGCAAAGGGACCCTTAAGATTTCCTTGTCTGTACAGTCGATTTTTTGTAATCATTTGGTTATTTGGTTATGTTTCAAGAATCGCGATAGCTACTCTGTTTATCTTTTTACAAATTATGTTTTCTGCGGTCACTATATTAAATAATAAGGAAAGCTAAATAATGATTTTGGGTCGGGCATTAGTCTGACTCATAGTTGATTTTATAACAATGAAAATATTAATCACCTGCTCGATTCATTTTTCACACGTAACTTGAGAAAACTGTTTTTAAATATAACGGTCGTGAGACATTCTTTATTTATTGAAACGCGATTAACTGAGAAATGATCTACTGGTTTTTAAATCACAACAGGACTTATTTTTCATGAGCAGCATATGCTTCGCGGCGACATCGAGTTTGTTTTATTTAACCTTATGAAGATACTTTCAGTAAAGAAAGAATTTAGAAAACTATTTTTTTTACTTGTCAACTGTCCTGAAACTAATTAGGTACGCATATCTAATGATTTTATTATAATAGTATGCGTTCATAATTTTATTTGGTGACCGTCTCTCGCGTGATCGTCTGGAACCGATCCAGGTACCTACTGCAAATTCTTTTCTGTTCATATGAAAGTAACAATTCGAAAACCAGTATCATTGCTCGAAATTTAATATTTTACGGGCACTCAGTCTTATTTGGCCTTTTTAATATTAATACAGAGCGCAAGTCGATAGACTTTTTTTGTTGTTTTCCAGGTAGAATATTTAGGTGTCTAATATTTATTATATCTGGTTTTTTTCCAACTAATTCGAAACTACAATAAATACAAAGATTATCATCTAATAAGGTTTTCAAATTCAACTTAATTAAAAAAAGTATTTAACAAATTGTTTATCGCAAAATCTGAGCAAAGACAATTAATTATCGTATTATAATTTATAACAACTACATTGATATATGATGTATTTAGATATTGTAAGTACAAAAACACATTCGTATGTATATTTCTTATCGCTTGCGAGTGATTTTGATTGAATTCTACAAGTGTGATTAAAATTTATGACAAGAAACAGTCGATTTATTTGGTAGGTATACCTATTGTGGATGGAACTTACCTTTCATAGTTCTCAAAAAACTGTATTGAAAGAAGTATGTTGTTCAAGAGAAACCGGTCACTTCTGTGACGCAGATCCTCGCGCATTCGATCCAGAGCCTCTTCATCATAGGAACGGACATGAGGCGCCGGCGCATGGACCGGGCTGGCCACAGAAGGCGGCGCGGCCTGCGCTTGCGGCGGAAGCGGCTGCTTCTGCTCGCCGAATCTTCTGTGCGAATTTTTTAACATGAGCTTCTTTTGCTCATCCAGCACAGCCTCCCGCTTTTTTTCATATTCGAAAAACGTAGCTGGTTCCTTTGGCTTTTCCTTTTTTGATTTACAGTTCCCCATTGATAATATCCACTTGATAAACTTAGGTAATATTTACACAACTGTCAGTAGCTATACTAACAATTCACTTTCGCGCACATTTCGATTGACATAATATTATCGTTTAATATTTTTTGTAATTACTATTTTCTAGTGTTCCGTGTTTACGTTTGTTCAGGTAAACAATCCGCGCAGCACTGACAAAGTGATTCTCACCAATGGTGCTGTGAAAATTATTCTTATCAGGCACCAATAATGATTGGTATACTTATCGTACTTAATTGATTAGAGCTGCAATGTTATGCACGGAATGTGGCGATGTCACCTAGGGTCCTCGGAGCCGGTCTAACATTATGCGTTCGTGCCACTGAAAAATTATTCGATATGAAAAACTGCATTCTTTCTGCTCAAGACACGCTATGTAGGTATTACGTAAATTGCAGCATATTCATTACATGGATCGCACGACTCTATTACTATCACTTTTGTTTGTGTTCTTGACTATTAAAATAATTTTGAAAGCAAACCAAGTAAATGTAATTTGCAGTAAATCCATAAAATCATGTTAATTAAAGACGATATCAAACCCGGAGTAGGTAACGGGAATTTCAGTTACGTTCTGTGATCTCTGAGAACTAGCGAGCAGGAAATATAAATATTAAGACTTTCCAAGAATCCAAGACTTCTTGGTACTATAGTATTCAATTTGCGAAGCATCCAATATTGTTTTATTACACTATAAGGCTAAATTTATATTCACCATTTGGTTCTTATGCGTAGCAAAGGTCTTTTTTTACCAAAACCTAATCTTACCTTAATTGTAAGAAGATAACTAACTAAAGGAGGCCTAATCGTTCCCCTCCCCAATCTCTAAATCTGCAAAACCTTATCCTTAAAAGGTCGAAAACGCAACCTTACGCCTCCATCATTGCGGCGCTGATTGCTAACCATCAGGTAATCCGTAGGTAGTTTCATAGTTTAGTAATTAGACCAGTTCTAAACTTTGCACAAGTCGATACCGAATTCGACATGTGCAGTCCGAAAAGTATTCGTTTATTTCAGGGCTGTCAACATCGAGTTCACATTATCTATACCTAGTTTTTAAATAATAGATTTGAATTCGCTGATGCGTGTTGAGCAAGCTTATATTAGAAGGTACTCATTCCTCCTCCGTATTAGAAAAGGTATTTTGCGACAGTAGATTGTGGTTGATTTATTGATTGATTGATTGATAATTAAAAAAACTACGTTTAAAAAAACCGACTTCAAAAACAAAAAAGTGTCAAATAAGTAATTAAAATTGATATTTTAATAGCACTCTTACGTATGCGAACGTAATACTTTTAATATTAATAATAAAACACTATCAATTCTATGAACAGGTAGCACCCTGTTCATAGGTTTGAAGTCGGTGCCAAGCCTAATACATAATATAATAAGCATGATTACATGAGTACCTAAACTCGCCGGGCGCGTTTTAATTTACCTATTTGTTGAACTTGATGGCGTTAACTAGCGTAGAATCAGAAGTCTATATGGCTTCGTTACCGGCGAAACTGTATAGAGTATAAAGATATTTGGATGAATTATGAATTCTGACAGTTTTCTCGTACTTGGTTGTTAAAAGTAGTACTTAGTAGATAGCTGCGTTGTTAGTTGTGGAAATTTCGTCTTTTACCAGTTAAACAGTCTTAATTCTCATTTAGTTTTATTCTGTTTAGGGCTTGGCACCGACTTCAAACCTATGAATAGGTAGCACATAGAATTGATAGTGTTTTATTATTAATATTAAAAGTATTACGTTCGCGTACGTAAGAGTGCTATTAAAATATCAATTTTAATTACTTATTTGACACTTTTTTGTTTTTGAAGTCAATTTTTTTAAACGTAGTTTTTTTTCTTTTTTTCTTTTTAGTGTCTGATGCAAGTTCTTCTGTAAACTACAGTAATATTTTAAATATAAATTAACATATTGAATAGTATATATTTTTAAGTAGCTATGTGTAGGCCAACGAAAGGAGCCGCCCGATTAAACAATATAGATCCCAAGAAATGGGAAAGTTCTCATCATCATCATCATCATTCATGTTCCCACTACTGGGACACAGGCTATCTCTCTAGGAGAGGGAAGTTCTTAACAATATAAATAAATTAAGTTCAAACACGAGGTAGCTACTGTAAACCGTTGAGGAGTTCCCTAGACTGTCGTTCGTCTTCACCATCAGATCCCTAATGACAGTCACAATCCATCAAGGTGTAAAGTTCTCATCAAAACGAATAAATTAAGCTCAAACACAAGGAAGCTGCTATGAACCGTTGAGGAGTTCTCTCGACTGTCTCTCGTTTCCATCCGGAATTCCCTCGACGGTCAATTGTCTCCATCATCAGGTAAACGGCAGACCTTCAGTTGTTATGATACATACCTACAAGTACAAAGTTTTCATCAATATAAATGAATTAAGTTCAAACACGAAGTAGTTACTGTAAACCGTTTAGGCTGTCCTTCGTTCTCATCATCAGACCCTTAATGACAGTAACGACCGAGCCTGCTGCAAAGTGCTCGCCAATACGAATCATTCAAGCCCAAACACAAGGCAATTACTCCAAATAGTCAAGGAGATCCCTCGACTGTCTTCCAGCTCCAACATCTGGTCGACTTCGACCTTCGTCAAATTGTAGTGTTGTTAAAGGCCTACTTAAACATCATACAAAAATCCTACTCGCCCCTACAATTTTCGAAAGTTCCCCTCGATTTCTCCAGGATTCCATCATCAGATCCTGACCCCATGACAATGGGACCAAATAGCAAGTATACCCTATCGAATCAAAAAAAAAATTTTGCAAATCGGTCCAGGCGTCTTCGAGTAATCGGTGTACATACTTAAAAAAAAAAAAAAAACGCGTCGAATTGAGAACCTCCTCCTTTTTTGAAGTCGGTTAATTAAATCCAAAGTCAAATCATTTATTTCAACAAGACAAAGATAGACACTTGAACGTCAAACAAAAAATGAAATATCTAATCTAAGCTAGACTTGTGGTGAAGTTCGTTCCAAAATGTAGGTTCCTATAAAGGAGGGAATCTCGTTTGTTTTTTTGTTATTTTTTTGCTGGTAATTTGTATTTAGCAGCATAAATTACAGTGATCGATTGCAAAATATGTGTATTATTTATAACCAAATGGATGAAACGAGCCGATTTCAAACCAAATTCTAAAGATTTTTATCTAGATTTTATCGGTGCTACTGTTATCAACAATCAATCTATATCAAATTAATAATACGAAGTAATCATTCTTATTTTTCAAAGCGGAATGTATTTCGTAAAGCCCTTTTCGAAATGAAGCCAAAAAGACTCGTACGTGTTGTGTTATCTAGGTTTTAATAACGTAGATTAAACAAACAAATCCTCATTACAAGTAATATCCATCAAACTGGAATTTTTTTTTGCTGCAAACTTTGTAAATTTGAATTTAGAATGCCGAGAGTGCGCATTTCAAACTATCATACTGTTCATACTGATATTTCATTTTATGTCGTCTATTTAATAAGGTGTGACCAAATAATACAATGAAATGTTTATTTGAAATAATTTAATAATTATATCACAATATAATTAATTTGTAAAATTCTTTAAAAATATAATATTAATTCTTCTATTCGTCTACGAGTTGGGATCAAGTCTTAAATAATAATAAGATTCAATTCACCTACTTATAAATTACTATGTACATGAAGGTTACATACTTTGGCCTATTGAACATATACCAACAATAAACTAATATTATGAAATACATTATATTAACAGTATAAAGTGAACATTGAATAAAATTGATGCTATCTTGATATATAGCCTGAATTTATCTTAAAGTTTTAAATCGTATCACTCATATGTAAACCCATAAAAGAACAAGAAAGAAAATTGTGGATACGATATTTGTAATCATAAAAGGTTTTGTGTAATGGAAAACTATATTAAACATTTGTAAGAGTCTAGCAGTGTCAAGGTATATGCCGCAGGACCTCAGCCGGTGGCTCGCTCATGCCTGATTCCTCCATATTGTTAGCTATGCTTGCATCGTCCTCCTCAGGAGTTGTGTTCACTCGTCTGCTGGACTTCATACGCTTTGCTTCCCCCATCTTCTTCTCTAGCAGCCTCCTGAAACACACATTCATACTTTGTATTATTTTCATTAATTTAATGTGTCCGATATCTCAAAAACTGCACACTTGAGCCGGATGGAATTGCCATCGGTATCTGTACTAAGAAAATGAGCACATTCCATTACTTGCAAAAATAAAGTGATTAATGTAAATCATAATCTACCGATAAGCCTAAAAGGTACAAATAAATAACAATAAACGAACGTTAACAGACTACTACGATTTACTATTGAAAGGATTATATGTATTTAATTGTTTTTGTGATAAATGGATAATCGTTGAGTATATCCCCGTATCGGATGGATTCTTGGTACCTAATCCCCAAGCATGCCAAATCACCACGGTGCAAGCATTCGCTGTTATCAGCGATGGCATTGTAATGAATATCTCACATTTCGAATATTAAACCGTGACGTGTGAGAGTGAGATAGATGCATATGTATATCAATTTTATTCAAGTGACGACAATCAAACGTCATCGCGTCAATACGTTGGTACATAGGAACATAATAATCGCGACATTTTCCTCAAGCTTAAATGATAATGTAACAGAACCAAAGGACCTGGTCAACAATGCGGGCAATATTCATAGTATAAAGACTGTTCTGTAAGCACACGAAGATGAAAAAATCTGATCGTTACAACTTTAATTACAAACTCTTATCAAGAATGCATCAACAAAAAAGATAATTAAGCAAAAAATCTGTCAAACATCTTGTCTGAACGTGACACATTTTCACCTGGTTTTAGGTCCGATTACATGAGTCTGTGTTGTTCATCGTATTGTTCCAAGATTAATTGTTTTGAATCAACTGTAATCCTTTAATCATGAGCAAATTAAGGGCATGGACGTTTATTTAATAATGGCTCAATGACGCAGTTAAACAATTCATGCCATGCAAAGAAATTGCTATTTATTGAAATTCAAAATGTACCTTCTGAAATAAAATAACTAAATGTGCCAGACTACAAACTAAGACTATCTGCTTAATTTAGACAAAATACAGTAAGCAAATCTGAAATCCAATTATTCCTGTATACAGCATTCAATTATTAATAAGCTTTATTGGACAAAAGATTAAGTAATATGAAAAGAAATTACAATATATCCAATTTTTTTAATTCATTAAGACTGTTAACTTCTTGTCTGCCGGTATATGACAAACACATTATGTCTCGCGTGGATCCGAGCTCCGGCCGTATACCTACAGCGGGTTAAGGAATAAGTTTAGTCTATCCTAGGGCATATTGCATTACGCTATACTTACTGCTGCCTGCAATCAATGAGCACTCCTAGGAGGAATACGGCGAGGATTGCGAAAAGCATCACTACAGTCATGCCCACTATCGTGGTCACCGTGAGGGCAGGCAGCTCTTCCGTGATCATAGACACTGTGAGGTTCGGATCCGATGTCGACTCGACCACATCTGTAACCAAAAAATCTCTCTTAATAATACAATCACCCTAGAATCTAGTAGTTGAATGTTGACTGCACGGTTGGTGCGGTAGCTGGGCAACTGGCTGTCGTGCAACGTGTCGCGGGTTCGATTCCCGCACGGAACAACTCTTTGTGTGATCCACAAATTGTTGTTCCGGGTCTGGGTGTCATGTGCATGTGAAATTGTATGTTTGTAACTGCACCCACGACACAGGAGAAAATCCAAGTGTGGGGCAACGTTTTTTTTTTTAAAAAAAGTGCTGCCCTGCTGACGTTTTTCACGTTCCTAAATGCATAGGTACCTAAGATATTAGTCACTCAACCTTCTACAAAAAATTATCAGTGCAACAGATCTAATAGATATAATAAGAATATATTTCATAAAATATAAAATAATTTCGTAATTCCGCATAAAATTTGAAAATCAATTGAGACACAAACACATGTGAATATATTTTAAAAACTTTCACATCATTAATTTGATTGCGTAAGTGAAAAATGACAGTGATAATTGCGGTTTTTAATTGAGTCAGAATGCGCTTTACTACATATTGAATACACTAAACCGATTTCCTACAAAATTATCTTAGTAAATATATCAAAAAGTCCCAAAACATTAATTACAATATGTAGTATGGAAGTAAAATGATTAACAAGTTTATCGGAAATTGGACCCTATTGCTGTCATTGCAAATAGTATCTATGATTTTGTACATGTCGTAATGAATTTGGCCATTTAAAAATGTTATTTTGCCTTTTGACAATTCAACAAACACTGACAATTTGTCAAGGAAAACATGACAGCGAAACCTGGACTTATCATTTCTAATTTTAAGTTTGAAATGCCCAATCCGCAGTTTTGTGATTAACCTTCTCAGTGTGAGCTTTGCTCAGCAGTGGGCACGTTGATAATGATGGTAAATCGACTCTGCCAGAAACTATTTATAAACTATTAAGGATTGTCACTATTTCCATTATTTCTACTATTATAATAATATATCACACTTAAACATAGAGGAAAAATTCCGATTCTCTATGCACTTAATACAAGCTCTTAGGTATCGTTTTGTATTATGGCAAAGTGTTGAAATTACTTAATAATTAGTTCGAGTACTTTAATTACTTTCACTAATTTTCCCCAATAGTTTTAGGTATACTTATTAAATATCTCAATATTCGTATTCTAAGTATTTCTAATCCTGGAAACACTTGATAAAAGTATTATAAGGCAAATTCATTCATTAATGTCGGCGGTTTGTTTGATAACAGAACATAAATAGATTTTAGACGTCAATAAAAATACTGATTGAAAAATGATTAGTTTTAGAAATTATAGTAGGTATTAGTAATTCTATGCACGTCATCGAACATCAAATCAAGATATATTTAAAGCGGAAATGAATGACCGATATAGACCTTAAATCTACGCTAATTTTAGTGTGTATGTTTGTAATGAATAAACTCATAAACTACTGTGTCGATTTCAAAAATTCTTTCACCATTGGAAAATTGCGATCATCCTGAGTAGCATTGTCTTTACTTATGATAGAAAAGATTAGGGATCCTTACTAAAACTTAAATAACATAACCAGATCAATGCCGGGATGTTGATTTTAAATGTTGTAATTAGAATAAAAGAAATTTGGTACCGTATTCCAAATTAACAAAGAACAAAATAAATGTACGTAGTATGAATCAAATTTCTTCAAGTGAGTAATCGAGTAATTTTTTGCTGTCTGTAATCTTGCTAGAGATTTCTAGATTAAATCGCACTGCCTGACTGGGGAAGTACCTCCAACATACAGAAGGCTGCAATGAGTATTAGCTTATCATGTCCCAATTACAAGCGGTGAGACCTCGCTTAAAAAATCGAAATCTTCAAAATACACATAAGTGACTGCTTTCTACTTATGACCGACATTGCAATTTGCATAGATAGCAATTTGAATGCACAGTTGGTGCGGTGGCTGGCTGTCGTGCAACGTGTCGCGGGTTCCATTCCCGCACGGAACAACTCTTTGTGTGATCTACAAATTGTTGTTCCAGGTCTGGCTGTTATGTGTATGTGAAATTGTATGTTTGTAACCGCACCAACGACACAGGAGAAAATCCAACGTTTTTTAAAGAAACAAAAAAACAATAAGTAATAGCTAACCTAAATCCGAAATCTGTGGTTAAAGACCAATTTTTTTGCATTTGTTGTGAGTTCTGAGGAGTTTCTGCCAAGTTTGATCGATCTAAACAAAGAAAGAATGAAAGAATAAATAGAATAGATGAATATTTAATTCATACGTTAAAATAAGAGACCAACAAAGAGTAATTGTACCTGCATGTAACCTGTAACTGTAGGATTACATGGACCTAGTGGTGTGGATGCATGTTCCAAAGATATAGAAACCTTCGGTTTGGATACGAATTTCAATAGACAGCAAGCGATCGCAATAAGGTACCGCGGCCTCGGACCGGAGCAAGAGAAGCAAGGTGGTGGGTTTTAGTCACTAAGAGTCTGACACTCCCTCTTGCCTTGTCCTGGGCAAGATTAGTGACTTGATGAAAAACAAATATATAAGACAGCAACATCTCCATCAATATTTGCAAACATTTTTACCAGCAGTGTGGTCACGCCTTCCAATCGTCCCTGATTGTAGTTACTACACAGCGATTGTTAGGTGACAAAACCCAATGTGGAAGTCAATAATAAAGTGGGTTTTGACTCGCACGGCCGATTCATAAAATGATGTGCCGTTTAAACACTGTGTTACCTACCTTGGTTTTTTTCTTCAACAAAAATTTTCGATCGCGATAAAAGTGTTTTCCTACAACAAACTCTAATGAATAGGTAGTGTTTATAACATCCTACTTACGTAGATAAAAAATTAATTAGATAATCTACCAACCTACCAATAAAAACAATATACATAAGTATAGGTAACTATTGTTTTCTAGCAGCCATCAGTCCCGCCGCTGATCGAGAGCATTTTGGTGCTAAAACTGTTTCTGAGTGACAAATCACATGCTTTGTAAATGTAATGGATTAAAAAAAAATACGGAAAAAACAAACAAAAGTCAATAATGACCAGGATACCCATTTGTAATCGGCTGACAGTCACCCTGCGAATATTAGTCACCGTATTGCAATAACGATATAACCACTACATTATCTATGCCGTATTGTCACGTCACCACAGTGAGCGCACTCTCATATATCTTCATTGCGCACAACTAAGTGACAAAAATTCGAGATGACAGAAAATCACAAGCGACGGGCTATCCATCTCAAACCAAGTTTTTAGGATTGAGATAGATAGATATATAGATAGATATGTATAGATAGGTTTTTGACATTATGTGTATGAGGTTTCTATCCAAAACTTCACACGATTCAAAGAATTAGGATCCACCTCGAACCATGACACATCGTTATTACGTGCTTGTGCACTCATGTTATTTTAATTCGACATAATTGTAAGATACCATCATAAAACTAATATTTTGTCCGTCAAAATCATCAAAGCCCGCACTGAGAGAGGTGTACGAGAGTATCACTGCCTCTGACTTAAAACCACCCTGTTCTAACACCTGTTTCGAACCAGGATCCCACTAAGTGATTGTGCTTTATCCACCATTCCGCATTCGTGGTTATCCAATAATACGGAGTTTAGCAATTAATTGACATTTATTACACGTTCACAAAATGGCTACCTCTTAAAAGCAAGACTAGTTAGTTGTTAAAAGATGAAACGATCAGGTATGCTACAATCTTCGACCTAATTTTGATTCCTATGGCGTCTACCAAGATTGAAGTATATGGTCAACCCATGCCCACACGATAAATGGGAGTAATTGGTTTTGTTTGTTCAGTGGCAGTCTTCTGACTGTTGTATATAATAGGATTACCTGATAGGAAGCAATCAGCGCCGTCCATGGACACCCACAACAGAGGAGTTACGAGTGCGTTGCCGATCTTTTAGGGATTAGGGACTTGGAGATTTCGGAATTGGAGGAGGGGAATTGGGCCTCCGGTAACCTCACTCACACGGCGAAACAACGCTGTGGTTGTTTCACGCCGGTTTTCTGTGAGGTCGTGGTATCACTCCAGTCGAGCCGACCCATTGCCGAAGCATGGCTCTTCCAAACAGGATGAGGATGATGATGACAGTTTATAGGTATAACTAATATTATATTTACCTTCTTCCGGCCAACTGATTGCCTTGTCTCCAGACGAGTCCATGTTGTTTTAGTTGTTGTGTACAGCTGCAATCAGCTGCAAAACAAAGATTAGGAAGAATTAATATTATAATCCGTTGGACATTTCTTCACGTACCTACTACATAAATAAACAAATTGAAATTGCATTATTAAAAAATCTGTGTAGGGAACTAATTTACAAACTATAGGTAATGGGGTACATTGAACTGTATCTGTTGCCTTTAATTTAAAATGAGTAATTTTAAAAACAGTAGTCGTATAAGTCTCCGTCCTTGCCATGCGTCCTTGCCTCGCGCAATCTAAATTAATACATAATTAGTAATAAACGTATTTGTACATGCACATTCCTTAGTTTTATTCTAATATACCTACGTAGGTATACTAACCGCTATTATTCTAACCATTTTAGTGGTCAGTATGTTACATTTTACAGACCCAAATTGTACAGACCTTTGTACTATACCGTATATTCAACCTACCATTTGCAAATTCCATCTCGATGATTACAAATAATTATCAAGCACCGATAAAGCGATTCTATTTAAAATGGATGGTTTCGATATTACATTGATATTCATCATGCTATACAGGTTTAGAAAACAATTCCAAGAAGCAAAAAAGCTGATATGACGTAAATCAATTATGATCATCGATAAAATCATTTGGATATTTAAGTCAAAATTTCATATAAATTACATGTACCTAGTAGCAAAGATTGTTAATCGATGCCGCTATCAAATATTCAGATCTCTGATTAGGGAATTTAACAAGGAGCCGCCCGTGACATTGCCCGACGAAGCCATTAAAGGACTGAGTTCAAAAACCCAGTCTGTGAGTAAAATATTGTGTTTAGCGATTACACACATTAATCTAATGGTCGCCAGCAATCTTACTAATTAAAAATCTGGTGATAACATTAGCCACTTCCACCGATAATATAAATTTAAATTAATAACTACTGGATACAATCAAAGTATACTAGGGAAACGTTAACGTTTTGATAAGTTTGTTTCTACACAATTATATCCTAATGGTCGCAAGGTCAGCTGAGCATCCATACATGTCAATATACTTGCCTACAGGAAATAATGCACACGCGGATAAATGCTACAACCTATTGACAGTACCAACATTGCCGTGACATTACCTGTAAGTCTGTAATAAAATCCATAGCAACGCGAGAGTGCACGAACTCAATCAGTCAGTCAGCTGGTCAATCATAAAGTCTAACTTACGTGCGTCAAGACTGACCTTACGACAAAACTCATCTTTATAGTATAAAAATGAATCGCGAAATATGCGCATAACTCAACAACGCTTGGATCCAAATTCGCCAATTATTTTTTTGTTGTGTTTGTTAATTTAAGGAGAAGGTTCTTACGAAAGAAAATTTTAGAAAAGGAGAGGGAATATCGGAGTGTAACCGCCCGTATAATTGCCTTGGCGATCCGCTAATAAAACAAATGGCCGACACCGGGGTAGTCAAAAACCCGTGCGAAGCAGGGAAAATATAATTATCGTTGACGTTGTCCAATGTGACAGCCTAACTACGCTTAAAAGTCACGTACGACAGTAGAATGACTATTGCGTTATCTTTGCATTGAAGTATCGATGCACAATCAAATACAAATATGTTTCTACTTATACCTTACTTATACCTTGTTTCATATCTTTCTTTAATACATAGTTTTTTATGCCAGTGGCATGTTGTCATCAATAAGTCGTCTAGTGTTTAAAAATATTTTCTATAAAGCTATAATATTATGGATGTTTTCTCTCCTAAAGCTTGTGCACTCCTCGGAGTAGCGATGCAATTCTTTTGTTCTTTGTAATTTTACAAGATAACCAACACGACATGGTGTCGCTGGCATCCCTTTGGTTCAGCTATACATATAGAATTCGCAAAATACATCAAAACCAACAAATGGAGGATTGGCAAAATCAGTCCAGGCATTGTCGAGTTGTGTAATGCATTTGTATATTATAGATTTGTCGTTTTTCCGCACCTTCAATTACTAAATTTCAGCTTCATTTACTTATTGTTCAGGTCCGTTCCTACCTACCTAGATTTAAAGGTGCTCGGTTATCAAAAAGGTTCCCCCCCCAATATGTTCGTGTATAAGTTATATGGTTTCTTGAGACCGTCAACATTTAAAGTTTACTCGTAAGTAGGTACTTACTCAACACGCAGTAGACACGCATATTTTTGAAACTCTAGTGTAGCATCAGGCATAGCAATTGTTAAGTGGAATTTGCAAATGGGCAGCTTTAATTATGTCTATGCTATAGTGCTGTTAGCTTAAGATATTGTGCCCGAAGGAGTAGAGGCCAGGGGTTTTAAGTGGGTTTAAAAATATCCTCTTGCCATTAAGGCGTGCATAGAATCGACTATTACTCAATAAAGTTACTAAAAAGACTGTTGGCACTTGTGCAGGCTGCAAATTATACAAAGAATATCAAACTTAAGTCCGATCGATTAAAATTCAATTCAAGGCTAAATTCTCAATTTCTAGTAACTACTATGTCTATAATATATAGGTACATATGATATACTGATGTCATTATATTACTTTTTCCTTAACTTCTTAGTCTTTATTTTTATCGCTTTCCCACTGATTTAGTAGCTTCTTTAGAAAAGCAATGCGATTAATCATATTACCTACTTATATTATATTAAATATATGTACAATACACGTACAATTATTTACATGTAGGTACATATATTTTATTCGCAATATATCGGGTGTTTGGCCACCTTCTCGTCCGGTCGATGCAGTGGACGATGGAGCACACCTACTCGTTAGAAATCTATTCACTCATGCCTTGAAGATCTGAACAACCTTCAGGAACAAAATATGGTAGAAAATTATATTCCTCAACTGCAACGTTTAAAAAACTTTAGGCGAAACGCTTCGTGCGTGTGAAAATGTAAGTATATTTAGTAACTAGGTAAATCGTAATAGCATTATTGGCAGGAAGTCGGTATGCTGAATAAAAGCGTACTGCAAGACTGCTTTTTTTGAGTTAGTGTCAGACTCTTACTGACTAAAACCCCCCCGTTCCTTCTCCTGCTCTGGGCCGAGGCCGCGGTGCCTCATTCCGCTTATCCCGCAACCCCGGCTAAGCATCAGCTCTGTAGGGCCCCGTCTGTGGTGGTCTACTGCAAGACTGCTGGAGCAAGCACAATAATAAACCGCGGCCCTGGCTCGGAGCAGAAGAAAGAGAATGACAGTATCTCTCCCCTCCCCCCTCCAAAAAGTACTATAGGAGACTCAACCTTAATCTTCTTTAGCCTCTGTTTAACGAAGTTTCAATAGCTCCTTTTCCAATCACGTTTTTCAACCGGTCACCGAGATATGCTTGTATTTTGTTTTTCCCGCCATATCTAAATCGAATACTTTTGATAACATTCGGAAGTATTAGCCAGCGTCCACTAGATACCAAATAAATAAATCGCTTTCTGAATTGCTTTCTTATCAACAGATTTAATTGGAATCGAATTTATGTTTATAATCGTAATTTATAAATAAAGGGTAACTTATTTTATCAAAATAATTAGAAGTTGTATTGCTTTACTAGGAATCGCTACTTAATTTTATCAATTTTTTTCTAAAATACAAAAACAAAGCAATCTTTCCTGTTTGTATTTACATAACATCACGCTATTATTCTATTGGCGTAAGCAGAGAAAATTGATGAACTTAGTGCAAGACTATTAAAAACAAAAGTTAGTTATTATTACACTTATCGCACAATAAACAAATTCGTTACGTCACTGTCAGTGGAAAATTAGTGGACGTACCTAATCTTCATGTAGGTATTATAGACGTCATTTCCTTTTCATTGAAAACACAAACATATGCAGGTGCTTTATATCCGTAATCAAATAGCACAAATGTATTCAAACTCTAGATATTGCATGCAATTTCCCATCGTAAATTCAATGTGGCTACTTCAGTTACTTAAGTAATCTACCGATATCCCTAATCTAAATTAACAGCAATTATGTAGTTTTTGGTAATTTAATTATTGCTTTACATTATTCAACATGTAATTACCTCGTTATTTGATTAGGTACATTCATTTGGAACAGCATTCAGTAGCCGTTTTCACACTAATTTAGATTAATTATAGGGTATTTTTGCCAAGTAATGGTAATAAGCTCATCTTCTGCATATCACAGCTTACGTCTCGTATTTTTTTAAGTGTACAATATCACAAGTGACCTTCCTGGGAAAGGGTGGGTGTGAGTATCAGACTCTTACTGATTAAAAACAATGGCCGGAGACCTTCCTGCATTGCGAGCATAGCTAGAGCTTCGCAAAAAAAGTCGGCTTCCCTTTCACCTCCTCCTTAATCTGCACCATTGCCTGGATCTAGGCTAAACGTTATCCTGGGTAAATGGCAATGCTTAGCCCAAGCTTAACCACACTACCACACTAAGTAATAACATACTTGGTGAAAAATGAGTATTTCATTGTGCACATTTTGTCTACACTTTCAGGGATTAAAAGGTGTAATATCGATGTATCAGCTGTTATATCATATCCGCCCAAACAAATTTTATTTCACATTTTACTTGGAAATTCTATAAATAAACACTGCATAAATAATAATTCACACAAATCGGTAATCCCTTCTTATGCTAAGCGTGTTTATCGAAAGTTAATACTATAATCGCGTTGTCTTCCTGATAATTTCTTTTTAGGAAACACATAAACAGATTTCCTGCAAATATAAATATGCTACGGAAAGTGTATTCCTGGCTATGAATAATATTTAATAGGAACATACGGGAAAATGGAACTACTAACTACACACTCGTGACTGGGAATTCCAAATGATGCCACCGACACCGCTATAAGATCAAATTAAATCATCTGTTTCTTTTTCTTGTTTATTTATAATGAAGATTGATGTTATACTAGTTGACTCCGGCGCAAGCGTACGTCAAATGGCCTAAGATCACATCTCAGTAACGACTGTCCTCTTCCCATCCAAAGAAATCAATTACCTAAGTTGTTTAGGCGGTCGATGTTCTGTAACTAGAAACTTACCGGTCTGGAATCTAGTACTATTAACATACCCACTCTAGGCTATAAAACCCGTGGAAAAAGACCGTTATACTTGAACATGTTACTCCTGCTAAACAAGGATACTATTAATAAATGTATTCTGCTTTCATTGGAATTTTGTTTTTCGTAGACACACGTAGGTACACCGGTGTTTAAATATTCCGCTTATACAAAACGTGCTTAGGTATATTGCAAAAAGTGAATTCGTCATATTCCAAGAAAGTGACTAAGTATAGAATATAGGAATTTGAACTCACATTGTTTATTTGGTCGGGATGAGTTTCTCATTTTCTATTCTAATCACACAACATATTTTTATTTATTAATAATTATTTGATTTTAATAACTGCTGCTAAACCTACATAGTCACTTTATTTAGTTATAAACTTTTGACACCAATAGTCTATGTTTAGAACTCATTTTTTTGTACTTAGTATTTTTAGCAAATTATTCTAATACTTAAAGCCTGTTATACAATGTAGCAATTAAGGTCATGTGACAAAATTAATTCCAATATCTAATTATATCTCAAATTATCTATTAGAATGCGATAAACCGTTGACGATTTGTTTGCTTTAAAAATCCCTTCATTGCCTGGAAGCAGCTTATCTCTTCCGCTTTTGTACCGTCCACATGTTATAGCGATGAATCATTGCCATAACATACCATCCGTCTTACGTGGAAGTCCACTACGGAAGGAATTGCTAACCTTTTTGATGTCAGTATCTACTTAGGTATATTTCAAAATCAGAATGAATTATACTTGTCACTCGTATTTTTTTAATACATAGGTACCTACTTTTGAATTTTGCTTCCCGTGAATTTGTTTAAGTCTAAGTGGAAATACCTAGCTATTAATTATATAATCTATCTCCTAGGTCTATCTAGTTTCCTACCTCAAAAATACAATTCATTATTAAAATAAAATCATACATACGTACTTCATTTTAGATGTTTGGCGTAAAAGCATTATGACGTCATATGTTGCGATCTCACACACCAATCATAGAAAAGCATAGTTTTTAACATTTCTATAAAAGTTTTGAATTTGACTAGTTAGAAACTACCGAATTGGCTATTTATAGGTATGTTACTTGTTTTTATACTGCCTCCTGTGTAATGGAGAAGAATGAGTGAGAAACTTTGACTAAGAATTTGTAACAATGGATTTTATAACTAACCCTGTACCTATCACGTGAGAAATATGAACCAAGCTCATGAATCATCATCATTGTCATCAGATTATGATACAAAGGGACATTAATCTAGCCATAGAGTATAATATAATGTTATGTTACGACATCGATGACATATAATAGACAACAGTTTACAATAAGTAATTTTGAAATGACAAAAACGATAATTGAAATTATTTTTCTATGAATATTTTTCGGAATAGTGAGCAAAGGGAAATATAATGAATCTGTGACGTCACAATATTTTGTGTCAAATAGCGTAAGTACTATGTACGACTACGAGTAATCTATACTAATATTATAAAGAGGTAAAATTTGTAAGTTTGTATGTAGGGGGTAATCTTTGGAACCGCTGGTCGGATTGCCAAAATTCTTTCACTGACAATTTCCCTGAGTGCTATAAAACATCACGCTTCGATTAAATGGAGCCGAGCAGCGGGTGAAACCGCGCGAGAGTAGCTAAGTAGTCTTTTATAATATAAATAAACATGAATAGCAAAATGTGTTAGTAAGCGCATAACTCAAAAACGGCTGGACCAAATATGCCAATTCTATAAAGATAATTTAAGAGAGTAAAGGGGATAACTGAGAAATCGAAACTAGTTGGATACCTGTTCCAGAGATTGCTGCTGGTTACTTAAAAAATTGCTAAAATAATTATGAAATTAAATTAAATCGTCACATCAGACGAAGTCAGAACAAAAGACAATTGTGATTATTAAAAAAAATTTAATGGTATTGAACAGCTGAAATATTTTTTAGTACGCGTAATGTAAACAAAACTGCTTAAAAATTAAATCAATTCTATCCACTCATATCAAACACTCGAAACATGAAATACAATAATATCGGTAATTATGAAAACACATTCACGTTTTGAAACATTGCTATAGCAACTTATCGATGTTCGATTCAATAACATTTGTTTTCATACACTGTACTTATGACGTACCTTGTTTCAATTCAGAGGGAAATATTCCTCCATTGTTAAGACTATTGTTTTATAAGGTATAAGACTTGCTTTAAACCCTTTTGGTTTTGATTATAAGTATAATAATAGGTCCTTACCTATGAAAATGCCGTTTTGCATGAAAAAATTTAAACGAATTTTTTGATTTGAAATGCGATGAAAATGTAACACTTATCAATAAACAAATGACTACTTTTGGAAAAAGAATTCCATGTTTTTAAAACAAAATTAATTAGCCTACGCCTAACTATTTTGATTTGAAATGGCCAGTACTGCAGAACGGCAATTTCATACTACTTTTTTACTACTTAAACATTAACCATCCCACACGGGAAAACGCTAATGTGACTAGCTTGACTATCTTTTTTTTTGTTTGTAGCTATAAAAAATAACTCAGGAACTGTGGTTACAGATGAATATGTAATAATGTAACGTGGCTTCAGTTTTAAGCATAAAGAATTTTTAGTCTGACAATGCCTCTCGCCCTATCCACGGCGAGAAAAGTACCTAACTCGATCCTCAAAAAAAAGGATTGCATTGACTGTTGCTGTATAAGCAACTCGTTTAAGACCGTAAAATTAATGAGGGATTATAAAACACCTAGTACATCAAATATTAGAACGGATTCAAAAATAACCATTTTCAATGACGCTATGAAAATGTTTGGTTTGTAAATGTAAATAAAGTTCACATTGTCGAATTACGATGACCTAGAGCTTTGCAGACGAAATTAAAAAAATCATTCTTAATTAATTATTAGTCTTAAATACGATAATTTTGTCATTGAAAAAGCACGTATTATTTATGAGAAGGTAATTCTTTCAACAAATTTGAATGAAGCTTAATTATTATTGAGTTCCTGTTCATGTGTTAATTTTATCTAGTTATAAAAAAATAACATGAAATTTGATTTTGGACGTGAATAACATGAACGAATATTTCTCAGTGGTATAATTTAATAATTCTAAATTTAAAAACATAAATACTAAAACCTGTGTTATTACTGTATTGTGTAAAGGTTTAATAAGCTACACACACACACACACACACACAAATCTCAACGTTTACCTGAGAATAAACAAGAATTCTTGTCAAAACTTGTAGCCATAACAAAAGGATTCCTCGGCGTCACTTGTTGCTTCTATTCGTGTGTACAATCTAACGTATTGTCTGTATTATCCATTCAATACAGAATCGCCAATTTTCCGCGAAGATATTTGTACGTGTAGCTAATGTACTCATAATAAAACTATGGTGTAGGTCTGTAGGTCTTTGTTCAGTAAATTTAATCAGTCTTATGCAGAAGCCATAAAGATATTAAAAGTAGGGAAAGATAAGCCACATACAGCCTCTAGACAAAGATAAGACATGCATGTACTTAACTATTGCGCATATACATTTATGTATGTACATACATTTATGCAAGGTCACGATGTTCATTTTTCAAAAAATGTTGTTGACGTGCCGGATGGAAGGACATCGACCAAGGTTTAGTAACGGGATCCTTGTTAGGGAAGTAGGTCAAGTACTCGACAGTCGCATGCGCATCGTCAGTACTTACATACCTTCATATTTAACAATTTGCTGATCATTTATTTACTATATCTTGAAGGATAACTTCTTTAACATCAACATGTTAATATCAAACAAGTTATATCTTCGTCTTCGTTTAATCAACAACATTTGTGTATTCAAACTTTATATGTTATCTCTTTCACACATTATGTAATTAGAAAAGGACAAAACATGGATTTCAGTTGAATATAAAATTCGGACGGACCAAACATTAAATCAACCTTCAATCGGTTGGTATTTTCCACCGATACATTTAGCAAGAAGGTAAAAAATACAAACGTCAGTTAGGTTTCCACTTACATAAACACGCAGCGCGGACAACTTGGTCCTTTCACTTTGAATAAAATAACTAGTTTTGTTATACTCGATTGTACACACTAAATACTTTGGCACTGTTTGTGGATGGTTCACTATTTTGTTTATGTTCGGAATTGACACGATGGCGCGCGCGTCAGCGTGGTGTTGGCGCATGCGCAGCGCTCCACGGCGCGTCTCTCACTGTGGTGTCGGTAACAGCGAGATCACTTCACTATAATGTCTTGTGACAAAACCTCCTGCTAGACAATAGTCCGGCCATCGCCGTAACGAGCTGTTATTGCATCGGCTGCTATTGTATCGCAGGGAACCGTCAACAGTTATCTGTATGCTGTATAAACAATAATATCAAGTCTGCGTACTTCACGTATACCGCCCCCTATTACGATCGTTTACGCCAAACATTATTATTAAACCAGACGTTCAGCGAATAGATAAAAAATGTGTCTATTTACATAAACATGCGGACTCTGGATATCAATACCCAGCGTATACATAATGCCACGTGAACAATTAGCAAACGACTAAGAACTGTTGATTTTAAAAAACTCAATACGTAATGACGTCACCTCATGTTTTTGTAATAACTATAAAATAAAAATATATTACATAAGAAAGTAGTAGGTAACTAGTTTCTCAAACATTGATTAGTTCTCATATTTCCTGATATTGGTTCAGTCGGTGAATAATTTGATTTCATACTTACACCCAAGTGAATGCACGACACGATCACGTGACACCGCTCTCAACTCCGGCGCAGGTTGATTGTGTAAACTTGGAAGGCATTAGTTATTGTTAAAACGCATGGCTACTGGCCAGTTTTCTTCTTTATCGATATAAAGAGATGATTATTAATGTAATTACCTAAGTACTAATTATGCTAATTAAAAAATGCTCATTATGATTAACAGATTAATTATAATGTAGGTACTTATTTCGTTAGGCATCTGTCTACATGCATGCAAACCATATTATTATTGTTACACATGTAACAATCGTATAAAAATAACAACAGTCCTTTGCATGGGACAATAAACCTCATTAGGTAAAATACATCTTTAATGGCTCATAATAATAGCCGGAAGAAGAAATACACACATTAGATGTTATGTTTCATAATGAGAATAATATAAACTTATTAACAATGAGAGTATTTTCAAAAGCATTGTGTAACTTGTTCGAAAATTAAATTTAAACTATCGAACGCCGATATCACTTGATCTTTTTTTTTTTTTTTGGAGTTTATGGCCTGGATACGAGTCCTTTAAGCCAATATCACTTGATCTTCTTATTGAAACCATAGATAATATGGAACATTTAAATATTGAATATAAAATTGCGATTGAACTACTTACACACATTTTAAATACAGTAGGTACCTACTTACTACTTATAAATTTTAAAAAGGTTAAATCCTTTTTTATTTTTTGAATTAAGAACGGAGTGCCTCCATTATTTATAGAAAGGAAATTAATTTTAACAACCGAAGCGACGTAGGTTTTGAGGAAAATAAGACACAAAAACAGATTTATGAATTCGAATTAATTATTATATGTATACCTACGAATAAATATGTACATTTTAATACGGGAATATTGATGGAATATTAATAAACTAAACGAAGTTAGGACGCAGAATGAGTAAGTAGAATACGGATATTCGTCGCACAAAATATCGACAATCATTAGTGCGATGCTAGGATGCTACAAAATTACTATACCTACGGAAAGGATCGGCAAAGAGGAATTTATTTAATTTTGACACGTCAATTTAAAAATTATTCAAATTGAGGAAGTTTCAAATAATCGTTTCAAAAAGTCGCGTCTTCATGGTGGATATCCTACCATACTAACACGCAAATCGTTTCACCTCCAGTTTTTTCGTCAAACCGCTAAGGGGTGGAATTCTTCGCTGGAGTCTATGTTGCCCGAATGGTATGGGTGGGTGTCGTCAAGGTTTGAAAAAGGAGTTACCAGATACCTCCTTTTTAGATTCCAAAAAAAATAACCTTCTAATTATACTTTACTCAACCCTAATCGAGCCTTACAATCAATCGACCATAAACGCACACTATAAATATGACAACAGGTGTGATTCCTGTCAGTCTGAGTATTTCTCAAAAAAAAAAAAAAGCTAAGTCATTGCAAAGCCTTGATAGGTACGTGCCTACGGTCGCCAAGTCGTTGTATGCCGCTATGCGTGACTACTTAACAAGACGTTGATCGATTACAGCATTTAAAATTGTTTATTGTGTTTTCAATTACCTCATTTCTATAGTCTAGATACGCTATATGAAAAAATAAACTTGATTCTTATTTGAAACAGCGCATACCACAATGAGTTTACCTACCACTGAATTTTCCATACCACACACCCTCCGTCATTGGAAAAAAACAATAGGTAGTGTAGCATGGAATTCCGAATAATCGCACACCTACATATCTATGACGTACCTAAAAAGTACTGATTACAGTCGAGCAATTAAAAATTAATCGTATTTGCTTTGTATTAAGATTCATTTTAAAACAACACGTTAATAAAATTAAACAACGAACTAAGGATTAGTCATAGAGAAAGTACACGACGAACATAAATCAATACAGTGAAACAAAAGAAAATCAATTACTGCGTTATTTTGAATGTTTATATATTTTGTACGACCACAACGTTTTATTTGCTGTAGTATATTTACACAAACAATCAAACAGCTTGTAACGTCACAACTTTTATTTAAGTATAAATTAATTTTCGAAACACTTAGTAAACATTTTACTTAGCAATAAACCTTGTAAATAGTAAACAATACACTGTGAGAAATATGAAAAATATAGGCAGAATTAAATATTTCATAGGTATCGCAATTTATTAAAAGTATTTACTTATAGGTAACCTACCTATAGATATTTATTAGCGACATCCGCACTATTATCAAAAATTAAAAACCTATCAAGGTAGGCAATCAGGCGTCGATCAAAATTCGTCAAACGAAAATTGAGGTTAGATCATAGTAAACTGAGCATTATTTTTTATTTATTGTAAACAAGAGATAAAGATCATCGAGAACAAGACGAGATTGCTACGATTGCCTACATCCTTATCTCAAGCGCTTGCATTTTAATCCTTTACAATATCGAATAACGAAATTAACACCGAATTAACCTATTGGCAAAAATAGACAATAATAAGTTATGAGGTACTGTACCTACATCGACTGGTAGGTAAATATATTATTGTCCAGTTTATCTTTGTTTTTTTATACGAGTGATTGGCCTTAATTTTTATTTACTTGTACTGTTTACATCTAAACATAATATCTCCACTTGCACACACAGTTAATAAATAAATGAAATTATCACTATTTTACTCTTTCCCTCACTATATTTTAAATACTTATAAGTACGTTAATTAAAAATAATAATGGGAACGAAACTTATCATAAAAGCCATGCTCTCTTCCATACGAATCTACACTTTGGACTAGCAAATAGCTTCACTAGAGGACTGACTGACAGACTGTCGTTTTTCTTTCTTCTTACTTAATTACATATTTTGTTTGACGTTCAAAAGTGTATTCTGTGGTCAATTGGATCATTAATCAAATAATTTGACTTTGACATTAAATGAAAATTTTTCTTAAAAATATTTGCGACACGAAAAAATGTAACAGCTACATTGGATTTTCGAAAATTGATAACGAAAAGTAGTGTGTGTTTTTTGAAACGAAAAATCTAAGCACGCTATTACACTCGATTTCCTCTGCGGATGACTAATCAAAAAACTTACTTAATATCCATAATTTGTCTTGCTTTTTACCTTTTAACATATAGGTAGTGGACAATCAGATAAAGGTTGTCGATTGATATTCATATAAAATAACAATTAAACATCGGTAAATATAGATTTTCTACCTAACGAATATGACAATAGGGTTGGAAATGTCTTAAGCGATTTCTATATTTTAAGGCAATCTGATGCGCCAGTATCAGAATTGATGATGTCAGTCCTTCATTAAAAACATGAAATTTAAACTGATTATGATTTGTTTCGGAAAGACCCAGTGTTGTACTCGGAGAGAATGTGACTCTGACTCATATTATTTAGTGCAAAGCTTGATATTATATAAATATCGAAGTTAAACGAACTCTTATCTAGTTAATATTTATTTTAATGTCAACTATTATTTATTTTATCGAAACCATCTATATTTGTTACAAGAAAGAAAGAAAAAACTCTCCCAAGTAATCTCTTACTATCCGTTTATGTACAAACAAAAGGATTTCAAAAATGGAAACGTAGGAAATATTTTTACAAAAAAAGTAAACATTTCTTTGAATTTATGTCACGTCGTAGGTACCGTTTATTTTCTATTTTCATTGTTGTCTGTAGTCATTAGCATGACGTCCAAATGACTTGCTTTAGATAGGTAAGTAAAGCTGGCCAGAAATAATGTCGACGTCTACCTACTTACCTATATACAATTAAATATACATAATATGTACCTACATATTTTTATAGATTTGGCGATCATACCTAAGCACACCTCCAAGAAGTTTCTGGTCAGTGCAACCTCTTTTTAAATTAAAGTTAAATATCATTAGATTATCCACGCGCCCTTGGTAAGATGGGTGGCAGGGTCAATCAGAGGGGGTTTTTCAGTCCGAGACTTGTGATCCCAGATGGTCATTGAAACTTAACTAATACTCAGCTAGTGCACATAACGATGTACATTTAAAGGGGAATGCATATACATAATAGTTTTGAAACTTATGCCTGGGGCTCGATAAGGTTATTTATTTTGTAAAAATCCATTCAATTTTACGTTTTCAAAAAAGGCTCGAGTTCACGTTTATTGGGCTCGACCTTTCTCTTGATTATTATTAAATTAGGTTTTAAAGACAAAGTATATTACGTATGTAAGTAACTATTTATTCCTTTTGGACTAAAACTGATTTTTAATAGGTCGCGTATGAAATTGAGTTACGTATGAAATAATGAAGTAATCAATATTTTTATATAACTCGATAACAATTTATTTATTGAAACTCGCATTTTAATGAGGAACGTGGTAACGAAACAGTACAGGCAAAATATGGATACCCGCACACATATGCGGACATTTCACGATAACTTTATAATTATCTTATATGATAATCTTGATTTTTTATCGCACAATCATTTG